ACCACTAACGCTCCACACACGCTCATAGGGAGCGGTGCCACTGACTGCGAGACGGCACTGCTCGTGAGTATTCCCGCGGAAAAGACTACCGAACGTAGCCCGGCTAAGACCGGCATGGGCCCTTGGACTGTTATGCTGGCCACACTGACACTACTTTCCGTGCTGACCGTGTTTATTATGTTAATATTGCCTTCTCTTATCGCTGTCCGGATCCATTGTGTTATTATAATGTGCTCTTTCTTTTATTGACAAGCATGTTTCTTTTCTTGTCCACTTTGGACAGCAATAATTTAAGTGTTTCAAGCTTGAAGGTGGTGTGATTACGATGCCTCTGGTATTTAACTGATTAATGCAAAAATGGTTTTGAATTATCAAAAGAGGGGAGTGTGGTGACAGTTTTTGGAGTAATTACATAAAACCAGCCGCAGCAAATACACGGACGTCAAAGGCCTTTTATCAATGCAGAGACGACCTTCTGACGCCATGCTGAGCTTTGTGAGGGCCCCTGCTGTCTGTCACACCCTTGTGTCTTTCGTATCTTGCATCTGTATGCCTGCTTCTATCCATATGTCCCTGCTCCAGGAAGGAGCCGGGTCCCCCCCCGACACCTACAGACAATGGCGATCACTCTTGCCCCCTTTCACCTCTTGCATATGTATCGGTCTGTATGTGTGCACTTTCTACATCCTGCAGTCTGTTTGCATCCCTATGCGCCTCCTGCACCGGTGGCCCCCTCCCATCTGTTGTGGGCGGGACTGGCTTTCGTGTGTGTCTTGTAAACAGGAAACTCGGAGCTCTGCGAGCCAGAGCTGAATGCACGCTGTTTCTGTGTAGTCAGCCCTCCGCACGTGCGTTACAATAAACTTACGCTCCTGATTTAAGACAAATACTTTTGGGCTTTCTCCTTGTTTTGGGGTATGTAATTCTACAACACAGTACACATTATAGGATGTATAAGTTGTAAATATGTTGATAGCCCAATAACCCAAATTTTTATGTTTAATAAAATGTATCCTATGGGGATCAATAAAGTATCTACGTATCTATCTATAATGATTATAATAATAATATTAACAATGGTAACCCTTTTCATCAAACTCACTCCATACACAGTGGTGGTAAACTACTGCTGTAGCCACAGCTGCCCTGGGGCTGGGTGATGAAAGCAAGGCAACTACTACTATCTGTACTATCAGCCCCTCTGACCACCACCCACTCATGCCCACACCAAACTAGTACTAAGCAGGACAAGATGAAGTGTCTTGCAAGGACACAAGCTGTTTGGCACTTTGCATCTGCCGTACACCCACTGTAATAATAATGATAATGATACATTTTATTTCAAGACCTTTCAAGAAACCCAAGGATGCCTTACAATATATATAACAAAAACACACCACACACAACATTAAAAGTACAGAATATAAAACATTTTAGAATTACAAAGAATAAGCCAGTTTAAAAAGGTAGGTTTTTAGATGGGATTTTAAAATGTCCAAAGAGTCTAACTGTCACAGGTCAAACTCTGTTGCAGAGTTTAGGGGCACAGTGGCTCTGGCCCCCAATGTGACCATTCTGACTGTGGGAACGGTGAGGAGAGCAGCAGATGAGGAGCGGAGAGAGCATGACGGGGTGTACGGGTGGAGCAGGTCACTCAGGTATGAGGTGGCCAGGTTATGGAGAACTTTGAATGTGAGGAGTTTAAACTGGATTCTGTGGATTACGGGGAGACAGCGGAGTTGGATAATAACCGGAGTGATGTGATCTGTTGATTTAGTTCGGGTGATGATCCTAGCAGCAGAGTTGCAAATCAATGCAAACACTGAGGGGTGGGGATTTAGATAGAGTTGATTTGGAACCAATAGGGAGTATTTCACTTTTATTTCCGCTGAGTTTGAGTTTGTTAATTGTTATCCAAGTTGTGATAGCCTGTAGACAGTCAGTGAGAGTTTTGTGGAAAAATAAAGCGTATCATCAGCGTAGCAATGAAACTGTATACCAAAGTGATTGAAAATATTGCCAAGAGGGAGAATGTAGATTATAAACAGAAGACCCAACACTGAACCTTGGGGTACCCCATGGCACAGCGGCGATGGTGCTGATTTGATGTTTTTGACCTGTACAAACTGTTTTCTTTCTGTGAGATAGGAGGTGAACCATTTTAAAACTGCACTTGTGACCCCAGTGCTAGCCAAACGTACTAATAAAACTGCGGGAGAGATGGTGTCAAAGGCAGCACTCAGGTCAAGGAGAAGATTGTTTGTAATTTTGACTAGTGCGATTTCTGTACTGTGTTTGGGGCCGAATCCAGATTGGAAGGGCTCAAACATATTGTGAAGAAGATGGTCCCGAAGTTGAGCTGTAACTGTGCGTTCCAGTAATTTGGCAGTGAATGGGAGATTGGAAATGAGACGGTAGAATGTTGAGGATCAGAGCCAGAGCCACTGAAGCAATTGTGTTTCCGGTCTCCGGACATCACAGTACTAACCACGTCTTGTCCTGCTTAGCTTCTCTGAAGATCAGGCTTTCACATTGAGGAAAGCCACAATAAACAAATCTGCATCACTATTAGTATGCGGCATAATGGTTGTATTTTCAACCAATCTATTTTGTTCATAGCACATAATGGTTTAACCAGTTAAACTGACCAATAGTTTGGTTAGTCTAACCAAAATATGGTTTAGCCAAGTAGATTCTGAGGTTTTGTGTTTTAGAGTTTGTTTAAAGTGAGAGTGCATGTTTGTCAAAGTATGTAAGCAAGACAAACCTTGTGTTATGATATTATACATGACAGAAACACATTTAATAACATACTATACAAACCGACATAAAACACTGAAGGAGACAAGATGAGACGTCACATATTTTCTTTTGATGAGTGCTGTGTGGATCATATTGAATCCATACATATTGCAGAATCCAGTGCAAGAATCATTCAAAGAGGAAATCTGGGTGGGTCATTCCCTAATGATTGCAGCCGTGCATGTATATACTATAGATATCCCGAAGGCCCCCTCAGGTTCATGGGGAGTTGTGCTGGCGGATGTTAACGTGTAATTAAGAGCAGTCCGTGCAGAGCCGTGAGAGCAGTGTGTGTGCAGGTGCCCTGCGCTGAGCTTCCTGTGGCTGTAATTAGCTGAAACCACCAGAGTTACTGTGTGGAATGTGACAGCAGGTATTTCAGTCACGCTCAGTAACTGTGTCCATGTATCCACTCATGCACACGACAAGGGAAAATAAACTGACATGTCGATCGACCTTTAGCTTACCACAAAACTCAGATCAAATCTATGGGCCCTCTGCTTCAACGTGAGTCCAGTCATCATACATGATAAAACAAATATCGTCTCAATCATCATGTCAGATTGGTGTAAAAAGGGTAGCAACAACATTATTTTCTATCACTTCCACATGCTCTCTGATAAATTGCAGCTAAATTGAATACAAATGTTTAATACAGTGTCTTACCTGATGAAATGTTGTTATGAACTGACCGGCAAAAGTGTCCCGTATTTCTATATTATTTGATCGTTTCCCAAGTGCTTACACATCAAAAAAGGGAACAATTATGAAAGCACAAAAAAGAGTTGCTATTATTAAAGAGTGTTTGCATATAGGGGGCTCCAGGGCTAAAAATAGCTCAAATGGTTTTTACTGTGGGGCCACGACATAATCTGTGTTGCATAACTTTGGGGGAAAGGCCTGAGTCCACATATGTGTGTGTGTGTGTGTGTGTGTGTGTGTGTGTGTGTGTGAGAATTCCCTTTGGTTATGCAAAGACAATATAAACAGACCATCTGCAATTAGGTCGTCACTACTCATATGTAACATGACATGGTTATAATATTTTTTTTTTTTCTAAGGCCAGTGTTTCAATACTGTTGTCACTTTTCAGGAGAATAGAAAAGTGTAAAGAAACGCTTTAATGAAGAACAGTGGGAAACATAGTGATGATATATCTGAATTTACTGCTGAAAATCCAAAAGTCCTATTATAACCTGTCAGGCAGATGCTCATTTTGCCCAAAGGCTTGTCTAATTTCACAGTTTGATTCTCTGATCTGTTGTTGGTGAATCGACAACCTTGTAAAGTCCTCAGAGATGACTGCTGTTGTGAATTAGGGCAGTACAACAATAACTTATTTTGAGACATAGTGGAGGTTTTCATGCCAGAATTTCATGCTAAATCTCAATTTATGACATAAATTGAGACTTGACTGATGCAAAATTAGCATAAATATTTCCATCAGAAAAAGATCTTTGCTCTGGAAAACAACACCTCATGTGCACTGAAAATTGAACAGGATAGTGAAACTGAAATAGTGCTCATCTGAACTGTAGGACAAATACGACAGACTTTATGGTCTAACATGGTTTAGTTGAAATGTTGAATATGCAGAATAATTATGTCTGAAATAAGGAATATTAAAATAACAAAACAGTATTTCTACTCCTACAGTATAACTTTCACATGTGCAGAAGCTCATGTTAACAATTACAGACTAATCTCTGTTCCTAACAGTGACAGTAGGATGTTTAGGCACCAACCAGCTGTGAAATAATGAGTCACGCACAACCAAACTCAGCCCTTCTGTCTCTTTGGGCTCTTTTTAGGGCAGTGCAATTAATACAATTTTCATCATTTCTTGTTTTACTGTGTGTGTTATGAAATTAGATAATCCAGATATTGTGTTTATAGTAGACAACATGATATACTTACAGATGTGTTTGAGTGTTTTGGAAACTAATAGTACAATGCCTGATTTCAACTTTTCCTGTACTACATTTCCCCCCACATAGTCCAAATGTAATACTTTAAAAAAAGAGATACATTGTCTATTTTTCTTAATGGAAATACAAAGTGTTTGTCCACTGCAGGCTGGACTCATCACGGTTGACTAATTTGTTGTGTGTGTACCACTAAATAAGGCATGGCAGAATAATGAGAAGACTCTGGAGCAGAGACTGAAGTCAACATCTTCAGCACGAACAGTAGTTTCCATGTGCTCCTCAACTGAGGTGAAGGATGAAGTGTTCAGGGCCCTGACCTTCAACCAAAGACCTTAAAATAATGAAGTTCTCCTTTGGGAACCATAACCATCCTAAAAATACAACATCAACAACTCACGTGTGGAAATGACATGGCCTTGTCTAAGTCATTATTTATTGGAATGCTCCACCGTACATCAACAGCCTTCACCATCATACATACAGTTTATGAAGTCTGCACAGCAGGGGTCTCCAACCCATCGGTCTGGAACATCCTCCACACACCCCCTTAATTCTGATTTCACAATTTATGATTTGTGATGAAATATGATTGGCTGCTCATCATCATTCAACCTATACATTTTGATTGCTTATAGAGCAATTAAACCCCAAAAGTAACTCACTGCCGTTTCTGTCCAGAAATATATGTGATATAATACTACATTTCATTGAAAGAAAACAATATGACAGTTTTTACTTCCTTTAGTCTTTGTCTTCCTTAATTAGTCTTCTTCTTATCTACGTATAGATAATAGCGTATCATTCATTCTTAATGGGGTTTTAGATTAAGACAAAATGAATTGATCCACAAGGGAAAGTGCTTGGTTTAATTGTGCAATAAGGAAAAAATATATGATTTTAAATGGAGAAAATACAGTGTTCAGATGAAACTGTTAACTTTGAGATGACATCATCCCAAATAGATGTGTTATGACCATGACCCACGCACTTTTATCTGTGAGTAAATACTTCACACAACAGATTCACAAAACGTTGAATAGTTTTAGAATTCTGTATGTGCACCCATCCTTCTCAGACTTTAGCTGAGACATGAAGTATCTGATTTTATGTTGGTTTATAGATACACTGGCCCAATGAGGTTTTAGAGACATCTAGTGGTAGTGGATAGAATAGAGTGACATAGGGGATTGACGCGAACGTAATGTAAACATTGAATAAACTTAATTCTGCCATTGCGTGCGTATGTCTATGCATGTGCATGTGCATGTGCACGTGTATTTGTATAGGTGTGTGTTTGTGTGCGTGTGTGTGCGTGTGTGTGGCACATAATGCTCTCTCAGTGTTAGCCTCTACTATACTTAACGTTGCAGTGTTGTTTGACGCATGATTGAACCAAAGAACTATAATAAAGTACATCCATAGTTAGAAGCAGCGATTACTCTTGAACCTTGTGCAGAGGGCGAGTATTGCGCAGGCGCAGTACTGTCTGTAGTTTCCACTGCCGCCTTCTTCCACGTGGACCCGTCATTGACCAAAACAGTCGCGGCTTCGTGGCAGCTGGAGCTCAGCGTGGCGCAGTGCAGTAAAGGAAGGATTGGTTGATGTGCTGCTTATGGGACGAGCTCTGGAAAAGTCTTTGTTTACGTCTTTTTATAGATAGAAGAAAATTCATAACGGTAGGGTTTTTAGAGTACAAGACACATTACTTATTAATGCATGTTGTCGCTACACTCAATGATTTTGGAAGCCACATTTTCTAACCCGGTAAAATCTGTACATAGTGTTACTGTAAATGAATAGTGCTTTTTCCTGCAGGTGCCATGACGCCTGCTCGCCTGAGCTGCTCCGTCCTGTCCTGTATGTTTCTGCTGCACCTGAGCCTGGCTGCTCCAGGTCAACCCGGGACATCCAGGTAAACCTGCCCCGTTCACACCTCTGTGAGAGCTCAGCTCAGTAATTTATGAGGTAGTCCTAGTTTTCAAACCAGAATATTTATACACATATTCATACATTGTTGGTGATGGTGGAATAGCAATCTGTAGATGAGCATAGTATGTCTAGATACAAATGTTCTCAAATGTTAAATAGGGTCGAAGATACGTCTGATGAACTAATCAACCCTTTCCAGTCTGGAGAGGACAGCCACAGGTGACACAATTTTATTTTCCTACTAAAATATACTCATGCACTTAAAGCTAAATAGGGGGATTTTCTACTTCTGGGTGGATCATCAACACTATTGGTCCGCCCAATTTTCAATCTTTCTGGTGTCACGTGTTTTGTCAAATAAGACCGGAGATAGTTTTGTTCAAGGGCGGTTCTTTCCTAAAATTTGGGATTATCCTCCTATATACCTTTTACAATAAACTTTTTTTGACCATTATCACTGGCTTTTCCCATCTCTTCAATTGTTTCACAAAACTGGCTGCATGTGTAATTTTGCTACAGTTTTACTGTTAGAGTAACTATTGCTCTTATAACCATTGATATCTCTCTGCACAACTGTATTGCTCGGTGGTTTCCCAAATTTAACCCATGTAAGGAAATACAATGCAAGCAATCAACATTAAAATCACAGTCAAATCTCTCTGATAGGTTGCTCCAAAGTTACATTGCCTCAATTTCTAAGGAAGAGGACCAGGGTAAACCAGAGATCAACTCCTGGGAACAAGGTGAAACTATTAATGACGTAGATATATTATTATCTTTTATTGTATGCTTAATATTTGTTATAATAACCATTGTGGGAATGTTTGTTGTTAGGGGTATTCTATCTTTTCCATCTCCATGACTATGACCACAGTGGATTCCTGGATGGTTTGGAGATGATAAGATTGCTGTCAGACTATAATGCTGTTCATAGGCCTGCTGTTGTACTGTATGATAAGGTATATATATTTTAATGTGTTTCAGTGTTTTGAGTTGTTTGTTTCTATACCTGTGATGTAAATTGTATGAAATGTGATTTATAGATGGTATCTTTAGTGGACTTTTTACTGCAAACTCAGGATCTAAATCAGGATGGCCTATTTACACCATCTGAGCTGCTCTCTCCCCCATTGCAACAAACACAGGTGCTACACCTGGACAAAAATTGTATGAAATGTTGCAATATTTAGTCTCTAACCTGTACTTTGTTGTATTCTAGAATAAAGAGCACCCTGAAGTTGTTCTAGAGCAGAATGGCCATACTAAGAATGAGGTGGCACAAAAAATAGAACATGTGGTTGGGGGCAGCCCTGTGTCAGTGGACGAGCAGCACACACCTCACAAAGTACAGGTTCAAACAGGAAAGGACGAGCAGAAATAAGATCATGTTTTTATATGTTCTTATTGCTTTGATGTAAAACTAAGCCATCAATTTGTAATGAAATTCACTATTTTATATATTTAGGTCATTCCCCTACCACATGCAAATTTTAAGCACTGGATTAAATGGACGTTATATAGATCATGTATGTATTTAACCCATATTCGAAAACAAACTGTAAACCCAAATAAAAACTGTTTTTATTCAGCATGTGTGTCTATAGAGTAAAGTCAGAACTTCTGTATTGACTGGTCTATGGTCGAGTGTTTCAGAGATGGATAGGTGTATTTTGTTGAGTGGTCTCAGGCAAACCATCTGCTCATGAATGTTGAAATCAATTATGCAGCACACTCCTGGAGATCTGCTTCCTGTTTGTGGATTAACACCCTGTACTTTGCTGTGGTCTACTGGAGGAGCTGCAAATGGGACAAAGGTTGATCATTCTCCAGTAGGTTTCCTCCCACATTGAATGATACAGGACTATATTCATACCCCTCTCCATACCGCCTCTATCAGAGATAACTTTCATTTTTCATTGTCTGTGAATAGGCCACTGTCATTTTACAATAATTGCGTTGTGATATATCCTCATTTGACACAGTTTTTTTTTTCTTGCATGAGTGAGCTACTGTGTCAAAGTAGTTCTGTCTGGGGATTTACGTTCAAGCAAAAGTTATATTCAGGGTTTTCCTTTATGCATGTATTTATGTTAATCACACTGGCAACGTCATCCTTTCTACCGCACGTCGTAAATGCATCGGTTGCTATGCAACGGCACAACAACAGATAAGATGGCGGCGCGCTGGCAGAACACAGGTCTGTAACAGTTAACTTATTTTACTTGATCCAATACACTATTATAGCATGTCTCTACTCTCAGACTTCCACAAAAAGATTAAAACTGCGTTTAAAGCATTTGACACCAAAGGGAACAACACCGTGGATCATCGGTAAGAAATGTCTACTATGAAAATAGCTCATTATAAAATAATAATCATTCATTCTATTATTTATGTTCAGAGAAATCGGTACCATTATGTTTTCCCTGGGGTGCTTCCCCTCTCAGGCTGAAGTCCATGATGTCATAGCGCAGGTAATGATATGAATGATGATTATGATGATGATATAGCCTGTGGCCCTCACTATGTGCACACTGCGTCTTATCCCTAGGTAGAGGAGGATGACACTTCAGCGTACATTAGTCTGGAAAAGTTCCTTCCAGTCATGACCAAAGTTTTATTGGAGAAAAAGTGTGTGCTTTCGTTCATAAAACCAAATGTGTACCTACAGCACACATATGCTTTTTCCTTTGTGCTCTCGCAGGTTCCCTCCAACCCAAGAAGACAAACTTCTTCAAGCATTTGAGGTCTGGATCTGCAAATGTATTAGGAAATATTTTAACTGACAAACATGTCTAACCATGTTTCAACTCACTGTGTGTGGTGTGTGGCCAGGTTTTGGATAAAAAGAAGAAAGGTTATTTGGAAAAAGAAGAGCTAACAAAATATATGATGCAGGAAGGTAACAATCCAATGGCTTTTGTTGTTTTGCATTTAGGAGGGATGCAAAGTTCAAAACTAATTTTGCATGTTGTCCAGGTGAGGCATTTACTCAGAAGGAGATGGACGAGATGTTGACAGCATTCACCGACCAAACGAACAATGTCATCCATTACAAAGACCTGATTGATCAACACATTTTTGATAGTGACCTTTAGACTGGAATGTATACATTCCTTCTCGTAGCCTATAATTGTGTATTTTAACCAGTTGTCAAACCTTTCAACTGCGTTTCTTTTAAACCCGTATACAAAACAATAGTAAAATGTTGTTATGAAGAAAAGTGAGTGATCAAATGGCACAAAAGCAACTATACCAACTCGGTAAAGCTCTTTATCGTGTCAAAACCTAAACACTACATGCGGATAATAATACTGATCAAAACGACTGTCATCCACTAAGGTTAAATATAACCAATGGTGCTATGTAGATGAAAACTCCTTTTGATGAATGGGGCATATTTGAGTTTCACAGTTTAACATTACTCGTGTTTTGAACAACAGCAGTGAGTCAACAATCCCATAACAATGATTATGTTTGAGGCTCCATGTGTTATACTGTTCTTGTGTATGGCAACACTGGTATGTCCCCATAGTCGGATGAAAACATTCTCTATTCTCCCTTTTATCTCAAACATACCACAATGAGGGGAATTAAATGTCAAGAAATATTTAGATTTCACACATTATTTAATGAACACTCATTAAATAAACACAAATAAAACCACTAAAATGTCTAACACACACCCATACTGGAATGTAAGAGTTCCACAATCAGATTCAAGTCCCTTCACCCAAATAGATACAAATGTCTTTACTTTGTCGTCACATCTATGCAAGGTTTCTTAGCAGCATACAGTCCTATCCTGCACATCAGTATAATCAGTTGACTCCAGTATAACTCAAAGCCTCTTTAACCTTTGAAACGTTCAATAAATTTGGTCCAGAGTAAAATAATAAACAAGATCCGGCATAAGACAAGAGCAGGAGGTAGATAACAGGGTCGACTTAACAGGGTCGACTTATCCAGCTACTAAGTAATTTTTCAACATAGTTTTTGAATTATTGCACATAGAAAGAGCTAAAAGATACAAATGTTTTCACAAAATGCAAAGAATGATCGCTGATCTTGTTCTTACTTTTCCCATATCACCTTGCATTTATCAATTAGCTGCATAGTGGTTTAAATATGAACAAAAGCAAACTTTGATGCCACACTTTTGTGTCACCTTATTTCATTCAAACAGGATTCCACACAGACATAAGGCTGTAGTGCCGCAATAAGGCTCGATGTATTTTTCAAGTGACAGGGTTGCTGTTAGAGTTGACCTGATTCTACCAAGAGAGAAGGGTGTGGTTGATCAACGCTGGTTGAATTGCATTCTATCTTTGCATCTGCAGTAAAATTTTGCATTTCACGTGTAAAAGTCTAGATTTGCAGAACCAGGCCGGCAGCGGAGATGTTGTCGCCTCCACCTGCAGTTTGGTAAACCTCAGTGCAAACCAGCACCGGTGCAACGCAGATCTCGTAGTCGTTTTCTTCCCAGCAGCTTACCGGTCTGCTTTCTTGGAGAGGGATCCGCTGGCTGCCTTCCTGTCTGCTTACAGAGAAAGAGTCATCCATGATTAGCCGTGCCTTGCTAAGGTCAATATCGTTAGATCCACAGACATGGCGGTTAGCTGTGAGTGAAGCTTTGGCGGTGGCTGACATGGTGTTCTTCCACTGGGACCCACGTGTCACGATCATGGATTGAAAGGCCAGTGTATGAACGTGAAGTCGAGTTAGTGGCTTTACTTTAGATGGGTCGCCTTCAGACATCTCTGCAAGTTTATAACGCTGGTTAAGAATACGGTAAACTTCTCTCATCTGGTCCAAGACGGTGGCTACACGAGGATTAGGGTCTGATAATACAGTGATGTTGGAGCCTTTAAGCAGGCTGAGCAAGTTTGGAAGTTCTTGTTCATTCATCCCTAAAGAATCAGCCTATGAACAAGACAAAAATAAAATTAAATAAAATTAAATAAGTTACAAAATTATTGTTTGGCCATTAACACGTACATATGGTATGACATAATGGAGGAGGTCTTCCATGATACTTTCTTCAACAAAACTAGCCATTTCAAAGTGAGTGCCTAGTTTGGCGGAGGATGTGGATATAAGATCCGACAGACGAGACAGGAGAGCGTGACGTTCACCTGAATCAATAACAATAATAATATTACGTCAAAATGAATTAATGCACAATAATCATTAAAATACAAAGCACTACTTTTACCTGGTGGGAATGGGAAACTATCCATCATCTGTAGCCCACCAACCACAAGTAGATCTGGCTGGAAGTGTGTTAATTTTTTTGCAAATTCCTCCATTGAGTCGAGATAGGGATTATGATCGTCACTGTGAATAATATATCTAGACAACAAAACAGAAACATTTTTCATTTACAAATTCACAGTTAGCATTTCACACAAGGCCACTGTACCTATTTGCCCTGTGTGAGATGTATGGTCCCCAAGAAACACCCATTGGATATTCCAAAATTAGATGAATATCTGGTTCTTCAAGCACTTTTCCTGCCACTGAAAAATCAGCAAATGAAAGAAAAGACTGAAGTCAAACGACTGAGATTGCACAAAACAAGTCAATGCATGTTTTTGTACCTGTAATATGCTCAGACAGGACATCAGTAAAGTCAGGGCTGAAACTACCCCCAAGCAACACATCACAGCCTTCCTTTGCTAGGCGACCGGCCATCACTGGGGCATTACCACCTACTGACCATCTGTTACCAGGCAAGTCACGGGACGCTTCAACCAACTCCCCGAAGAGGGTGTCATTTAACATAAATCGCCTGCACAAGCAAACAAAATAAGTTAAACATGGACAAGCAGGACAAACCGGCTAAACTTCAATGTATGCAAATAATTACATGCAAGACACAATAAGTAAACAAGGCTGAGTGTCCCCCTGCACTTATTTCACCAAAGTTAGGCTTGCTACTGGAATCACTTTCAATTTCAAAAGCAATCACAAAATAAAATAATGTCTTGACTTGCAAATCCCAGTAAGCTGCACATTTTGCGATATGTATAAGTATGCAGGTATTTTCAATCAATCAATCAATAATTTATTTGTATAGCACCATTCGTGTATAAGGCAATTCAAAAGTGCTTCACAAGAGCAATTTAAAAAACACAGATCAAAATGCATTAAAAAGCCAATATACAAATTATTTCATATTGTGGATTTTAAGACAATAATACTTACTCTGCAGCTGCTCCAGGAGCAAAGAAATAAGCAAAGCTCTGGGAAAGTTGCTCAATGTTTTCCAAGTAGTCATGATGTAAAGGTTGGTCTGAAGGAATTAGGCCAATCTTATTTAGCAGTGACACTCCGTCAACCAGTAAATCTGCACAGCCTCCAAAACCTGCAGGAGAATAGAACAAATGTTAAAAAGCACAGACAGCAGAAGGCACCAGGCAAGGGGAGATAGAAATGTATGCAAAACAGCTGCTGTGTCAGGAGCAACGTGAGAAGTGTAAGTGCCTATAGCTTGTAGAATTACAAGTGCTGTTATAGCTTCAGCTGCTGGATTAAATGTCTTGAAATGCCTTGCTTTTAACACCAGTCTAAGAAATCCTGTATGCTTCCTGCACAACATATGGGCAATATACATTTCTATTTTCTTATTTACGGGTATGGCTAAGAAGTATGGATAAGATAAGACGTGAAATAAATCACAAAAACACTGACAGGCACCACAGCTGTGGTTCTTGCTCATTCATTTGATACAATCATCATATTAGGATTGATTGGCATTTTTGCCCTCTTAAAAGAATTACTATAGCATAGTTTGACCCTATAATAGACCCAGAAAATACTTTTTGATATGGTGACACAGTGGAAGACCAAGTGTCTCAAACTTTCAATTTGTGAGAATTATGATTCATTTTTGAGAGATTATGATAAATAGCAGCAAAGGAAACGACAATGGGAGATACAGTAAATGATTGGAATCTGCCTTTTAGGTTACATCGCAATCATGCTTCTCCCGAACACGGGCAAAACCTCGATCATTTTGTCAACGCCACACCTGTGTCGATTAACTGATTAACTGACAACTGATGACAGAAGTAAACAGCCTTGCAATTGTAAGTGTTCTTCCCATAAGGCCATTTGGACAATTTGTACCCGCAGGTCACAAGGAGGTTTATGGTATTTTGTTCAGATATAGGCAAGGCAGGGAAACATATTTAACTCGTTAAATTGTCTGACGAATCGTATCACAAAATATGACAACTGTTTATATGACTTAGGCTAATCTAATGCTCATACTAGGCTAAATGTTAATATTTTCTTGCAGAGGAAGGAGACAATATCTTCTGTAAGTAGTTTGAACATTAGGCATCACAGCACATTGTGCACTCACCGATTGCCACTTTGGGTCGGGCGAAGTCGTTGATCCCGACTTTGCTTTCAGCGCGTAATAAAGAGGACAAAAGCGTGTCCAGTCGGTCATCCAGCACAGTGCGTTCAGATGAGCGGAACCAGACGGCCAACAGCACCACGAACAGGGACACTACAGGCCCATATCTCACCCATGACAGCCGTCCTCCTCCCTCCATAGTTCAGTCTGACTGCACGTCCTGTTCCGTGAACCGAATCTAGCGAGCTCCACCAATGGGCTGCGGCCCGACAGAGGAGCGCTTGTTCTGTGCATGAAAGTGTCCCGCTCCACGCAAGTCCAAAGGCAACCAGGCTCTTCTGCATTTACGGTCCATGAGTTAATTGGAACATAGCCATAATACAACAATCGAAAAAGTCGATTATCACGATGAGACTTCGTTATGATTGTTAGGCCTTCGGAGTCCGTTGGTAACAAAACAAGCACACCGTCACCTCAAACATTTGTTTTATTCAAAGTCATAATACAAACGGCAATCATACCTGACCAAACAAGTCAGACAGCAAATAAAACAAAGCTAGGGGTCAAAGAGGTAAAAAAAAAAATATATAAATCCATATCACTATATTTGGTGAAGTCTCAGATGCAACCTAAAGTGTACATTCTCCCAGTGTGCAACTGCACTACATCTAGTTTATAACAACATCACACAATACAGTCTATTCCAAAGAAGTTAACCTTTTAATGGAACTGTAATTCAGTATTTTATAGAATATTCATGGATGGACAGCACACAAATAAAACAGAAACAAGTTTTATTTTTTAAAATCAAGCAATAAAAGTACGAATCCATTAAAATAAAGAAAAACAGCAAGTTGATGACCTAAAGGCACAGTAGAAATTAAAGTAGATATATAGCCTGATTGACCAATAGTAAGGTCGACTTGGTTTGAGTCTGAGCAAGCTGTAACTTACATTCATGATAAAAGCTTCTGTAATATGTTTTTTTTTTACACAATGGTGTGCATTGGCCTTTTGGTAAAAGAATTAGTGCAACTAAAAAAAGTAAAAAAGTCCAGTGGCGAGGACAACTCCTGATTAAAACCTGTGGGCAGAAGATACAGCAGGTATTTTGAAATCATTAACCAAGAAGAAACATACCATGAGGAATTTCAATTACACTTACTTATTTTGGAATGCCAGCTACAATCTCTGCTTCAATGCCACAGTGATCAGACCCACGCAATATTTTAAAGAAACCTAAGACACAAATCATTTAAAGTTGTTTAAACTGGAGAGTTAAAATTAAAAAAAGTCGAGAGGAGAGCGCAGAAGATTGTTCAGAACAGAAGCCACCCGGATCGTGGACGGTTTACGCTGTTGCAGTCTGGGAGGCGCTATAGTCTCCTCAAGACTATTACTGAGAGGATGAGAAGGAGTTTCTTCCCTGAAGCTATAAGACCAGCCCTAACTCTGTCTCTGTTTATGTTTCTGTGTTATTACTATTCTGTTGTGTGAATACTGTACTGAACATCTACTGGAGGTACATAAGAATTTCACCGCTTGCGTTGTGTATGTGACAAACTAAACTAAACTAAACTAAACATGTGTCTCACCATTCTCTCCCCAGTCAGTGTTCCAGGAGTTTGCACAGAGCCAGTAGGGAACACCGTCTTCCTCTCCCCAGCCTAAAATCTTAATAGCATGACCACCGACTGCTACTCCAGACACATGCTGATACACACCTGTCAAAATTAAATATATAATTTCAATATGTAAAATAAAGGACACTTACATTACAGACAAGTCAGTTACCTGATTTGTACAGCAAAAAGTCTTCGTAGACTGTGAAGGCACCTTCCACAGGACCGTTCTTGGAGATTTCAGACATAATCTGTGTTTCGTCTGACAGCACACTGTAAGAGGATTTTCCTGCAAGTCATTTACAAAACTTGTCAGACAATTAAAGACAGACCAGTCATCTCCTCTGATCATTTGTGACAATACCAAAGTGCTTATCCTTGCTGTATTCAGGAGAGTATCCAGGTTCACACAGAGCCACACATTCAGGAGTGTGTCCTTCTTCCCCGGTGCAGGGCGGCCTGCTGCCGTTCACATGGTGCTCACACGGAGCAATGGTGTATGGACGACACCCTGTGAACACAGCAACCACAATTATACACTCACACACACACACACACCACACACAAAGTACATTGCTGCACCAAAACAGTACTGACCAATGTTGGAATCATACAGGCCTCCAGTGACAAGCCCCTTCTCTGTCCAGAAGTCCCAAGCTGCAGAGGGGTATCCACCATTACACCTAGAAAAAAACAACAACTTTAAAATTGTATTTTCAAATATTTCTTAAATCAGATTTCTTAACATTTTCTCATGTACCCCATGCCACAGCCATCACAGCAGGTCAGCAGATCTTGAGCAGAGATCTCTACACTGATTTTACCAGCACTATGGACGCACACACGGTCCGAGATGGCTTCTGCGGCACCAAAAGCCTGTAAGAAATAAAACCTAGTCAGATACAACATCTAGATACACACAGGCCTACAATGTTAAACATGACATACCCAGCATGATCCACATGAGCCTTGATCTCTGATCTCTTTGATAGTTGGACAATTTGCCCATTGCTCTCTAGAGTCAAATTCCTTAGGCAGTTTTATGTCTCCAGCATATTGAACCCTAAAGCATAAACAAGTTTACAGAAAGAATTACATTAAAACCTTGGCCTTAATCGGAGTCTATTGAGCCCCAGTTAAAGAAATCTCAAGAGGATTCCATTGTACACTTTGGCCTATGCTGTGCAAGTGAAAATTTAAAAAGTTGTTGACTTGCATGAAAACTTTGAATCTTCACGCATGAAACTCACATGACAGGCAGTTTCGGCCCATTCAGCAGTGTTCCGCAGAGCTTCTGCACATAACTGTAATCCACATTATGGAAGTTGTGTCCAGCCTGAAAGAGGAAACAAGCCAAAAATCACTGCTGCTGCTGCTGCAGGTCACAAAAATGTTTTATGAGCAGAGGCCAACCTTCCAGGTAGTATTGACTTTGTTGATGTAGTTGATCATATCGTTGGACAGAGGGTGAAATCTGGGTCTGCCCAGGGTCACCGCCCAACTGACAGCAAATACAAGAAAGCCAGCACTCCACATTTTCCCTAGAAAAAGAACTTGTAAGATTCTGAGAAGTAACGCACGGTTTACGAACTGGACCACTCATCTCCAATTCATTGCATTCATGCACAATCAGCAAATTTTCCATCACTCGAAGTTTCAAGATGCCGCTCAGCACTTATGAGTCATTATGATTTGTGTGTAGATTGGTAAATAGAAAAAGGCAAACGCAAAAGGAAACTCAAGTAGACATCTTTGTGGTTTACCACCGACTGAAATGTCATCAAGACGACAAAAGGTCAATGACAAAATGTTAAAAAAAACTGTAGCGAGGCAGTCAACTTGAATGCATTTAGAAGCACAATGATTTGTATTAAAAGATTTCATTATTGGGTCACATATTTAACGGGAGCAATTGATAAAAACAAAAACAAAAAAACCTTACACACATGTTTGAGTCCGTTTGATCCATTAAGTCCAAAACAATTAGGCTTTTTACCATTTTGGATCAATCTCAGACTCAAACATATGTACGTGTTGTGAAATCTCATTTTTAAACTCAAATGGAGAAGCAACAAGATTTGGTTTCATAGATACAATTGTTTTTCCAACAGAGCCTTGCTTAAGTAACATTTTGTTGAATCCCAACATGCAGCTTTCATGATATTAGAAAACATTTCATCTTTTACATACTGAGAGCTGGGCTGGGCTTCACTGAAAACAAATCTGAACTGAACTGTTTTGAGCGCCCAGTATAGATAATATTACACATTTGTGGTCTGTGAAGTCATTACGAGGTCCTCTGGTGGCTTCAATTCGCTTTATCAGGGCTCTAATAGATACGATGCCACATTTGCGTTCTAAAACAATAATCATTTGCACAAAAAGCTTTTTTCCTCATATTAAATAGTGACATGGTCAAGGTGTAGCCTCGAAATGAATCACGATACAGTTTCATATCTGTTGTGCAACTAAAAAGAAACGTTTTGTAGGTCATCTGAACCATGGATATAGGCCATCGTTATTATTTCAAACAGTTTCATCGACATTTTACGGTCAGAATCAGAAAGCGAAACCACACGGACACTAGTAAACAACATTTGAGAATTCACCCGCTGAGATTCAGCTTCATGTAAACAATGACTGGCGTGTTCTTTCACTACACAACAAGGACAATCTGAGGCTGATAATGATAAAGACATAATTCATATATGCGGGAGATAATCGTCAGACTTTGTACCTGGTGCAGACTCCTATCTTCTTCTTTCTGATGCAACAGCGGGAGAATCGAAGGTGAGAATTGAAGACCGACTTGGCCGCAACTCCATTTATGCCCCGAGCCACGTGATCAGTGTCATGTGAATGCACTTCATGTGACCAGAAAATTACACCTTTTACTTGTAATACTTTTAATTCTTTCAGGCACTTCCCACTGTATTCATTATTATTAGTGATAATATTAGTTATATTTTTGCATTTTATATTGATATTTATTATTATACGTATTATTATAATTATTGTCATTTTTACATGCTGTAATTATGATTTTTATTATCGTCATTATTATTATTATTATTGTAGTATTTCATGGAAAGGCTACATACGTGCCTTCAGCTTCAGGGTGCATTACTGGAATACAGTATTACTACCAAGTCAAAACTTCCATAATGCTTGCAAATAATTGATTTTTTTTGCGTCTAGCACCTTGGTAGAAAGGGAAATAATTGTTCTGTATGTCAATTGGACAAGGAATGTCCGCTTTATTGATTTAATTTGAATGAATTGACAATAATGGAAAAATGTAACATTGGGCTGTATGTATCAGGAGAATAAATACAACAATAAAAAAGTTGTTTCAAACGAATGTATTTATTGATCACATTTTGCAGTGAACCAGTAAATAAAAAGACCAAACTAAACTTAAAGACACATCTCATTGGACATTAAATCATACAGTATTGACCATGAATAGTTTCTATACAATATTAATAATTAAAGTATTGTGTTAATTCATGAGCAGTCACGAGCCACAACAATGTATTCGGAAGCAACTATAACACTAACCCTTTTTTAGAGCTGCATAATTACATGTGTAGCATGTTGGGGAAGTGTGACTCTGGCAGTATATATGACCTTAGACTTTTCTCCAGTTGTAGCATGCAGTGACAGCAATCACAGTGCATTGAACATTTAAAAGGCAGCACCAATAAAACAGGTTTAAACTATAGGTTAAGATGGCAGCAGTACACAATGATAAGGCAATACAGCATTCATAGATTCAAAGACAGATCAAGAATTGTAATGATGTTAAGCATTTACAGTATGTGCCTGAAAAGAAAATGTAATCAATATTTCAAACAGTGTGTTTGTATATAATTATTGAGTAAATGTATATATAATACATCTCTTATAATAATCACCTACTCCATACTCATAATTCTGTATTCCCTTTATGTATGGCTTTTGTCATATTTGTATTGCAAATAAAATGAAACTCTAGTAAAGTGCAATGTGAGGAGTGATAAAGTCAACACTGTGTCACTGTAAGATAACATCGTACTGTATGTAAACGCTGTCTGTGACTGGATAAGTGGTTATCTGAAGCTATCTGATGAACAGTGTTGTGTACGCATGCTTTCACTATGTTGTAATGAACCATTTATAATTAAGCTCATTTTCAAAACACTTACACTTTGTATAGACACGTTCCCATCTCTCTCTGGTCATCAGTTCCAATAATTTCAATATTTCCTGAAAAAGCATTTTTGTAGTTTCTTTTGAAATGTCCCCAGTACACAACATTCTGCGATATAAAGCTACATCAAAACCTATGCAATGCATTATATTATTTTGGAAGTTTGTAGCAACCCAAACAGCGACAATAGTTTCAACTGAAGTATATACTAATTTTTTTACATTCTTGCTTTGCCAAATATAAAAATGAATCAACTGAATACATTATCCATGTTGTTGTTATTATTATACCATTCTTTCTCGACTATCTAGAAACTGAACAATCTGTTTTCGGGCGTGTGAAGTGCTGGGTGTGAGGGGCACTATGGGGGTTCCTGGAGTACTCGTACCAGGAGTGGAAGCCACAGGAGTCGCTGTACCAGGGGTCCCGCCTGGTGTGACCCCAGGAGTGGCCCCAGGAGTGGTCCCAGGAGTGGCCCCAGGAGTGGTTCCAGGAGTGGCCGGGATCACCACCACTGGAGAAGGGCTTTCTGTCCCAGATCTTGGCTCTGCACGTGGGGTGGAGGTAATAAAACGTGCCTCCTTGATCCTGTATGGACTCCTATAGCTGGAGATAGGGGACAACTCTGACCCCCAGCCCAGATAGCTCCCACTGGAGGGAGAGTGTGCGTCTGCACTGAAGTACAGCGTGGTGTCGACCGGGAAGCCTGGCCTCCTCTCTGGAGAGGTGAGCATCAGTGGAGAGCGCCGCTCTGGTGACCATCCTGGAGTCTTGATGTCCAGCGAGGCCACGGAGGAGGAGGCCTCAGTCAGAGCTGCATTACTGTCACCATGATGCAGGCTCCCGGGGCGAGGGGAAGAGGGAGTGACTGAGCCATAAGCAGCACTTTGATAGTCATCTTCACCTATCAAACACATGATGTGATTTAACACATATTTGAAACAAAGAAGCTGTTTTTCATACCTCGTTCTGACGGAGCAGCGCTGGACAAAGCAGCACTGGACAGAGCAACACTGGACGGAGCCGCGCTGGACAGAGCGATGCTGAGTTCATCTTCTGCAGATTCTTCTGGAATCGCCTCTTGGACTGGGATAATCTCTGGAAAATGTCTGATATCCTGTATTTTTGCTGGAGGAGTCTGTCTCACAGGTCTCGCTATCACAGTGCTGGGAACGGGCTTAGTAGGCGGGATGACTTCTTTTGGCTAAAACAAAAAAATTGGCAAAAATATTTAAATTAAACTTTTTGTGATTTTTAGGATTGACTATTACAAGTAAAGGAAAAAAATACTTTGGGTATCTCAGTTTCTTTTGGTGGTGCTGGTGGACGAACAACAGGAACTGTGGGCTGGAGAGGATAGACCTGTATAATCAAAAACATATGACGTATGAAAGTTATAAGTAAGTAATGTTTATTGTATATAGCATATTTTTACAGACCAAGGTCACCAAAGCGCTTTACAATGTTTACATGTTTATGAAAACTATGTTATGAAGTATCGGGAATCTAACAAACCCGGTGGAGATGAGGTTGATCAGGCGAGTGCATTTCTTCAGAGAGACCCATGAGTCCAGCCAATCCCCCTTCACCATAAGCTGACCATATTCGCGGCACATCTCCAGTTTTTAATGCCAAACGAATGAGCAGCCAATGGTGATGTCTCCAGCCTTCCCATTGGTGAGGGAGCTCCATCAGGGTGCCACCACCTACAGACAGCCTATTAGCTCATCATAACAAATATATGAACAAGAATAACAAAAAAGCTGGTGGGGATATACCACAAAGTGTAGCTTGTCGATGGTAAGAGGCAGGATCTTTCTCGTTGAGAGTAAGTGAAGATCCACGCTCCATGCATGCTCCACCTATTCCTCTATGACGAATACTCTGAAAGATCTCAAAGGACTTGGGATGAAGGAAGCGATAGTACAAGACTAACGCAATGACACCTGGGAGAACAAAATATATACATGTTTACGTCAAAATTAGGGCTGCACCAAAAATCACATTTGAAACTATTTTTGTGACAGCAATTAGTAAATCCCCAAGACTGCAACTATTGAAGTTCTTTACCACCAAAAAAGACTAATAGTATGCAAAAAAGCCCTTTATCAGTGCATATTATTTTTTATCTTGTTGTCGGGCATTATTTTCATGTCATTTATAAAAACTGAAAATGCATCGCAAAATCCAGGTCTGAACATAGGTTTTGTGTGAGAGAAGACAAAATAATGTATTCAAGTGTTTACATATAGTATACTTGACATGTTTGCAGTGAATAATCTATTACAATTTTTTTTACTAAATCTAAACTCTACATTTTGTAAAATGTTTGGGAATTAATCAAATAATCAAAGAATCAAACAACCAACAATAAAGAGGAATGAGTTAAAATACAAATAAATGTATAAAATAATAAATAATAAAATGTATAGCTCATAAATAAGCATTAATGTATGAAAACCCTTTAAAAGATTACATTTGTGGTTTGTTTTTTTTCGACTTTTACCATACAAGAAATCAAAAATTGCATAATATTGGTCAAAAATATTAGAATTAGCTATTTCTTTGAAACCGTGCAGCCTTAACCAAAACCTTTTTTCTTACCTATAAGGAAGCTGCAGAAGACAGCAGCTGGGATGCCGACTGTATCCCACGACACCATTGTAAACAACCAAGAAGAAGCCAGAAGAAGGAAGGCATTTTCCAAAAACATGACCTGAATATAAAGTTGAAATTACAGCAATCAATTTTCTACTTCAGGCACTAACGGTGCACTGTTTTGTTCCTCTCACCAAATAGAATCCTGCCATGCGATATCTTGACTGACCATACTTCACATTGAGGAAAAGGAAGACGTGGATAGCTCCCAGTACGACATTGAAAATTCTCCATCGAGTTGTTGAGCGGATAATATCAGTCTGCTGGGACACCATCCAAAATGTTGCACCCAGCCAGTGAACTCCTGATCAACACAAGTCTTTAGAATAAATTCAACATGCCATTCATTTCTGTTGTTTATCTTACCAATAACTCCTAGAATCCACTGTTTAAATATCCGTGTGAAAAGCATAAGGACTGCAAAGCGGGAGCCCAACATGCCAACCTAAATAATGAAAAATTAAGACGTTACATCCAATCAAAATACATGCAATGACACATGGATTTCCCCCTACCCTCCAGAGCAGGCGACACAAGATGGCAGCAGGCGTCATGTGGAGGTGTCCGGGTCTGATCAGAGAACAGGCCCTGGCGTAAAGGACCAACGCCCAGGCGAGAGACAGGACACACACCGCAAAGCACACGGAGGCTGAGGCACGGGAAAACACATGTTATTCAAGTTGGTCACAATCATTATGAGGCCTGAAAGCTGTGGTAGCATACAATAGGGTGAAAGCAGATACATTCAGTAAATGGGGAGGAATCAGGAAAAGAGGGAGGTGGTAATAACAACAACAAACACAACAACAACACCAATAAAACTGGAGTGCCAAACAGAAAGAGTCACGTTTAAGTAATATTTTGTGAACAGATATGAATGCTTTGCTGGCGATTGTTATAAAAATCTACATCTTCATGAAGAAAAACTGGCAAACCCTCTCCCAGGTTCTGTGTGATTTGACTTTTTTTCCACATCCGTGTTTTCTTCTAATTTGAGACACTGAACACAGATAATTCATGTTCTTATTTACCTTTGTGATTTTAATTTGTTTGTTTTTAATGTGTTACCATGTGTAATGCCACTGTTTGGTGTCTCTTGATTTAAGTGCACATGTTGATCATTGAGATTGAGCAAAGCTGGACCTTTACGTCCTGTAAACCATCTGATGCGTAAGCCTATTGCTATCACGTTGACGAAGCTGGATTTGTTTACTTGGAGACTTGATGCCGATGTCCGTGCAGATGAGGACGTAGGTCTGCAGTAGTGTTTGAGGGAGCGTCACGACCAGAGCCTCGAGCAGACGCAGAGCTGATGCATCTGCCTGCTGCATGATCTCTCCATACACGTCCATGTCCGGGAGACGCATGCACTCCCACAGCCTGAGCCAGACACATAGAACAGAGGCGTTCTTGGTAAAAACATATCTAAGATGTGAACAAAAGTAGGTCTAACATTGCTTGAATTAGGCAACTTGTATCTTCAGTTCAACACCCATTCAGTCTTGATTTACCAATAGGACAAAACAATTCTCCCTTGGAATGAGAAATAAATTCCAACTGCACACGAAACGATAACTACTTGTAGGCCTGTGCCAAAAACTGAAATATGGAAAAATTGCAATCTCAACTTCAATCACGCAATCCTTTCCTAAACTCACTGATCCAGCCACAGCCTTCCATAATGTTTGTCTTAAATATGCATGAATAAGTGTATACGTTAAGTGTTCTCGCCCTGCCTGTACACAAACAATGTCATTTTTTTATAACTAGAATAATCAACTCATTGAGATCGATCAATGTGGGAAGAAACATACCTCACTTAGCCCTATGGACGATCAAATGCTTCCCCAGATTGCCCAGCCCAACTCCTTGTCCCATTGGCAAATCTTGTTTAAAACAGTCAAAATACTCACAATTTAAAATAATTCAAGCATTTCTTTCCCTAGATGTCACCATTTTGCAATATTCTATAGCTGTACCTTTTGAAGATGCCAAGGTGCAGAATGTGAGTCCAGGTAAGAGATTTTCTGCGAATGCGTCCATCTGACAGATACCAGAGGTAACTGAGCCACTGAGGACCCCATCCTAGAAAATAAACATTATTAAAGAAGATGATATCACCGTTCGAAAAGATGTATACAAGAATAAATACTTTGCATTCAAAGAAATTATTTTCCTAGAGCGTATTAATTGCCCTATGAAAAAAAAATTAATAGCTTAATAATAATAATAGTAGTAATAAGAGATGTGTTCACCTGGCAGCAGGAACAGAGCAGTCAATCCAGCAAGATGAGCGTAGCAGTAGTTGTGACCGATCCATAAGTAGTAAACAAAGGAGTAGATCACTAGGAAGCAGAGTAAATTCATACTTTATTATTACCAGAGAATTTTGAAATTTCTCTACATTTCAATAAATGACTGTAAACAACTATAGAATAAGATTATGTTTGTATACATTATACACAAATGTATATTTTATACATCATCATCTGTCTCTCATGTTGGATTGAACATTCCTTCACAATTTGGACCAACAGAATAATATAGTATTTTTTAAAGTTTTGTCTTGTCTAAGATTTTCACTCAACTTTATTCACACATGCTTTTTGCCATATGTACAGAAACATTATATAATTTGCAGCTTTCTATTTCAAATGACCTTGCTAAGTTTCTGTAATCCGTAATAGGTCCATGCTGTAGCCATAGTCCTTCCTGCATCACTCACAAGGTCTGCTCCATCATGGAGACCCGCCCGAAAGTCTCTCTCCTGCTCCATGTAATCTGAAGCAGGACAGCTGCTAAACAGGCGGGATAAAGGCAAAGAGGCTGCATCATGGGTCCGCCCATCAACGTCCCTCCAAAAGGCGCTAAAACCGTTTATGGAGAGATGCAGACAGTTTACAGTCGCTGCAGTAAATCTCTATCATGAGTCTGCAGTTTTACAGTGCGCAGAACGCAGTGTGGAAATCCACTGCATAATTCAAACCTGGATCCAGTCATAAATCCAAAACTTAAAGATGCAGAAAAGTAGAAATATGCAACAAATTAGTAAAACACTTGAAACCAACGCACGTGCACGCGGTCCCTGGTTCTATCCGTGAGTCAATGTGTGCGTGTGCGTGTGCGTGTGTTTGTGTCCCAGGTAGGACCATAGACTGTAGGACTCACGCGCTGTCCTCTCTGCGACAATGAGGAATGCGGTCACAGCGAAGACGCAAACTTGACAGCAGGGCATGCAGGCTCCTCCATCTGCGGGAGTGGAGTAGTCCCTCATGGCGCTGCACGGATGAGACTCCGGTGGTGTCTGTGCAGGAGCAGGAGAACAGGGCCGGGACCTGGTGCGGTTCGGGAGGGGTCCAGCTGCAGTGCCCCCGCTACAGCTACGTCACAGCGTCCCGTTAAAGAGGCACTGCAAACCTCCACCACCGCCAGCACCGTGCGTAACCTGTCTGCATCTCCACCACTCCGGTGATAAGTCATTTGGAACAGGCTCATAACACAAGTATAGCTACATGCAATTAACGCAGATAGCTCTAAACCCGTAAGTTGTACAACATAAAGTTTCCTAAACGGAAAAGAATGTATGCGAAAGTTATATTCATGTAGTGCTAAATACTAAAGCTGAAGAATCCACATATAGAACACATAAAGAACACATATATTGATACATAAATTGTTGTATTGTAAAAGTAAAGTTCAGACCGCATCATGCTTTCTTATTAAAGGAGGATCGTTACTTGTTTTGACACAAGAAAATGTATATTAGGATGGAAATGAGGAAATGATGTTGTAACATAAATAGAAGCTCAAACACATAGGCGTAATGTCTCTCCTTTAAGGAAGTAATAAGGCTACTGTACTTTCATGTTTAATCCGTAAACCCACCAATCAAATCCTAATGTTTAAACACCATATGTATTGTTCCAACATGCAGCTTTGATTGGAACAGAACAGGCTATGGGGAATGGTATATTGTGATCAAACAACACACAAAATATGACACGCAATCAGGTGACACAAAATATATCTATTCTATCTGTCTTGCTTTTTAGTACAGAAGTGTGCAGTGAAGTAAGCCTATTGGTGTTTGTTTAATCTGTTCTGGCACATGGATACAAGCTTCTGTGTTAAGAAGTCTGAAAAATATGAACACGAAGCTGTTTCTTTCTTGTAAGAAAAAAGATTTTATTTTGTGCATCACAGCACTTCCAGGCTGCACACAGACTTTCCAGTTCTTCTGTACTCAAGTATCACTAAATACTTCTGCAAGAATATGCACTACATAGCTGCTGCCACTAGGGGGCACAACAGATTAACAAGGGGTTTTATTAAGCCTTTATTTTAAAACAAAAATGCATAGATATTTGTCCTACCATATTTGAAACAGTGGATTTTAAAATGCATCCGTCCAGTTAATCATCATATCAATGAAAATCTTAGTAATGTCATAAAAAGTAATGTAAAGTTACATTCTAGAAAATAACCCAAAATGTTAGTGCAACAGGGACATTTCAACATTTAAGTGAGTTAATTGGTTCCTACAAAGTTACCTTCCCATTGTTTGAGAAGTGCTACACAGAAGATGTTGAAACAATCATAAATCATTAAATCATTAACTTTTGTCTGCATCTGAATCCTAGTCCTGGACTCATCTACAGCCCATCTGTGGGAGTGGATCTCTGCACTGTAGTTCTCCCTGAGGTTTTTAGGTTTGATTATTATTTTCCAAAGTAAAAATGGATGCTCTATAGGTAGGACATGAATTAATTTGTTTATTCCCTGTGAGCATTAGTTATTCTGTTTGTCATTTAAGGAGAAAATGTCAGTTGGAAAATCATCAATAGGTTCAACTTCTGCTGTGATTTTGGGCGGTACAAAAATAAATTGATTTGATTAAAAATAGCAATTGGTTAAAGTCACAAAATAGTCCCTTCAGTGTGTCCCTGCAGGACATGGTGTTACTGTTACAGATGCTGGATTTAAAGGGGGTGCCCCTAGTTTCACAGTTGTGTTAGTAATATCTGTTGAGGCTCTGGGTGACCGTGCTGATGTCTGGCTGTCCGTTCATCCATATCTCCCGGAGAACACGCTCTCGCTCCTCCAGCCGCTGAGCCCGGTCCAGCTCTGAAACACAAAGCTGATGTCACTGACAGTGCAGGGGGGCATGACCATTATTGGGAGTAACTAGAGATACTATTTTTTTTGTTGAAGTGACTAAATATAAAAAAGAAATAACAATTGTAAACCGCTTTGTGACTCTGGTCTGTGCAAGGCGGTATATAAATAAAGATTACTTACTTACTTAAATATAACATTCTATTTTGCACTGTTTATTTTTTTGAAACACACTACCAATGTCACTCAAACACTGTGTACCAGCGTTAGTTAAGGTATACTTTATTGATTTCTGTAGGGCAATTTGTCATCTGCATTTGACCCATCCTGCATTGCCACTTTAGGCAACCAGTCAGGAGCAGACAACGTCCAGGGACACAGGGAGAACATGCAAACTTCACTCAGAAAGGCCCATTTTGAGGTCCACCTTGCTGCCCATGGCCGTTGTACACCAGGGGTTCCTAGTATTTTCATACTGGGACCTCCAAAATAAGTATGCTACTCAATTGTAATGTTCCATCCATCCATCCATTTTCTTCCGCTTCATCCGTTGCCGGGTCGGGGTATATCAATGATCTATTGTATTGTAATGTAATGTACTCGTAATCCTCTGATAGTGTCCTATGACCTCGAGGGTTCCCCACCTCCACTTTCTTTAAGCAGCTGTATTGCACTGTGCCCAAGACAAATTTCTTCTCCAGGACAACAAAGTTTAGTCTGTTCTACTTTATTTGAGGCTAAAAGTTACGTAGACAACTCAAAGAAGTGTAACACAGTTACATTTTAAAGTCAGTCTTATTGTAATATGACTCACATCTTCATATTAATCCCAGTAACTAATGATATAATATTATAACACTTGCCCAACACAGCTCATGACTCCATCTAGTGGTAGGCTATAGAACACTGTCAGACTGTAGCACATGTATATTACCCTCTGCAGATGTAAACATGGTGGCATTCAGTAAAGCCCTCTCAAAGCGCCTGCGTCTCCGTGTGGACAGGTCACAAGATTCGTCCCAGTCCTCTGATTGGTTGTCCCCTGTGGCCCCTGTCCCATATGGGACCATAGTGTTGTGCATGTTACTGTCAGAGTGCTGATGGAGGGGACAGGCGGGGAGGCGTCCAGGGTGTCTGCACTTGTGCCGTTTCTTTGGAGGGTTCTTCCCATAGTGACAGTCTGCTCTGCAGTGGATCTGAAAGACTATGGCACAGAGTGTGAGCAGTAGTCCTCCACACACTCCTCCCAAAAACACCAACGCTGTCTTTTCAGGCTGCTCTGCAGGAGCACAAGCATCTGTGTCAAAGTCTAAAACATATTTACATGTTTCCAAAGTCAATTACCGGCTATAAAGGTGTACGCTGCCAGTGTGTTGCTAAGCAGTGCCATCTCCACCTTCTCCACATTGAGACTTCCTTCTTGTGTTGAATTCATGGTTTAGACTCAGGTGACTTGTTTCTCTGTTGAAGTTACAAGTTGTTATAAAACCGTCAAATCATGCACATATTTCAGAGACAAGTACAAACTTCATCTTGTCTTTTATATTCTATAACAACCATAATTTCCAGTTGTAGTTAAATACCAAATATGTTCACGATTACTATTCTGTCCAGACATGCATGATTCTGTGTGCAAAAGAAACAATGTGATTTGTTATTATAATTCTCAATGAAAATGTCGTATTGTAAGAAGAATGAGCTCATGAGTTTATCCCCATTACCCTATGCGTAAAATTTTCGTATCTTATAGATATGAAATGTTTTGAAAGAGTTGAGTTTGAACAGATAGTTAGATATATCCTGTCGTATTCATAACCTTAATCCTGGTAATAATAATAATAATAACAATAATTATGAGAATGATCATAATAATGAGAATGATAACGATAAAAATGATTAGCTTTTCATGATACCCAAAGATGGTTAAAATTACATTAATATTTTGCGATGGTGATACACCATTACTGTAGCCACAGCTACCGCAGGGCAAACTGGTGGGAGAGAGGCAACTAATCTGTGCCATCAGCCCCTCCGACCACCATCATTCCGTCACACTAGGCTCACATTACAAATCTTGGAACGCCTGTTTGTGTTTAACTTAAGGGAAAAAGATGAATGCTTTGTGTCCGGTCTGATGAAGTGCAGTAAAGCCTTAACTCTGAGCCACAGGACGTGTCATTATGCAAAGCTCAAGGCAGTGATAAAAGTGTCAAAATGATTATGCTCCTGATCGCTGCAGGTGACGGGTGCCCTTCTCTGGGCCTTGGTTACTGCTTTTGAAACTGTCACAGATTATTTTTGGCCAACTTTGAATGTTGCCATTTAGAAGACACTGTATTCGTTTTACCTCTAAATGTTACATTTAAAGAAAATTGCAGAAATGGAAAAGAACAGGCAAACTAGTGCTGAGACAACATGCAGGTTGTAAAGTCTCCATTTCACCACAGGTTTTAATTAATGCTTTATGAATGATGTCTATCAGACTCACACCCAGGAATTCTCAATCATCTGCATTTACAGTTATGTAATGCCATTAGTATGAAACATTTGGCCCCAAGCCCACTTCTTACAAGCTGCCCATTTGGTCTGGAACCATACACTCAGAAGATATGATCACTCATAAAATGAAAACCAAATTGAATGAGTGTGTTTACTTTTTAGAACATCTCTCTCTACCTCACAGTGAAAGAAGACGAGCCAGGCGCTCATCATTAAAGCGTATTTGTCCTGCTTGTGTTGAGAGTGTGACACTAATGCTCTGTGACAGTGGCCTTTTCGGCTCTGCATTGTTCCTGAGTGACCTCAAAAGAGACTGAACAAGACAAAGACCCTTCCTTTCTACAGTGTTGTCCATTTTCTATAGCCCAAGCAAACATCTGGAGACGTGTGTAACTCACCACATAGTCTTGTCAAGAGTCCATTTAAAATTTCCTCCTCGGTCCCCTGACAGCTTGTTTCCTTTGGCTCTGTGCGCTCTCTCCTTCTGCTGTCCTCTTCTATTATCTCCTCTTGCCCTCAAAGAAAAACACTGACTGTAAAATTACATGTGTAAATCTCCGTTGTCTTCATGTGGCCAAGACAGTCAACTGCATAACTTTGGTTGTCTATTCCTCTCCTCTAAATGAAAGATCCAGTTGTGCAGAATGTGAGTGTCTGGAGCGTCAGGGCTGTAGTGAACATGAGCCTCTCTCCATTGGTCCTGGCTCCACACAGTCACTGAAGTTTACAGCTGAAGAACCACCAATGATGTGCACGTGCGGAGGGAGAGGGAGGGGCGTGACAAATGAGAAGGCTTTCCACATAGCAGACTTCTAACTGTTTATTACAGGCTTTACTGACTGTAATTCAGTACATTTGTTTTCTGGAATGGTTATGTTTTTACTAGATTTCTCAACCGTTAGACTTCTCCTTGTATTTGAGAATGGGAATACCCACTACATCACACTATAGTATTCTTCCTACTTTATAATTGTTTTTCACAGGTTGGTTGTGAAATAGCCAAATCTCTATGATGACAATACATACATTATTTGAATTTGATCCGTTCCTTCAGAAATTAAATGGTCTTTAAATGTGTGTTTTTTTAATCCTCTCAACATAGTTCATTGTGTTCTTCATTGAATGTTTAATTGAGATGTTTTTCACTCCCCAATTATTTCTTTCTTGGACTACTATTGTAATCCTCAGTGAGCTTTGTATGTTTTTAAATAGTCTTATACAATTATGATGGATTTACCCAATTCATCTTAGATGGATTTACCAGGGCCAATCCACAAGAAACACAAACTGTCCACATTTTCTTTGTCACAAAATTTCAACTTTGGTCTAGTTATTTTCTCATAAATGTCTCTAGAAGTGATGACAATATTCATAAAACATCATGTTGAAACAACAGGACATTTTCTTTATCAACATTTCTTTCAAAATGGAGTTGTATTGGCACCTACTTTCTGATCCAATGGAAATAAAATTATATAAACATGAATGCTGCTGGATACTGTTTTAGTTGTGATTAAGTTTTAGAAGAGAATTGAATCTGGCCCAGAGTAAGTCTAGTGGGAACTGGGGCTGCTGCAGGTGAATGTGAGAAATGTTTCAAAGGGAAATGTACATGTTTGACCTCGCAGCGTTGTTCCGTGAGTTGTGGAACGTGTTCTGGTGCAGAGCGTTCACACGTGGCTGCTTTTATTCTCCTGTCCTGTGCTGTAAGCGAATGGGAGCTAATGCAAAAATCAACAACCCTCTAAAAATAACTTTATATCAGAACGTGTTTATGAAAATTTTATCAGTGAACCTGTCACACTGTCAAGTTATTTATGTGCTGATCTTGCAAAGGTAAAAGGGGAGTTTAAAGTAGCAAGTGCTCGAACAGGAAAATAAGTTTATTCAATTCAATTTCATTGAAGTGAAGAACCAAAGGTCATAGTAGGTCCCAAACAATGTGTGATTTCAGCTGCACATTGCAGAGCTCAATATGTTTATACATGTTTATTTTTCTAATACATTTACACATAGGATAACAATAAACTTACATATAATAGTAAGTATCTATTAATAATAAAAGCCAGTCAATAATTGTAATTTTATTTCACACAAATGCTTTTCTCCATCTGTTTGTGTTTACATTATGTATTCCCTAATATTAATGAGCTGCGCATACTCTTTTTCGAAGCAAGCCCTCACTTTTGAGCATTGTTCAAAATGCAAAATGCATACAAAACATTTACCACTTACCATTTATAATGCATGTGTTTCTGCACCTATGTGGACCAGGCTGTTGAAATATTAACATGGGAATTTGGACGTGTATTGTGTGAGGAGCTGTTCAGCCCTGAAATAGCAGGGGACACAAGTTGTAAGTTTGAGATGCAGGGTTGTATAAAAGATGTGTCAAGGGAAAGATGGAGGAGCCATTGTTCTTCAGAACCAAAGCTAACAAACAATCTGCTTAATAAATCAAAGATTGTTGGTAGTTTTACGTATGTATATGTGTACGTAATACGTATATATAGTTTGCATGTTCTTCCTGTGTCTGTATGCTCCGGTCTCCCCAACTAATAAAACCATGTACAACAGATCCAGCATGTGGCTCCCCTGCTTCCATCTCTGTGTGGAGATGAAAAATGCCCACAGCCACTTTAAAGCGCTTTGTGACTCTGTGAAAAGCACTACATAAAAAGAGGACTTACTTACAGTAAAAAAGTACAGTAAGTAACCACTTGACTATAAAGTTTACATAACGAGAAGATGGCGATAGAAAGGATCTTGACAATATTCAGACACTGTTTTGAGTCATTCAATTTGGTGCTGTGGTTGAGTTTCATGGACAAAATGTGAAATTACAGTATCACTGTTTACAGATCTTTGATGGTTTATATTATCAATGGGATCTTTTGATATAAATTTTTCCAAAATAATGATTGAAACGTAATCCAATCAATAAGATATTTTGCATTTCTGATGAACAACCTCTCAACAGTGATCTGAAGACTCCTTTACCCAGGTTGTGTTGCTACATGCTCCTGTTCTAGGTTTGGGCCTGGAGTCCTCTCATAGTGCAGTGTGTATGTTACATAAGACGCCTGTTCATGTGGCCGTAATCAAATCATGTCCCTGAATGAGCACAGTGGAAGTGAGGCCACGTCACTGCCCGAGCATCAGCCTCTGCTCTCTGCACACAGGGACCTTTATTATCATATCCTCATCACCTAACTTATCACTAAGATTCAATAAATGATTTAAATAGACAGGGAATAGTTTAATGTATTATTATTTTAGTCAAATCAATGTTGGTCTCATCTCTCTCCTATAGGCCAGATTTGTGTATTGACAAATACTTGCCCCCACGCAGACTACCCCAGGGGGGCGGTGGATGTCTCCAGTTAACCATTGGCCTCGTGTCCGCATCTGTGATTGTCCTGTGACTTTGAGCAGGCAGTCTTGGCAGATTTGCAGTTGTGCTGTACTCGTAGATGTTCAAAGCATAGGGAACGTTAAGATGTTTTTAACTTCTCCACATCATCATCCCTGACCTCTTAGTATGTTGCACTTTGCTTTCTCTTCACAATTGTCCGTCACTTTGAAATGAAATTAATAATAATAATAATAATAATAATGCATCGGTTTTATATAGCGCTTTTTTGGACACTCAAAGACGCTTCACATGTGTCATTATTCATTCACTCCATACACGGTGGTGATAAGCTACTGCTGTAGCCACAGCTGCCCTGGGGCACACTGACAGAGGCGAGGCAACCAGTATGCGCCATCGGCCCCTCCGACCACCACCAACCATTCACACACACACCTCATTCTAGGCAATGGGGGTGAAGTGTCTTGCCTAAGGACACAACGGCAGTTTGGCACTTTACAGCCGCCCCACTGTGGCTGGTGTTCCCAGAGGTTAAGTGTCTTGCCAAGGACACAACGACAGTAGTCAGTGGGAGCTGATGGTGAAGGTCTTAAGCGGGGCTTGAACCCACGACCTTCTGGCTCAAAGGCCAACGCTACCAACTGAGCTACTGCCGCCCTAATTTACTAAACAAATTAACTTGTTTGTGGTCATGAGACAAAATGTGGAACAGCTCATGGAGTTTGAATACTTTTTGTGGTACTGTATGTATATTTTATTTTTCTAAATATTAAAATAAGTAAACAAATAAAAGCTTAAAAAATGGGGAGACCTTTTCCGTTATCAAGCCTTTAATTGGACTTGTGTGATGAAGCCCTTAAAATACAGTAAAACAGCAGATTACATCAGGCTGAACAGTCAGTGTTTCAGAAAATACAATTGAACTTTGAAAAGCCATTTAAAATAAGCACACACACACACACACACACACACACACAGAGGAAGGTACTGTCCTTTTGCATAACAATTTAAAAAAGCATTATTTCAAATCAGTTTTTGCTCGATTAAAAGTCTGAGAGCTGAGCCACAGACCTACAAAGACAAACCAGAGTGAATTACCTTCACAAAAAAAACAGTGAACATCTAAATAACCGACATCTATACACGGACGCTGCAAACCCGCAGACATTCACACACACATAAATTAAATAAATACAAAGCTTTTTAATATCTGACGCACAGAAGAGCAATGCAAGCAACCGTTAAAATAAAGAAAAATCAAAGTATGCCATAAAATGAATCACTCACAATAATATATCCTTGGTAAAGTGGCATTAAACATGGGACAACAGAAAAGTATGTTGTTTCAGTGCGAAAACTGCAGGTCTTTATAAAAAATACTGTTATTGCTGAAAAAAGTAAGTGGCCTGCTTTAAAGGCGGTACAATCCAAAGTTCTGACCAATTGTGGAAGTTCATCTTATCTTGAAAAAATGCTTAGACTCAAGATAAAAGACACTCTCCCTGCAATTACATGTACAAAAATACATTTTTAATAATATTTGTAAATAAGGCGAGGGTCAGAAAGTTGAAGCTACGAGACCAATGTCAGTCACCGGTAACAAATGAGACAAACCCACAAGCTTCTTCAGCAGAATAACGATTCCAGTCCACAGGAAACTGGGATATTCATACAATCCTACATACGATGATGCTACATATGGTTTAGCATTAGCCATTTTGTTTCTAAACAAATTAATTTGCTTAAATTTGGAAACATCCACTTCCCAGTTGTCTGGAATACAACAAACAATATCAATGTGTGTTAGAATCAACCACCAAAGGGCTTCAGGTGAGAGAAGAGAACTGAATAATCCTTCTTAATAGTGAAGTATTATAGTATTATAAGCTAAAACCATGTAAACATCAGGTCAGTGCACTTTGGAGCCTGCATGTTTCTCTCTCGGTGGAAAAGCATCTGTAGTGACTATTGTGAGGTTAAAAACTTGGCAGAAGATCTTGTTTGACTTCTATAATCTATGGGTAAAGAGACATGTGTAAGAAGCAGCTTTTCTGATGAGGAGATGAAAGTAACAGACGTCCAAAACACTCGGCATTATTTGCTGAAGAGCTGCAGGTCGAGGCGGATCCACACCTCTCCAGTCGGGACCTCGTGCAGCAGAATGCGGCGTGTCACTGCGCCTTTGTTCTCCAACTCTTTCTTTATTGTAGCGACGGGGACTTCTGTGCGACCAAGGAAATCTACAACAACAAAGAGGTTATAAAAGAGCGAACGTACAAGATTAAAGGAAGCATACAAGGAGACAACAGACCGTCTGGTGAGAAAAGGCCTTTCTCGTAGATGGTAATGCACAGGACGTCCTGGTAAATATCTTTGATGTGAAACTGACAGTTGAAGTTCCACTTGGGGTTCAGTGTGTCGTTCAGCGTTCGAGAGGTGAAAATCTGTGCTCCCATCGTTACTTCACAGTATGGGTTACTTTTACCTTGAGGAGACAAAACAAATACTATAATGGTTACCGTAATGGATTCATTGATTAACATGTGCCTGACGCTTTTATAAAACAATGCTCCTGTGTCAGTGATGGAGGACGGACACGTCAGAACTTTTAAACGCTATTTTTGTCACGTGTCCATTTTGAAAATAGTCTTTGAACTTTGTCGCAAATAAAGTTATATATTTCTTTTGTTTAAACATTTCAATTATAATGAACACATCTTTATGCTACCTGCTTGTCAAAGCCTGATCTCATCAGGTCCCAGAAGTTAAGCAGTCAGAAACCTGGTTAGTACATGGATGGGAGACTGGCTTTTACATGCTAAACTGTTATTGTGTCTTAAATTAAGACTATTCACTCACATTTCTCAGTACAGTGGTTCGTAAAAGGGGGTGCATCATGACTTCAACATTTTAAAAGCTTGTCACTGTATCTCACCAATTATTTTATAAAAATCATTCTAATTTCATTTGAATTACTCCAATTGAAACCATAGTTGACATGTTTTTTTAAATGATTGAAATGAGAAGTTTAGAAGGATTATGCACTTCTTTTTGGGGTTCCAGACTGAAAAGAGGATAACCCAGGCTAAGTATGAATCTGGTGTGTGTATTGGAAGAGCCAATGGTACGGAGTGGCCGCCTGGTTAATAAAGTGAAGGTACACTTAACTGCAGGGGTACTATGTGTGCTGATAGTGATGACTGTACCATTAGGTTTGGCTGCCTTCAGCTCGGTGGCCTCTAAAATGGTGACGAGGAGTCTGCCGATCCCACTGGCCTTCACGGAGCGTGCTGCCATAACACAAACATTAGATTATCCAGGTGTCATCACAAAACACCACAGTGTGTGTGGAGACAGACCTTGATAAACCTTTTCCCTTTTTTTCTTATCCATCTCAAGAAAGTCCTCTGATGCCGCCTTGATCTTTTGAACCCATGCCGTCCTATAAAAATAAGAGGCACAAATTGAAATGTCAGTTTGAGTTAGGACTGATGAATGCAATTGAATAAAATTTGCTATTCATGTGGTCATAACTGGAAAATCACAAAGACTGCAAATAAACAGGTTCTTTGCACACAAAAAAGGTACTATAAACAAGCAACAAAAAACACTTGAATTCGGGAAATTGTCTGGTGATTTGAAGATTTGTCAAAGAAAGACTTTGAAAGTATCAAACATTATACAATTCAACAGTTTTGCAGTATTTGTCTTATTTATACTATTTTTCCAAGAAAACATTGTTGTACTAAAAAGGTTAGAACTCTAAAAGTTGAAATTTTGTTCACAAAATCGTGCAACCCTAGTTTGAATCATGATGGAATATTACCGTTCATTGATGTTGTCGGTCTTCAGAGCGTAGACTCGGTCAATGTGCGAGATGTGAAAAAGGGGTTCATCACTCGAGGGGTCCGGAAGCTTCACCAGGACTTCATTGAGAAAGACAGGCTGACAGAAACAGACAGCCATCATATTAAACCAATGTCACAGTCCTCAGTGGCTCATGAGGACACGTTTGTCTCACCGGTTTATACATCTTGAGCTGTGTGTTGCTTTTGTTGCTGAACAGCTTGTCAGGCACAGACGAGGTGAACTGTTTTGCTGAATGAGTCAAAAGTAGAAAGTCACTGAATAGGAAAGCCCACAGTTCCTTGTTGCTCTTGGCCTTGTACATCTGAAAACAAAAAGAGCGTTGCCAATGAAATGGTAACAGCAAGTTTGATTTATCATTCAAAACATAGAAAACTTGAATATACACCTTTCCGCTATGAAGAAGCTTCCTGGGGCCCAAGCAGTTTGTGAGGGAGTTGAAAGCCAAGTGCTGTAAAACAAATTAAGCCTAAATGTAAGCCATCAAAGAAAAAACAAACTATTATTGTGTATCTTACCTCAGCAATCCCATCGCACTGTACGTGATTCTGGATCCACTCCAGTTTGTCTGAGTTTTCCTTCTCACGCACACCTTCATTCACCTGATCAAAGGGACGTGTGAATGTTTGCTACATCAATCTGCCCTCACAGATGTGCGACGCACTAACCTGCTGGCAGAGCTCCTCCGCCCTCTCCTGAGCCTGTTTCAACAGGAGACGATCAGAGTGACCCTCTGCCGTGCACTCCAAGATCTGTACACAGAAACATAAGCATTAAAAAATAAAACCTTAGTCGAGAGAGGTTAAAGTTCATAAATTAATAGAAAGTACATTTTTGATATGAAGCGGGTATCGAGTGATTCTCTGCATTGGCTTCAGCAGAAAACTAGACAGAGGCATGCCTTTGCACCTGTAGTCAGTGGCAATTTTCTATAAAAAAACAAAAACACTTAAATAATACTCAAAACAGTCATATCCAGAGTCTCACGCCTCTTGCCTTGAGAAAGAGTTTGAAGTCAGGTTCATTGTCCGTACGTATCTGAAGAAGTTCAGCTCCGTTGATCTGACAAGAGCAAAAACGAATGTACGGCTGCATGTGGGCAAGCTCTTTGGCCAAAATGTCTCCCACCATCTGAATGGGGGACTTCTCTCCCCCTTTGCTCCTACGTTCATGAAGAGCCCTGTCAAATAAACAAAAACAATTAGTTAGCTGGTCAACTCAAAAAAAAAAAAAGGAAATCATGATTTAGACATTCATAATATTATACTTTAGGAGCCTATTGTTGCAAGGCAGCAGCTCCTTCCAGTTCACAAAAATCTTCTGCATTTCAACCTCGGTCAGTCTCCCCGACTCAGACATGGGTCTGTAGAAGACCTGCAAACACCCACGCAGTAAAAGCCTATTACACTTTTGGACATTACATCCTCATCCTTTTATCAATTGCAACTCTCACATCTAACACTATCTGCAGATCTTCAACATATTTCTCCTCAGTCTGGATGAGCTCTTGGATATAGTCTTGTCGCTTCTTCTCTTGTGGACCCAGGGAGTCAAAGCTGTTTGGATCTAAGCACAAAAACACAATCACATGTTTTAGTTTTTAAATGGACTACACACAGAGCAGAGAAAAACTGTTTGGTTTGCTGCCTCCCACTGGTTTGAAGCTGAAGTACACATGTTCCGAGGGTGAAACGCAAAGGAAGAGAATAGAAAACAAAAGTGAAAAACAAATGAATACTAAACTCTTACCTGGGACAGTAGCTTGTTGCACCATTCCAGCACTAGAGGCTAAATCAGGCTCAATGACTAAACCGCCCACACAAGCTTCTTCTGTCTCAGAACCATCACAATGTTTCTCGTCCCAAAGGTTTAGAAAATCAAATCTGTTTTGAGAAGTCATCTCCTGTGTAACAGCAGCTACTTGGTGCTCTGGACGTTTTAAGGCTGTCTACCAGTGCTTACATTATTCATAGTTTTCATCAGCTTAAACACATGTTTACCCAAAAGCAGGAGATTGTGGAGGGGCTTACAGTGTCGCGTTCAGAAGAGACCTTCAACTTTCATTTCAACCGAAAAATACATGTAAATAGAAATTGGAGAAAAATAACCAGTTGTCACAAGGCAAATAATTTGTTTTATTTAATATATTTCATAACACTCTTAATACACAATAATAACAAACTTTTGTTTAAATATCCTTAATAAAATATATATGTTGCTGCTTAAATCTCCATTTGTTTAATAACTTAAGGCAAATGCATTTTGCATAGATGTCCAACCTGAGAAAAGCCCTCCTCCAAAAAGCTTACAAAACCTCAAAAGTGCAGTAAAGGCTGTAGGAGAAAATTTATATATTTTTCTCATTGATTTGGAAAAACAAACAGCATTAACATAATGTATTGTGTATACCGTTGCTTACGCAAGAAATAATGCAAAAAGTAGAAAAGCCTAAACCTAATTCACAATCACAGAGAAAATAGAAAAAAGAACATGGTAAAACATCATCAGTCACATGCCGCAAATGTAAAGGAAACTGAAGCAGGAAAAACAGGTGAATAACAAGAATGTAGTGAGCAGGAAACACTCTCCATTCCAGTAGTTGACATAACACGGCACAGAGCGGGCCGTGGTGCCGAAAAGCGCAAGAGTAAAACCCTCTGGAGTCGAGGAGAGGAGGAGGAGGAGGAGGAGGGGAAGAAGAGGGTTTTCTACGTCCTGGAAATACAGATGGAGGAATGGGGCAAGCACAGGACAGGTTTAGAGGAAAGACATCAATCTAAACTTACTGCTGTCTGAATGTTACAACATGCAAGCTCGACTGAACGTAAAGAGGTGTGAGAAACTATATAGTCACATGTATTTAGAAAGCACTCACACTGTTGGGAGGTGTCAGCGTCGGAGGTGGTCATTCGAACGTAGTTGGTGGGGAATAGACCAGTGGATCCATTAATCTCCCCCTTCCACCAGTCGGGGTCATTCTTATCCAGGACATTGATCAGCTGACTTTTGGAGAAGCTCAACTCGTCCCCATTGGCTGCTGTGTAATCGTATATTGCTATAACCTGACAGACTGAAGCGAAAGGGAAAATGCATTTATAACCACAGAACACACACTGATTTCAAACCTTTGTTCTGTTACCTGGTTGAGATGCGGGTGTAGATTTTCCACTGTTGGATCCGAGGATTTTGACATTAGCTGCAGGGAACCAGCCTTTCTGCCGCTTTTTACCACGGGCCTGGCGTATGCAAACATTTTAATTGATTCACTTTAAGACAGTAGATGTGTGTATGTTTTCAAAAGACAAACCTGAAGTTCACCAAGCCACCACCCAGAAGTGTTTTTCCCCAAAATGACAATGAGCTGATTGGGTTCCAAACTGAGCTGTTCGGGTCGCGTTGCCGGGTAAGCACGGGCCACCTGAGCAATTTCTGGAAATGAAGATACAAGTACGAATAAAAATGAAAAACAGGCATAAACCCAATATTTTTTCTCATTTGATTAATGAAATAAGAACGTATATTTACCTGGCTTTTTTCCTTTCCCAGAGGCACTTGATGTCTGAAATAACAGGAGTTTTATTTACAATATACAATTTTTGATATTTCCCATAATGTGCAAAGAAATGAGCTTACATCACTTTCTTTCGGTTTGACATAGTTGCCAGGAAACAAGCCTGTCCGGTCTCCGATGGAGCCGCTCCACCATTCTCCCTCTCTTTTAGAAACCAGGATTATGTCTCTCTCTTTAAACGTGAGGTCTCCGGGTTCAGGGGACTCGTACGTGTACAATGCCATGAACTCTGGAGATGAAAATTACATCATGGTAACGTAAAAAAGAACAAAAATCGGACACAATAAAGCTTGTTTACCTTCAAACGGCTGGCTATCGCTTGCATCTGAACTCTCAGCTGATAGACTCTTATCACTAAAAAAGGAAGTAGATCAAAAGAGTTTTGGTATACTCCACATAGTATGAATACAGAAAGCATCTTACAGAATTAAATTGAATAAAAAATTTGATTACAACTATTGTAGTAGCTAGCAGTAAAAGGTTGACAGCGCAGCTTTTCCAAAACACAAGCAATGGAACAATGAAGCTGGTGGGCTGTACCATCATACATCACAGGAGGGGGGGTAATAAAAATGGCCAACATCCCATCATATAAAACTAAAATACTAAACTTGTTTGCTTGCTGTGCAGTGCTGTGTGATCACACGAATATAGCATTTGTAAAACAGAATGAAGAGACACAAGATTAGTAACGTACTCTACAGTGTCCTCCTCACTCAGCACTGTCACATAGGTTTTGGGAAACCAGCCTTGAGCCCCGTTCAACTCTCCAAGCCACCAGTTCTCCTGCTGCTCCAGCACTTTTATCACATCGTCCTTATTGAAGTTCAAATGGTTTTCCGTCTTGGCGGTCCAGGAGCACAAAGCCTGAGCCTGGACATTACCTACAACCTTCTTGAAAGTGCATTTAAAAGTGAGATTCATGAGTACAAAAGCACAATTAGAAAACATGCGTTGCACTCACCTGGCCATGTGAATCTGAGAGAGTGGGGTTTGGAGAGTGCGTAGGGGTGAAGGCAGACTTTGTTGCCCCGGCTTTAGCAGCTTCCAGAGCACTAGAGAGCTGAGACTGAAGGGCCAGTTTGGGGACAGGAGGTGCGGTGTCCGTCTTGTTAGCCGAGGACACCTTTTCAACATAACTCTCTGGGAAATAGCCCATTTTCCCATCTTTACTGCCAAACAACCAACCGGGCTCACGTTCAACCGACTCATCAACCTAGAAAGGCAAATATTTAGTGATTTGGTCAAAAAGAATCAAAGAGAAAAAAGAAAACGTCACGACTCACTTCAAGGACGTCATCTGAATTGAAAGTCAGCTCTTCCGGGTTTCGAGCAGTGAACGGATACAGAGCTTTGAAAGAGGTGAGAGCTGCTGACTTTCTGTGGGAGGTAGCCTTGGGTTGCCCACCTGAAAAAACATTCAAAAACAAAAGACTATTGTAAAAATGTTGACACGTTTTGAAGAGAATTATATTTAGAAAACACTTGTTTTGTGGTTGGAATGAGCAATTAGTTACATTTAGTTTCTTAGATTCATAAAACTAAATGATCTACACAGGTTTTCAGAAAGAAAAGCATTCAAATTCAAATCAAATCAGAACTGTTTGAAAGGAGCCGTCCCACGCGTCTGTCTGCTATACAGTATGTTAATCTATGACAACCGTGACTCATTAATGAAGAATAAATAACAATGTTATAAAAGACTGATCTGCATTGTGGGAATCTACATTTCGCAGAATGCAATAAGAAAATTGAAGGAAGGAAGTTAAAACAGTGGGAGAGGTAAGGGGCCATGGTGGATCCCCCCGCCCGGTGCGCGGCCCTCCCACATTCGCCCACACTACCACCACCACCAACCCGGCCACAGTGGAGTCAGTTCGGTCTCCGGATCCTCCACCCTGCTCCACAGCCGCTCGTGGCGGCTCCGCTCCGGGCACCCCCCAAGGCTCTCCTGTCCCCTGCTCTCCACCAGGTCCCACCCCAGTCACACCCTCCCCTCCGCGGCCTCTGTTTGCACCAACCACGCTCCTGGTGGGGGATTCTATTATCAGACACTGCAAGTTTTTTAATGCCATCACACACTGTTTTTCTGGAGCCACAGTCCCCACCATCCTCATTAAACTACCCGCACTTATTCAGACAGCACCCTCCACAATAACCCGGATCATAATTCATGTCGGCACAAATGACGCTTCACTCCGCCAATCCGAGACCACAAAACGCCATTTTAAGGATCTTTTTAACCTTTTATCAAACTCAGGGAAAACTGTTTTTATCTCTGGTCCTCTGCCCACTATGAACCGCGGCAGGGAGCGTTTTAGCAGGATTTTATCACTCAACACCTGGCTCAATCAAACATCACTCCATCACAACTTTGGTTTTATAGACAATTTTAATCTGTTCTGGAACCGCTACTCCTTCTTCACACCCGACGGACTTCACATCAACCCACTTGGCAACCGGTACCTGATCTCCAACATCACCCACGCAGTCCAATCCCATCCTACATACCTCTGACAACCCACCCCCACATCCCACATCCCTCCTGCCCGTCTGTGCCCCAGCATCAACCCCTGCTCTCTTCCCCAGCACAAAATTACAGTTTTGTCCAGACCCCGTCCCTACAGACCGTCCATACCCAGGAAACCGTCCTTCACCAACCTCATCACTGTTTCCCCCTGCCCTCTCTCATCAAACTATGGACTCCCCATCAACAATAACAACCCATCTACCATCAGGTTTGCCCTTTTAAATGTACGCTCCCTTTTAAATAAGACTTTTACTGTTAATGATTTGATTTTAGAACACGAGCTGGATGGTATGTTTTTAACTGAGACCTGGCTGGGTCCGGATGCTCCGGCTGTTCTTACAGAGGCCTCCCCCCCCAATTTTAACTTTGCTTTTAAAACAAGAGAAGGAAAGAGAGGTGGCGGCACAGCCTCAATATGCAGTAACACCCTGGCCACCAAACCTATTGTTTTTAACCAATACTCAAGTTTTGAGTATCACTCTCTTGTTTTTAGCAACCCCAACATTTTAACAGTAATTATTTATAGGCCACCTAAAAAGTGCAGCCTTTTTGATTGACTGCGGAACCTTCCGCAGTCAACCATTGGTTTTGTATTTCTTTATTCCGTCATTTTTTTTGACACGTTTCACAGCTTTCACATTTTCAACAATTTCCACAAGTTATACATCAAAACGTTCCACATGTTTGGGAGATTATTGCTATTACTTTTGGGACTTCAGCGATTTCCGGTTTTTCCGCAATCGGACAAAAATCTGCATTGAGAATTCTGCAATGCATTTTAATAGGCCCATGCATTTTAATAGGACTTCAGCTCTTTCAGACATTTCTACAGTTTCAATGATTCAACAGTTTCAAGGATTCAACAGTTTCAAGGATTTCAGCAGTTTCAAGATTTCAAGAGTTTCAAGGACTTCAACAGTTTCAAGGACTTCAGCAGTTTCAAGGACTTCAGCAGTTTCAAGGACTTCAGTGTAATCATGCAACCTAATAGGGATTTTTCCATGTAAACCAGTATAATGCAACTTAATAGGGATTTTTCCATGTAAACCAGTATAATGCAACTTAATAGGGTTTTTTCATGTAAACCAGTATAATGCAACTTAATAGGGTTTTTTTTCATGTAAACCAGTATAATGCAACTTAATGGGGATTTTTCCATGTAAACCAGTATAATGCAACTTAATAGGGGTTTTTACATGTAAACCAGTATAATGCAACTTAATAGGGTTTTTTCCATGTAAACCAGTATAATGCAACTTAATAGGGATTTTTCCATGTAAACCAGTACAATGCAACTTAATAGGGATTTTTCCATGTAAACCAGTATATTGCAACTTAATAGGGTTTTTTTCATGTAAACCAGTATAATGCCACTTAAAGAAGCTATACCCGATTTTTTTTCTAAGTAGTTCATAAAAATGCTTTTTACTACATACAAGTTGTATCATAATACATAATTTAATTGAAAACTTGAGGTAATTGATTCAGCTGTGTAAGAATTACAAGCAGTGAAAAGTGCTGAGTAGAGTCTGAGCGGGCCGCTCTTTCTCCTCCGCTCACAGAACAAGCAGCGAACAGCCTGCGTCCTCTAGCCTCTACAGCGCTGCTTAACACCAGGGCTTCAACTTCAAAATTCGAATATAATTCTAAAATAAAAAAATATGAACAAAATAATTGAATAAAAAAATGTGAACAAATATTAGACAACCCTTGTAATTCGAAATGTATTTAATGACTGCAAATAAAATAGTTAGCTCCCAAAGGTTTCACCGGGACGTGCTAGGCAGGTAACAGCTAAGCTAGCTAGTTGTTTCATGGTAACTTCCGGGTTTTTCGCAATCGCTTTTTGTCACTTTAAAACAGTATTTTTGTCATGAAAACGTTAACAGCAAATTCTGAAATCATCCGTGCATGTGTGTTAAGGATGTATATGTGTACCGTATTGTCCGATTGACCTTTAATGGTGTTGATTGATAGATATGTAGTTGTTTATTGAGCGTGGCTAGCTCCGCTAGCTCCATTGGCTTCTCTACACAGACGAGTGTGTAGTGACAGGTGCTGATAGCTTGTTGTACTTGCAGAGTAATGGCAGTATTTTACACACCTGAATTACAAACAGAGGTTGCATTGGGGCTTCGGTCATTATTGGTTTGAGAGTTCTGTTATCAAGAAAAAATGATCGGAAGAATTGCATTCAAGTCAATGGAGTGCTGCTGCTTTGAGGAGCTCTATAACAAATTATAATTAAATATTAGAATATATTCTAAGGTTTTAAATTAATACATTCGGACGCGAAACTAGCGGTATTCTTTTACTTATATATTGTGTTAGCAGTGCGTTGCTTTAGTACCATTTCATCTGTGATTGTTGCACAGCTTACAAGTTGTGCTAATGCTAATGTTAGCATACGTATCAGATCGCAAATAAAACTAGGTGGCTCTGTGTTATGAGAGCGCAGGGGAAATGAGAAGCCATTGAGCAAGTTGGGGGGCGGTGCTAAACATTCAAACATTGCAGAAACGGGTATAGCGCCTTTAATGGGGATTTTTCCATGTAAACCAGTATTATGCAACTTAATAGGGATTTTTCCATGTAAACCAGTATAATGCAACTTAATAGGGTTTTTTTCATGTAAACCAGTATAATGCAACTTAATAGGGTTTTTTTCATGTAAACCAGTATAATGCAACTTAATGGGGATTTTTCCATGTAAACCAGTATAATGCAACTTAATAGGTTTTTTTTTTACATATAAACCAGTATAATGGAACTTAATAGGGTTTTTTCCATGTAAACCAGTATAATGCAACTTAATAGGGATTTTTCCATGTAAACCAGTATAATGCAACTTAATAGGGTTTTTTCATGTAAACCAGTATAATGCAACTTAATGGGGATTTTTCCATGTAAACCAGTATTATGCAACTTAATAGGGATTTTTCCATGTAAACCAGTATAATGCAACTTAATAGGGTTTTTTCCATGTAAACCAGTATAATGCAACTTAATAGGGATTTTTCCATGTAAACCAGTATAATGCAACTTAATAGGGGTTTTTACATGTAAACAAGTATAATGCAACTTAATAGGGATTTTTACATGTAAACCAGTATAATGCAACTTAATAGGGATTTTTACATGTAAACCAGTATAATGCAACTTAATAGGGATTTTTCCATGTAAACCAGTATAATGCAACTTAATAGGGTTTTTTACATGTAAACCAGTATAATGCAACCTAATAGGGATTTTTCCATGTAAACCAGTATAATGCAACTTAATAGGGATTTTTCCATGTAAACCAGTATAATGCAACTTAATAGGGTTTTTTCATGTAAACCAGTATAATGCAACTTAATGGGGATTTTTCCATGTAAACCAGTATTATGCAACTTAATAGGGATTTTTCCATGTAAACCAGTATAATGCAACTTAATAGGGTTTTTTTCATGTAAACCAGTATAATGCAACTTAATAGGGTTTTTACATGTAAACCAGTATAATGGAACTTAATAGGGGTTTTTACATGTAAACAAGTATAATGGAACTTAATAGGGGTTTTTACATGTAAACCAGTATAATGCAACTTAATAAGGATTTTTACATGTAAACCATAAACCAGTATAAAGCAACTTAATAGGGATTTGTACATGTAAACCAGTATAATGCAACCTAATAGGGATTTTTCCATGTAAACCAGTATAATGCAACCTAATAGGTTGCATTATACCACCAGACCAAGACCCAAACGAAGACTCAGACCACCACCAGATAATGACCACAGACCAGGTTTCCTTAGTTACAGGAACCAAATTGTTTCAGCGGTGAGGGGATTTTTCAGTTTCAAGGACACTTTCAATACATTCAGTAGTTTCAAGGATTTCAACTGTTTAAGAATTTAACCAGTTTCAAGGATATCAGGAGGTTCAAGGATTTCAGGAGTTTCCACACTTTCAACAGTTTCCAGGTTTAAAAAAGTTTCAAGGATTTCAGGAGTTTCAATGTTTCAACAGTTTCAAGGATTTCAGGAGTTTAAAGGTTTCAACAATTTCAAGGACTTCAGGAGTTTCAAATATCTATCAAGTATTTTAACAGTTTCAAGGCCTTTTAAAGGATTTCAAGGATTTTTTTTAGCAGATTTCCACATTAGATCTGTTCCGCAGTCAATCGCAATGGCTTCAGCCATTGCAAGTTTCTAGTTATTATTGAATTCTCAACGTTTTTATCACAGTTACACAATTCTTACAATATGATAATTTTAACCGGTGATTTTAACATACACATTGACAATCCCTCTGACAATTTTACCCTAGATTTCTTAGATGTTCTTAATTACATGGATTTTACCCAACACGTCAGACAGCCAACACACAACAGGGGACGCACCCTCGACCTGGTCATTACCTATGGCCTGACTGCGGATGTGTCCTCTGTTGTCGACTTGGCTGTCTCGGACCACTACTGTGTGTTTTTTAACATCACTGGTTTTATACAGCGTGAGACCTCTGTGAGAACCGTGAGGAAGCAACATCTAACCCCTGAAGTGGCTGCAAATTTTATCGACATCCTAAACAACACTCCCCACTTGGTTTTACCTGCCCCCTGTGATTTTATAGCAACTGATTTTAACAGTAGACTTAGTTCTGCGTTGGATCAGGTGGCTCCTTTAAAAACAAAAATCATAAAAACAAAATCTGCACCCCCATGGAGAAATGAAGAAGTACGCAAAATGAAACAAGAGTGCAGGGTGGCAGAACGAAGATGGAGGAAAAATAAAACAACAATCAACTACGAAATATATAAAAACAATCAAAAAGCATACAATTACACAATTAGAAATCATAAGAACAAATACTTTGCAAATCTAATCAGCCAGAACAAAAATAATCCAAAAATCCTTTTTTCAACCATCGACAACATTTTAAACCCTGATTTTAGCATGTCTCTTTTAACCCCCACAGACTCCCTCTGTGAGGATTTTGCAGTCCACTTCACGGGGAAGATAAATACAATCAGATGTAACATTTTATCCAACCGCACTACTGTTTTTAACACATCTGATTGTTTGTCTTCACCAGAGGAAACACTGGACAGTTTTGTCCTGGTTGATGCTGAGATGCTTGATAAAGTTTTCTCCACAGTGAGGCCCACCACATGTCTTTTAGATCCAGTCCCCACTCCATTTTTTAAGTCATTTTATGAATCTTTTAGAGAGGAGCTTTTAAACCTGATGAATTGCTCTCTTCAGACTGGGGTCTTTCCTGCAGCCTTCAAAGCGGCTGTGGTGAGACCCCTTCTGAAGAAGAGCAATTTAGATTTTAATGATTTTAACAACTACAGACCGGTATCCAACTTACCATTTTTAAGCAAAATTTTAGAAAAACTTGTTTTTACCCAGCTCAATGCCTTTTTAGATCAGCAGCAAATTTTAGAGAAATTTCAATCAGGTTTTAGGGTGAACCACAGCACAGAGACTGCTCTTTTAAAGATTTTAAACGATTTTAGACTAAGTTATGATTTTAAAAAGGTGACTGTGTTGGTTCTACTGGATCTTAGCGCTGCCTTCGACACAGTAGACCACACAATTCTTTTATCACGCCTACAACACCTCGGCCTCTCTGGTGCTGTCCACAAATGGTTCACTTCTTATTTAACAGACAGATCCTTCATGGCGAGTTTGGATACCTGCTCCTCTCAGGTCCATAAAATCACATGTGGTGTGCCCCAGGGTTCCATTTTAGGTCCAGTCCTTTTTAACCTGTACATGCTCCCTCTTGGCGGTGTCATCAGGAGACATGGAATTAACTTCCACAGTTATGCAGATGATACACAGCTGTACATCTCCATGTCTCCTGATGACACCAGGCCAATGGATGCTCTTTTTAACTGCATTTTAGACCTGAAATCCTGGATGGCAGAAAACTTTCTCTAGCTCAACCAGGACAAAACTGAGGTTTTAGTCATCGGTCCTGAGGCCCAGAGAGAGAAACTTTTATCAAAACTCCAATCACACTCTTTTAATCCATCATCACAAGTGAAAAATCTGGGCGTAATCTTTGACTCTGAGCTGACTTTTATTCCTCACATCAAGAGTATCACAAAAATAGGTTTTTATCATCTAAAGAACATCGCCAGAGTCCGCCCCATTCTCTCTCGGGGCAACACGGAGACGCTGATGCATGCTTTTATCACCAGTCGCATTGACTATTGTAATGACCTGCTCTCTGGTCTTCCCAAAAAGAACATTGCAAGTCTTCAATTACTCCAAAACTCGGCCGCACGTGTCCTGACTAAGACCAGGGGGCGGGACCACATTACACCGGTTTTAAAATCGCTGCATTGGCTCCCCGTGTGTTTCAGAATCGATTTTAAGGTTCTTTTAATGGTTTTTAAATGTCTTAATGGTCTTGGGCCTTCTTATCTTTCAGATTTGCTTTTATCCTATGAATCTTCCCGGCCCCTGCGCTCCTCCGGCAGCAGACTCCTAACCATCCCCAAAGTCAGGACACACACTCACGGCGAGGCATCTTTCCAGCACTACGGCCCCCGTCTCTGGAACAGTCTGCCGGAGGAGCTCAGGGCCGCAGAGAACGTTCATATTTTTAAAAGTAGGCTCAAGACACACTTTTTTAGATTAGCTTTTAATTAGTTTTTATTATTCCATTCTATTTATATTTTATTATTTATTATATTGCTATTATTCATGTATTGTGTGTTCCTTTTAGTCTCACATTTTAGTGTTTTACTTATTGTATTGTTTTTAGTGTACCCAGTGTTTCCTCTGGAGGAGTCCTCTGCACCGGGAGCAGTGGTCGGTGTGGCTGCGGGGGTCGGACTCTTGGGCCTGGTGGGGGCCTGGGGCCTCTGTTTCATGTCTCCTCTGGATCCTGTGTCGTCCCCTGTGGCTACGGGCGGCTCTCTGCTCCTGGTGCAGACGGCTCCTTGGATGACGCTTTTTCAGCTGGTTGCATCTGAACCCTGCCAAGTCTCTCATCATGGTTTTATTGTTTTACTGGTGTGTGTGTGTGTGTGTGTGTGTGTGTGTGTGTGTGTATGAGTGTTCATGAGCGCGTGTGTGTGTTTGTCTGTGGTTTGGGGTAGGGTCTGTTGGGTGGTCTGGGGGAGGGGTCTTGGGTGGGCGGGATTGTTTTTAACCAAACTGTAAAGCACTTTGTGTTGCATCTTATGTATGAAAAGCGCTTTATAAATAAAATTTGATTGATTGATTGATGGTTAGAGGAGACTATTAAAGCTGCACTGACTAACTGTCTTTTTGCTCGCCCTCCCCGCACGGAGCTTTCGCCCCCACTACCCCCCTCCCACTCAGCCTGTGCTCCAATGCTAATTGTTTACGGAGCTCACGTCTCGCAGTATGGATTGCACATTTGAACGTGGATGGCGTGACCATAGAATGATAGAACCGGGAAGCGTGGAGGAACGAGACTTCCTTTTGGCTGTTTTGCTGTGTAAGCAGTAACCAGCAACGAAGACACGGGAAGTTTCAGTTTAGCCTCCGCCGCTTGTTTACCTCAGCTGTCTGTGCTAATATTAACAGTCTATGGTGTTAACAAGAGACCTGTGGCTTTTCTCAAGAAAGTGGGGGCCAGTGGTCCGCTGTGATTGGTCACAATATGGTCCCGAAACAAATTCTCTTCCTTTTTGCACTAAAACTTGATCTAAAATAAAATGACACGCCACCACAAATCTGCATAACTTTTTCTTCAAAAGGACGTATGTCCCAATGCACTGCATGGATGTGGGTTGTGTCCCCTTTAAAAACTTTTTCTAAACAGGTACGCTCATGGAGAACATATAGCATACCTCAGTTTGGCGAAAAGGCTGAATTCAGCAGAAAGGCAAAAACAACAACATTTAGACTGAACCAAGGAAAGTGGGAGGGATGAGCACCTTGAACAAAATCCAATTGACAGGCGGTTTCCCAACTTTCCGCTTAGGCGTAACTTAAATGAACAAATCCAAACTTAAACATGTGCAACATTCACCTTTCCGCTCCTCGAGGCCACGGAGCAGAGCTTGCAGAATGTCCTTCTTGCCGCCGCTGGCTGTAGTTTGTGGCGGCTGGTGCTGTCTCGCCGCCGCCTCCTCCTTCTTCTTTCTCCTCTCCTCCTCCACTCTCCTTCTCACCTCCTCAGCCTCGGCCTTCTTCCTCGTCTCCTCCTCCTCTTTCCTCTTGCGGTCCTCCTCTGCCCTCCTTCGCTCCTCGTCTCGTTTACGCCTCTGCTCGCTCTCCTCCCTCCTCTTTCGCTCCTCTGCATCGCGGACGGCAGCTTCAGCTGCCCGCTGTTTCCTGCGCTCTTGTTCCTCCTTCTCTTGTCTTAGCTGCTCTTCTCTCTTATGCTCCTCCTCTTTCCTCTCTTCCTCACGCCTCTCCTCATCCATTCTCCTTCTCTCCTCATCCATTCTCCTCCTCTCCTCCTCCCGTTTGCGCTGCTCTTCGTCTTTCCTTCTCTTCTCTTCCGCCTTCCTCTCCTCCTCCAGCTTCCTCCGCTCCTCCTCCAGTTGCCGTCGCTCCTCTTCTAGTCTTCTTCGTTCCTCCTCCTGCTGCCTCTTCTCGGCTTGGCGTTGTCGTTCCTCTTCTTCCCGCTTCTTGCGTTCAGCCTCGTCGCGTCTCCGCCTCTCGGCTTCCTCTTTGGCTCGGAGTTCCCTTGCGGCTTCTTCTTTGGCTCGGAGTTCCCTGGCGGCCTCCTCTCTGGCGGCTTGTAAAAGGGCTTGTCGCTGCCTCTCCTCCTCCTCTCTTCGCTTGGCCTCTCTCTCCTCCAGGAGTCTCCTCTGTCGCTCCTCTTCTTCCCTTTGCATTTTCTCCTTCTCCAGCTTAATGCGCCTGCAACAAGCCATATTTTTTTTCTGTCAAACTCTTTTCTGACAACATAACAAATTCTCAGTAAAACCAAACAATACATTTTTGTTATCTAAAAACCGATGCATCATCATTTTCAATAATAATAATAATTGGCAGAGCCTAATATAGCAGAGGGCGCTCTGGGGGTGCCCCTGCCGTTAGGGTTAAGAAGCAGGGTTCCGGTTAGGTGAAGAGGACATGTTTTTTACTGTGTCAAAGTGTTACAACAAAAAAATCAAATTTTTAGTCAACTACTCCATGATATTTAACCTTTCTTCGGTCCTTCACGGCATATCCAACTAGACACCAAAACTTTTTGGTTCATATTTTATTCTTTATCACAAATGACACTCAAGGCATGCATCATGTCCAACGCCAAAGCGCCACCACAATCACTATTACGTATTTATTTCTCGGGAATTATCTTCCAGGGAACGTTGGGTTCTCTGTGCCTCAATCTGAAACAACTGATGACTTTTCTGAGTTTGTTTGCTGTTGTCATTAGCACACCCTTCGGGACCTTCCTAGCATTATGATGTCCCGCTCTAAGGCAGACTCACAGTAGTGCGACTGAAAAGCAGGTTGTATTTTCCAGGGTTGGAGCCCATAAGAATTTTAGTTGCAGTACCACAAGTGGCCTCTGAGCACGTACTGAAGACCGGCTCATATAACCCACTCCAATTTCTATAATAGATCGGCTGGCTCTATGGAAATAGTATTCATTTCCCGTACAGCACAACCTGTAAGGACAGTTGTGAAAGGTAGCTAAACCAGCAAGTACCTCTGCGTTTCTTCCTCTTTTTTGCGCTTCCGCTCCTCCTCCTCCTTCAGCTGCAGCTCACGCCTCTTCTCTTCCTTGATGCTTCGTAATTTTTCTAACGCTTCCTGTTGTCTCTTCTGCGTTTCCTTTAACTCCTAAAATGAACAAACAATGAATCAAACCAGCCTAAACAAGTGGGTGTAATTATCATCAAATACAATCTATCACAACCACACGGCCAAAAAAAGAGTACATTAGATAGTAGAGATGGGACGAGATGAAGCACAAGGTTGGGTCCAAGAGAACGAGACAGGACAAGATTGAGTCATAACTTTAGTGGATGATATTTATGACATTTGACAAATAATGACTAATAATTATGATAATCAATGACTGTTTTTTAGATGTTGTTTCTGTGAGCACTGGATCTCCTCAGGGATGTATTTTGAGTCATTTGCTTTTTACATTGTACACTCATGATTGTGTGTCTTCCTCTGACTCTAATTTGATAATTGATTGACTGCGGAACCTTCCGCAGTCAACCATTGGTTTTGTATTTCTTTATTCCGTCATTTTTTTTGACACGTTTCACAGCTTTCACATTTTCAACAATTTCCACAAGTTATACATCAAAACGTTCCACATGTTTGGGAGATTATTGCTATTACTTTTGGGACTTCAGCGATTTCCGGTTTTTCCGCAATCGGACAAAAATCTGCATTGAGAATTCTGCAATGCATTTTAATAGGCCCATGCATTTTAATAGGACTTCAGCTCTTTCAGACATTTCTACAGTTTCAATGATTCAACAGTTTCAAGGATTCAACAGTTTCAAGGATTTCAGCAGTTTCAAGATTTCAAGAGTTTCAAGGACTTCAACAGTTTCAAGGACTTCAGCAGTTTCAAGGACTTCAGCAGTTTCAAGGACTTCAGTGTAATCATGCAACCTAATAGGGATTTTTCCATGTAAACCAGTATAATGCAACTTAATAGGGATTTTTCCATGTAAACCAGTATAATGCAACTTAATAGGGTTTTTTCATGTAAACCAGTATAATGCAACTTAATAGGGGTTTTTTCCATGTAAACCAGTATAATGCAACTTAATAGGGGTTTTTACATGTAAACCAGTATAATGCAACTTAATAGGGTTTTTTCCATGTAAACCAGTATAATGCAACTTAATAGGGTTTTTTCCATGTAAACCAGTACAATGCAACTTAATAGGGATTTTTCCATGTAAACCAGTATAATGCAACTTAATGGGGATTTTTCCATGTAAACCAGTATAATGCAACTTAATGGGGATTTTTCCATGTAAACCAGTATTATGCAACTTAATAGGGATTTTTCCATGTAAACCAGTATAATGCAACTTAATAGGGATTTTTCCATGTAAACCAGTATAATGCAACTTAATGGGGATTTTTCCATGTAAACCAGTATTATGCAACTTAATAGGGGTTTTTACATGTAAACCAGTATAATGGAACTTAATAGGGGTTTTTACATGTAAACCAGTATAATGCAACTTAATAGGGATTTTTACATGTAAACCAGTATAATGCAACTTAATAGGGATTTTTCCATGTAAACCAGTATAATGCAACTTAATAGGGTTTTTTACATGTAAACCAGTATAATGCAACTTAATAGGGATTTTTCCATGTAAACCAGTATAATGCAACTTAATAGGGTTTTTTACATGTAAACCAGTATAATGCAACTTAATAGGGGTTTTTACATGTAAACCAGTATAATGGAACTTAATAGGGGTTTTTACATGAAAACCAGTATAAAGGATAACAGTTTAAAGGATATCAGGAGCTTCAAATACTTCAGGAGTTTCAAAGATGTTTAAAGTATTTTAACAGTTTCAAGGATTTCAAGGATTTTTCAGCTAAATTCCACATTAGATCTGTTCCGCAGTCAATCGCAATGGCTTCAGCCATTGCAACGGTTTCTAGTTAAATATGCTGATGATACCACCATCATCGGTCTCATCAGTAATAACGATGAATCCTCTTATAGAGCAGAGATTCAAAATGTGGTTCAGTGGAGTTAAGCTAACAACCTCCAGCTGAACGCATCCAAAACAGGTGAACTGGTCTTCGACTTTAGTCTTAACAGTTCTCACACTCCTGTTGTTATCGATAACTCCCAAGTGCAGATTGTAGAGGAGTGTAAGTTTCTCGGTTTAACTCTGTCTAATGACCTGAAGTGGGACAAAAACACTGACCGGGTCGTTAAGAAAGCTCGTCAGCGTCTCTACTTTCTGCGTAAACTTAGAGAATTTACCACTAACTCTAAGATTCTGCTTAACTTTTATCGCTGCACCATTGAGAGTTTACTTGTTGGTTCTGTGTCTGTGTGGTTTAGAAACATCACAGACAAAGAAAAAAGAGCTGGAAACAAGGTGCTCCGCTCTGCAAAGAGGACCGTGGGCTGTGAGCTTCCCGTTCTGGAGGTTCTATATAAATCCAGACTTTTAAACCAAGCTCTGAGAATTATCAACGACTCTTCTGGCCACCCTAGGAAGGCCATATTCCAGCTTCTTCCCTCTGGCAGAAGATATCGTTCTCTGAGATGCAGGACATCTCGTCATGCTAACAGCTTCTTCCCACAGGCTGTTATCAGTTTGAACAGAGCACTCTAATGTTTTGTACTTGCATTGATACTGTTTGGTCGATAGTTTTCACAGTGGCAATTGTCTACTGTTTTATTCGTTTTATTTCTGTACTTTTAATATTGTTTTATGTCTGTACTTGTCTTGTGCACACTGGTGACTTTTGCTAATGTATTCCAATGTGGTTTTATTTCAAATGGTAAATAAATGAATTGGAAATAATGTGTATTACACTGCATCTGTTGAAAATTCATTCAGTCACTTTATCAACTGATATCGATTCTGTCCATATTGGATTTACATAGAACAACCTTTAATAGTCTTCAGAATGCAGCTAAAACAATACAATTGAAGCCATCACTGTCAATGTGTTAATGTGCAGTTTATTTGTCCCCGTAGGGAAATTTGTCCTCTGCATTTGACCCATCCTGATGCCACTAAGGCTTACGTCAGGAGCAGTGGTCGCCGTAGTACAGCGCCCGGGAACCCATCTCCAGATGTTGATGCTTGGTCAGGACTACCGGAGCTGGAGGATTTTACCAAGTGAGATTATTTTTAGTCTGTATGGGTGTATACTATACTCAACTATCCTATACTAAATACTATACCAATACTTTTAAGGTACATACATTCATTTTGTCTTCTTATGTTTAAGGCTTAGAAGGTTATTACAATAAGACAAAAAAGGTAAAAGCTAGAACTGTTTAACATGTCAGGTAATTAAGCAGTACAAACCTTCTTTACTATTTTGTCTTATTTAAAGAACATTCTAAGCCTTCCTAAAAAGGTTATTTTATGCTTTTTTTTAGGCACAATTATTGTCTTAATTAAAGTTCATATTTAATCTAAGACTCTAGGCATAACGTACACAGGTGTTTATTATGTTTCTTTCCCCACTGTGAAACAAATAAAGTTTGAAAATCATTTCTAAAGCTGTGTACGGTAGTTTATGTTCAGAAAAGTAATTTTGAAAGCGCTTCACCATTTGGACTGTAGACTTTATGAATTGTGAGATCTTGTGCAACTCGATCTTGTCCCATTCCTATTTGTTTAGTAAGGGATACAACATTCTTTACAATGAAGAGCTTTGAAAGAAAACCTTTAGTAGGTAGAAGAGGTTACGAAGGCAGGCCAGCAGATAAAAGACAGCCTCAAGCATAGATTCCTCAGCACCCACACACTGTGATAGGTGAGAGGAAAACCAAGCAGAGGAAAACAGAAAGAGGTAAAGAACAGTTCATGGTAAAAGGCATTCGATTATAAAGACATGTTTAGGATTAGCGATTGGTTAAAATGAAGGGAGGATTAGAAACCAACAAACAAAATGTATAAACCGTTTTAATTCTGGAAGAATCAAAATACATGTTTTGAATATAATTGGTCTATAATAAATCACATACATCATACACATGCAATCAGGGCTGGGTACATTCATAAAATTACAGAATGATTTTCAGAGCCTATTACTGTAGTAATGTCCACATGAAAATATATAATCTAAAAAGGTGCCATATTACGCTTTTTGACTTTTCTCGGGTTTAAACTACATTACAGTGCTATTTGGTCTTCATACATCAGAGTAGTTTTTTCATTGATTCCCACAAGCTTTAGTTCTCTTTCATTCTCGAGAGGCACAGAAATCGTGACGAGCACCAATCCGTGACATCAAAAGCCCACCTCCAAGAGGTGATTGACAGCGGGGAGAAACTGAACCAGCGAATCAGTTCCGCGTGTGGTCCGTTAGATAGTAAATAAGCGCCTGTGCTTTTTTGTGTTAGCTTTATATCAAATTAAAATGTGTTTTTGGTTGCAAATATGTGTCGACAGTATTTGGCCCGAGACAGAGAATGAGGCAAATGGGGATTGACTTGTTCACGGGATCTGCATCGAATCCTCAAAAACTCTCATATGTTTTTCTGCGAGTGACGATGACATTTCACCAAAGACTGTTCCAGAACTGCGGTTACCTTGAAACGGGACCTGCTCAAAAGCTGATTTGAAAACCTGATGTTATTCCCATCATAGAAGACGCTAACAGGAGCCTCGGCCTATAAGTACAATGCAACTAACTCGCTGTAAATCACTGTTATCTAAATACTTAAGGTCTGATTCTGGATTGAGGACATAGTTCAACTCTTTGCACAATTATTATCACACGTGTGCTTAGGATGGACTTTGAAAAAATAATAAAAGTGAAATATGGCACCTTTAAATAAGTCATGTTAATGTGACCAATTAAATTTGTGACTCTGCTGCCTCTTGGCCAGGACTCCTTTGAAAAAGAGGTTTGGAATTTTCCTGGTTAAAATAATTCTTCAATAGATTTTAGCTTGATAGACAGACATTTATTTGAAGAAACCTTTTGGCTGGTATTGCAATGGCCCATACACGGATATCAAAAAGTATCCACAGACAATACTTCAAAACAGACAAAACATGCAAAAGGGTCTGTACCTGCAGATCTTTGTTATATTGATCCATTTCAGCAAATTTGGCAGAGGTCTCTTTCTCCAGAGCATTGAGTTGATCTTGTAGTTTCAGACAAACTCCCTTTTTCTCAGTGACATTAATCTTCAAGTTGGACCCTGTTGACACTGGAAAATATTTACAAGTAACATTTAGTAACTTATATATTACTAATGTTATACACACAATATATGCAATTATTTCAAATACTAACCAGCTACACTGTTTAGAGCCATGCTTTTTAGTTTTTCAGAGAGCCTCCTTTGCTCTGGAGTCAACTGGGATAACTTCCTTTGGAAATCCTGATTGAGAGACAAGGCACTAATCACAAACACATCCACATTACTTTAATTTGATAAAATAAATGATAAAGCCAACCCCTACTTCTAGTTGTCTCTGTATGTTTTCAATGTCCAGCTGGCAAGCGTCTTTCCGCTGATTAGTCACATCAATGTCAGTCTTCTGATGCTTCTTTTTGTTCTGAATATCACGTAGTCGATCTTCAATCTGCTTGTGTTTGTGACCCTGGACCATAAACAAATGCAAACAGGTGAACAGCAGCGCAATCATGAGCTGCACATTCATATGTTCACAGAACTCACCACAGCTTCTAGCTCCATCTCCAGGCTGCGTTTCTTTGCTTTTAGTTTGATGATGTCATCCTGCTCTTGCTCTCGTTTAATCTGGAGCTCTCCTCGCTTTCGCCGCTCCATCTCCTCCTTCCGCTGGCGTTCAAGTTCCCTCTGTGCCGCCTGAAGGTCACCACATATTGATTCAATGACAATCACCACATAAATAACTTGTGAATTGACCAAATTTTATATTGCATCCCAGCTCAGAGTAAAACTATGATTATTTTTTAAGAAATTATAAAATCATACACAAGCATTTAAGCTGAGGTACCCAACTTTCACCGGGCCTAAATAAGTGTGGTTCAATCACTTGCTTTTACACGTATGTGTCATTGGCCTCTGTCATGTCTGAAGATTAGCCTTTTTATTTTTATTAGGATTTCTTCAGAAGTAATCATAGTTTTATCCTTGAAAAGTTTGATACCTCAACCATAAACAAGACTTTTTTATCATGGGACAAACAAAATCAGTGATTCAAAGAAACACAATCTGATGTTTCCTGTACAAAACAAGTTTTCCACCTCTTTTCGTTCAATGTCTTTCTTGCGCTCCTCCTCTCGGATCCTCTCCAGTTCCCTCTGTCGCTCCTGTTTCCATTCCTCCTCAATCCTCTTCTTCTCCTCCGCCTCTCGCGCCTCCTTCTCTCTGCGCTCCTGCTCCTCTCGTCTCAGCTGCTCACGACGTTCCCGCTCCCTCCGCTCGGCCTCCTGCAGAGCCAGCCGACGCTTCTCAAGTTCAGCATTGCCCCGCTCCAGGTTTGCTTTGAATTTGTCTTCGAAAGTCACTGAAATATAGATTATTTATAATGTATTATTAGTAAAATCTCTTTTCAACTCAATGATCGATTGCAATATTTAATATCCTGTATGAAAAGTTGAAGAGTTGAATTTTGTATAATTAAAGTAATAATTTAAGTATAACCAACAACATTCAGAGAAAAAAGCATACATATGTCCCATCATATGTCACATAAATAGTAAGACCTGAGTTGTGCAAAAGATATTGATAATCTATATCAAGAGACAAATTCAAGCGTTTTTTCTTGTCTTCAGTTAATTTTTTTTATTGGTCATTATAAAATGTATAACTGTCAAATGTAGATGTCTTACCAAAATAAATACAGTTCAAAAGACGTGGCTAGAAGTTATATTTAATCATGGCACCATACATGACTGTATGATTATTGTTAAAACATAACTCACTGTTGGGCTTGTTTTTCTGTGGAGGTTCTAGGTCAAAGTCATCAATCAAAGAAGTAACAGGAGCAATCGGAGAGGTTCCATTCATACTGCTCCTGTTGAGGGATATTAAGAATATAAACAAATGTTACTAATAGTAAAAAATAACTCATTACATGCAAAAACTCCACATGTATAAATGTTATCAAAAATACCTTTGTGACGGAGGAACCAACTCCTTTGGCAGTGTGAGTGGCAATGACTGTCCACACCTTGCCATATCCACAAGATGCATAGCCAAAATAAATTCCTCTGCTTTAAGCTTTCCATCTTTATCAACGTCAGCTAATGTCCTGTGGAGAATAAAGGCTTAGAAGTCATTTCAACATAAACAACATTCTTAAAATTGCAGCAACAGGAAAGTAAGTCATTGCAATATCCACAAAATACAGAGATGCACTAACCAGATAGAGGCCAGCTGTGCCTGCGTGAGCATTGTGGTAGCCATGGCACTTCGCACCTGCGGACCTAAAGACACAAGACAACGGTACATATTAAAGCTGGCGTACCTAACTTTTTACCCTAACAACTAACACAGGGGTTAAAGCAAAAAAAAAAAGATTTGACTGAACATTTTTGCATGGAAATTTATCACATGTAAATCACAGTAATATGCAGGACCAAGTTATATTTTTAATTACAATATATTATTGTATAATAGATTGTATATTGAATACAGCTCAAATGAATTCTTCAAAGATATACAGTGTATTTTGATATGAAATATAAGTGGATCAAGCAACGAGTCAACTTTTTGACAGAATATTAGTGAGAGTAGCTTTACTTGAGGCGACACTTTGGCTCTGTCCTCGTCAAAATATCGCAAAAGGACGATAAAATTCTGTCCACATTTGTTTGTGGACACGTCAATATTTAAGAAAAAGGTTTCCCTATCAAGTTTGAGTGCACAGTGCACTTCGATCAACTGCAAATGATTTAAATAAATCTACCAGCGGTAGTGATATTCTGAACGTTATTTCCTGCGATAAAGCCACAGACACGGTCTGCCATAGCAAGCCTAGTGTTAGTTGTTGCTGATGCACCAGGTAAAGATGAAGTGTGGGAAAGTGCACAAACAGCTGCCTTGTGCACAGTTTTGAGCTGGTGGCGAATCAAAACTTTTTTCTCATTACTCCCATACATGCAATTTTTTATGGCAAAGTACGAACAAGCACCGGCTACTTTCATCTTTTCGCACCATGACTCGTTGATTGGCTCTTTTACATCACGCTGAGTTTTGCAAGAAGATCGCAAACAAGACAATATCAAAAGCTCACCAAGACATGTTTGTCCCCATTCCCAGTCGCAGCAAAGTCCGTTTTGTACGTTCCGTTAAGTAAAATAGCATTGCGTTTGGTAAACGTTAATTACCTTTCCTCTATTACGCGCCCAGCTTACCAGTCCGCGGATCTGCTGCTGTTATTGCTCCGTTCGAGTTTAAATTTTCCTCCTCTTCTCCTTTTCAAAAGCTCCGTGCAGTTTCCAGAAACTTTCACCTCCGTGTTACCAATGCTAACTTCATCGCGTCTTCATTTGCGCGTGAGCTCAGCTACGTCCCATTGCGGAGCGCTCATGTGGCCACGGCACGTTCAAGGCCCACTCGTCATTATATTACTTATTATTTCTATATACATATAAATACAATTATATTCAAATTATTATTATACATCGATATATATATGCAATTCACACGTATATGTATTACTATATATTATTTTTATAATCAATCATTTCATTGTGTGTATTATTATCATTATATATATATATTTTTTTTTCCAGACCAATTTCATTTGACGGAAATCCGTCACCTAGACGGAACTCTTTAATCCCTGAACTAACACATGTTGTTTATCCAACAAAGAGTCTTGTAGAAGAAAAATTGTATGAACAAATCAGAACACATAATGCCGTTTTCATCTCATCTTTTGGATGATTTTAAGAAAGAGCCCTGTGAGTCACTATTTGACTCTTTGAACTGAGAGCAGATTGGGTGAAAAAGCTGAGCTAAAAGATTGGCAGAGGTGATATTCTCAGTAACATTCTTAGTTATCCTCAAACTCAAACTAGTTACATTTTTATATCGTTGTTGCAATTTTATTTTATAGTTGCGGATTCTTGAAAAAAGTGGGAGGTTCTTTCCTAAAATTCTTGAAAATCCTCCTACATACCATTAAAAACTCATAATTCAGAAAACATTCTGCAAACTCACCTCAGAAATCCATAAATGGATTGAAATGACACATGTTAGTTATAGTTGCACCAATGTGAAATAAACACGGCAATAATAATAAGTGAATAATCTTTCATCTTTAAATGTTGTAGTGCTCATTCAAAGAGACTGGTCGAACAAGGCTGCAGTGACAAGACAAGAATGCACATATATATATATATATATATATATATATATATATATATATATATATATATATATATATTAGGGCTGTCAAAATTATCGCGTTAACGCACGTTAATTAATTTTTTTCATTAATCGCGTTAAAAAAATTAACGCATTTGACGCATGCCCATGCGTCCCATAATAACACAGAATGCAGCGGACACATGTGCGTGTGTAAGATGGGGACAGAGCAGGTAGGCCCTCTGGGAATTCAAGTTTTGAAAGAATACACGCGTGACCGCGGCAACACTGGTTTTGGTCTGAGTCTAAACAGAAAGACAAAATGTTAATAATGTTACAGTAATTCCATTTTATATGGATTTATTGTTATAATAAACAAATACAGTACATATGTTCACTAAGCTGTCATTTATCTTTCCATTCAAACAACAATTTACAGAAAAATATGGCATACTTTTGCCAATAGTTTGAAATGTGATTAATTACGATTAATTAATTTTTAAGCTGTAATTAACTCGATTAAAAAAATTAATTGTTTGACAGCCCTAATATATATATAAAATTATATATATATATATATATATATATAGACTTTGTTGTGTAAAGACTTATTGACCAACTTCCATTCTTACTAAACACACCCATACTTTCAGCTACGAGAGAGAGAGAAAACCTGCTTATTTAACTTTTGGCACAGATCAAATGTAGGCGGACCTGAGAAACCATTACAGTATCTTTCATCCACCCCTGCATTCCAGGCATAGCTTTATGTACCGTACCGGCAAGATATCCCGTCATCTGCTTATCCAGGCTGTTGAACTGCTGTCTGTACTTGAGCCTGGACGCATGAGGCACTGCCCAGTCGCTCGGCACCAGGGTCGAAGAGAGGGAACTGGAGGATCACCAACCACACATTTAAAATCCCAGATGAGCAGAGAATTTATATTTCTAACAGCATGTAGAAAAGCTTTGTGAAACCTGTTGGATCCGAGTAGAGGCGAGGGCGTGTTGGAACCAGTTGAAGAAGAGGAGTGGACGAGTGGGGAGGAATAAGAAGAGGATAGTGGCAGGCCTGAAGGAAAAATATGCAAACAAATCAAAATCACAGTGGGATACAGCCAATAAGATGTGTAAGATATCAATTACAAAGCATTATGTACCAGCAGACATTGCTCCGGCTGGTGTTGGTTGGAGGAAGCCCATACCCCCGTTTGATAGACCACCACTGCCTAATGTAGAGACAAGAGGCATGGGAGATCCAGCTCCTACAAGTGGACTCATCCCTGCAGAGGGGATCAAAGGGCTGAGTCCCATAGGGGTGAGGCCGGGAGTCCCCATTGGCATAGGAGAAAACATTGTCCCAGGCATCATTGACATATTCATGACACCTGGAGGAAATAGTAAATACAGAGATGAATGCAACTACCTACTGAATATATCAATGCCAGTTATGGTGAAATGCTTTTAACTTTACCATAAGCAGGGGCCGTTATCGTAGAGGTCGGGACAGTGAAGGTGGGCACAGGCACAGGAGGCTGCTTCATTATAATTGGAAGAGCAGTGGGAAGAGATGTTCCTTGCAGTTTGAGCTTTATCAGCTTCATGGCTATAGAGAACTCTAACCGGTCCATTTTACCATCTTTATTCATATCAGCCAATCCCCTTTAGGTCATAGATGTAAAAAAAAAAAAAAAACATACAAATGAGATACAAATTAAGCAGACTATGTGTTTTACTTCACAATCAATTAATACCAAATCTCAGCTAAAACTGAGGGAGGTAGCCCTGACTGAAGGAAAAACTTCTTTGCTTGCTCCCCTAAAAAAAGACAGTAAAATGTGAATTCATTAAGTGACTGTAACAGGTTATACATTAGTAAAGTAAACAAATGTTATTAATTGTACTTACCGGATACGTAGCCCATTGAAGGGGAGAGGGTGTCAAATTTCTTATCATGTTTGCTCCGCTCCTCAAGGCTGATTGCCCACGGACTTGGACTCCCTAAAAACAACATGCATCACAATTAGGGGCTGAGAGATCTATTAGTTTGCAGACTGAATCAGAATCAGAACCACTTTTATTGCCATGTAAATAACAGGAAGGCACAGACTAGGAAATTGCTTTGGCTCTCGGTGCAAACAGTCAAAAGAAGAGAGGTAGAGAATGGGCGGCACGGTGGCTGAGTGGATAGCACTCTCGCCTCTCAGCAAGAAGGTCCTGGGTTCGAATCCCGGTTGGACCAGGGCCTTTCTGAGTGGAGTTTGCATGTTCTCCCCGTGTCTGCGTAGGTTTCCTCCGGGTGCTCCGGTTTCCCCTACCACTAAAAATATGTACAATAGGTATGGCATGTGCCTCCTGTACTGGCACCCCCACCCAACAATTGTAAACCGCTTTGAGACTCCGATGTGCAGTGAAAAGGCGGTATATAAATAAAGCTTACTTACTACTTACTTACTACAATAAAGTGAGGCATAGTAAAAATCAGCATACACTTTAAAATCATTATATATATATTTTTTTAAATCATTACAATCATTACTAAATACAATATACAAGTGCACTTGGTGCACACAATATGAAAAAAGCAGTGCAGTAAGGTGACAGCTGTAACAGGACTTCATAAAGGGCAGTAAAGTAACTTTATAAAGGGTAAAAGCAAAGGAAGGTTTCTCACCCATCATCTGTACTTCTAAGCAAGTTTTCCTGACGTTTCGTCCTCAATCCTAAGGACTTCTTCAGGGAATGAATTCTCAGACCGCGCGTTGGAGATTTAGAACCTATGGGTGTGGTTAGCCACACCCTAATCCTGATACTAACTCATAAACAATCTAAGGTCTGTTTGATGTAGAAGGGAACAGGTCTAACGACCCTGCTGAGGCTAACGACCCTAACTCATTAGCATGTCACTGACTTTGTCCCAAGTTAGGGCGTTGTTTTTAGGATGTCGTCATAGGCCTACTAGTGGGCCACAGTCGGCTGTTCATCTCCACCTCAAGGCCTCCAACCACACGGTGGATGACACAGAGGTTAAAATTCTTGCTCGGGAGAAGAATTGGTTTGAGAGAGGGGTGAAAGAAGCCATTTTTGTGAGGAAACAAAAAACCTCTTAACAGAGGAGGAGGGTTAAGATTTGTTTTGCCTCGCATCTATGACGACATCCTAAAAACAACGCCCTAACTTGGGACAAAGTCAATGACATGCTAATGAGTTAGGGTCGTTAGATCTGCTCCCTTCTACATCAAACAGACCTTAGATTGTTTATGAGTTAGTATCAGGATTAGGGTGTGGCTAACCACACCCATAGATTCTAAATTTCCAACGCGCGGTCTGAGAATTCATTCCCTGAAGAAGTCCTTAGGATTGAGGACGAAACGTCGGGAAAACTTGCTAAGAAGTACAGATGATGGGTGAGAAACCTTCCTTTGCTTTGACTAATCCCTGTACGACTGAGGGCTTACACAAATTTATAAAGGGTAGTAGGTGACAGCAGTAAAGTGACTTTATAAAGGGCGGGGGGACAATGTTGTGAAGTGTTCAAGAGTCCAACAGCAGAGGAGAAGAAACTGTTCTTATGGCGGGAGGTTCTGGTCCTGATGGACCGTAGTCTCCTGCCCGAGGGGAGTGGTTGGAATTGTCCATGTGCAGGTGAGAGGGGTCGGCTGTGATACAACCAGCCCCGCCCTCGAGCTCGGGCGACGTACAGGTCCTGCAGCGATGGAAGGCTGCGGCCAATCACTTCCTCTGCAGAGCGCGCAATGCGCTGTAGTCTCCGTTTGTCCCTGACTGTGGCTCCAGCGAACCACACGGTGACGGAGGAGGTGAGGATGGACTCGATGATGGCCGTGTAGAACTGCATCAACATCTGTGCAGGCATCTTGGCTTTCCTGAGCTGCCGCAGGAAGTACATCCTCTGCTGGGCCTTCTTGATGAGGGAGCTGATGGTCGGCTCCCACTTGAGGTCCTGGGTGATGGTGGTGCCCAGGAAACGAAAGGACTCCACAGAGGTGATGGAGTCCATCAGGGGGGCAGGGGGGACTGTGCTCTTCCTGAAGTCAACGATCATCTCCACTCTCTTCTGGGCGTTCAGTTCCAGGTTGTCACCACTGCACCAGGACACCAGCCGGTCCACCTCCCTCCTGTAGGCGGACTCATCGTTGTCGGAGATGAGTCCAATGAGGGTGGTGTCGTCCGTGAACTTGATGAGCTTCACGGAGTCGTGGCTGGAGGTGCAGTGGTTGGTGTACAGAGAGAAGAGCAGGAGAGAAAGAACGCAGCCCTGTGGAGCTCCTGTATTTATAATCCGAGAAGCAGAGAATCTTCCCCAGACGAACTCGCTGCTTCCTGTTGGTCAGGAAGTCTCCACCAGGATCACCACCGGTGATTCTACACCAGGATCCTGGTGTAGAATCCCAGGAAGTCCAGATGCTGCAGGATAAAGTGGAGGGCAAGGTTTATGGCGTCATCTACAGATCTGTTGGCTCTGTAGGTGAACTGTAGAGGGTCCAGGAGGCAAAGGACTTGAGATGGGGGAGGACCAAGCACTCAAATGACTTCAAGACTACAGATGTCAGCGCCACAGGTCTGTAGTCAAGTCCAGTGATCCGGGGACATGGGGACAGGGACGACCATAGAGGTCTTGAAGCAGGCCGGGACGTGGCAAGACTCCCGTGAGGTGTTAAATATGTCAGCAAAGTGTTAAAAATGTCAGTCTCACCGGTGTCTCAGGGTGACCGGTGAGACTGTCATGACCAGGGGCCTGATCTGAATCACGATGCATCAATAATTGCCCAATATTTTAAGATTATTGCTGATTAAAAAAAAAAAAAATCTCCATCAACTCCTTTTAGCATTACCGAGACATGTAGTTCCTCAACTTTAAGCAGCAATTGAGATTAAGGTAACAATCTCTTCAATTTAAATGTATCGACTTCATGGAGAGTCCCATATGATTTATTCTAATTTATGAAAAATAATATGCGGCTTCAGAGTTAATGTGTTTGTAGCTGATCAAAGAATAGAAATGTTGTTTCTTTAAATATACACATTATGACACGATCATTTATGGGAGAGAAAATGGCCAATACATTTGTAATAAGTTGAGAACAATCTCTACTCCGTAATCACAATCAACTAAAACATACCTACCAAAAAAGATATAATGTTACAATGTTAGTAATTTAAATAAAAAATGGGAAAACATGTATAAAAATTAAACCAAAATATACAGAATGGGAGTTAATCGACAAAGTCAGGCATAGGGAAAAGCATGCAAACTTAGTGGCCAGTATTTACCCGACCACGGCTGACTACACCTGTGTGTTTACTCCACAGTCTGAGCATTATGGAACTTACTAAAGAGGTCCTGAAACTAACACAGCTTCACCTTTGTCAAATTTTTGTCTTAAAACATGTTCAGAATAATTATTTAGATAATTAGATAATTTAGAATATCGATATAATTGGTTGGAAGTGTTTTGCTTTGGAAAACAGAACATAAAACGTGTAAGTATAATAGATGTAAATAAATGATTATGTCTACTTTATGTTTAAGCATATAAAGTCAAAGTGTAAAGAAGCAAGTATTGCTTGATTACCTGACATATTCGGCGGTTGACACCAGATAGTGTAAAGCAGGGGTGCTCACACTTTTTCAACATGCGAGCTACTTATAAAAGGATCAAGTCAAAATGATCTACCTACTACAAAAATGCAAATCATATATTTCAAAAAATATTCTTTATATCAACAATGTATGTTTATGTACATGCAAAACCGCATGAGCCAATATAGCACAACAAAACACAATTACCTATGTACATTTTTTGTCATTACCCGAGTTTACTCTGATGACTTGCACTGAATTGAATCGGCCAGAGATGCATAGTCCGGAAAATTGGTGGTAACTTGCTGACAAGTTTGTCGTGGTTTAGCTTTCCTGCACTGAGCGCGGTTGTTTGCGCATGTGCAGTCACCTAAGTGTCAGTAAAACATTACTGAGTAAAACACAGATGTCATTTGACTGTGGTGCCATGTCCATGTGCCATGCCTGTTTTTTTTAAATCCAAATATTTCCCCTCCTCAGTTTATAAAATAATTTGCATCCACACATCTGCGTTATCAATCACATTCGTAACATTCCAAACATGTACGTCTCTTACGTCCTGTCCTGCGTTGGGGAAAAACACAGAAGTGGGCGGAGTTCTGATGCAGACGCCGGTAACGGCACTTTTACAGTCATAGAAGACACTCAGAGTAAAGAGTAAGACGTATGTTTACAAGCACTGACCCCGTCCTCAGCCCTGGTTTAGTCCTGGTTTGGTTGTTTTCGAGCGTGAGTCCCCGCGATCACTTTGCTGCTCTCTGATGTGGAGGATGTTCGCTGCTGCGAGCATCTCACAGCGAACAGTTTTTAAGGTAGTATGATCCATGCTTCAGTGATCAGAGGAATTTAGTGGGGTACTGTGGCGTGCGAGAACGCAAAACTCTGGTTATCTCTGTCTACACACAAATGCATTAACGGAGTTTTCAAAAATCTCCACTTTGCCCGGAGTTTTTTGTATATATTCGTTTAGAATGTGTAATTCCTTATTTATTTAATGCGATCTACCAATTCTACCTTTGCGATCGACTGGTAGATCGCGATCGACGTATTGAGCACCCCTGGTGTAAAGTGTCTCATATCAGTCGTCTTCAACAGAGACGAGGGGAGCTTTACCTTGGCTCACACTTGGGACTCACTTCTCTAGATCTTCTCTGATCTGTCAGACTGGCCGCATCCTAACCCTAACCCGCACTTTATTATAAGCCTTTTGCAAGTATAATCTTTCTAACAGCATATACAGTCCAGAATAGTTAGTTTACTTGAATGTGAACTGTATACTTCAACCAACATTGATTTATGACAGCTTACCACATTATCGATTTCAACTGAAGTTCAGTAGTTCATCAATAACTTTAAAATGTGATGTTTCATAAACTGAACAGGTAAACTCAGTGTTGCTATGAAATGTATAATCTCTCCATCCCTATCCCTGATTTTATCATTCCAACAGCGGAAAAAGAGAAAATATCCGTTTACGTAATCTCACTAGACCCCACAATAATAATTTAAAAAAGACTTTTAACTGAATCTCACAAAACACTATTTATTTTCATCATTATAACTGAAAGGTTTAATAAACCTAATTAGAATTGGGCCAACCCTTTATAATTGGGTGTAGAACATGCAACTTAGAGTCTCACCATATTAAAATACAATACTTGCAATATCAGCTAGTAAGGGAGAATTGCTTGATTCATATACTCTGCGGACTTACCATTCATAGTTGCAGGTGCTTGGGATGATGCGAGGGAAGTAGTCTTCAGCTATGCCATCTGCAAAACACAGCAGCAGCCTGATCAATGAAATCTGCAGCAAAGATGGGACAGTGCTGTGACAGAGCAGAGGCGAGAAAGAGATTGTGGTCCGTCAGCACAGAAACAGGGCTCTCCTGTGTGCTTGAGCCAGGGGCACGCTGGCGGCGTCCCAAAGCCTTAAACGCTCTGGGACAAGTTCCAGCACTATTCACAGAGCCGACGAGAGGCGCAGCCAGTTTAACACAGGCTTCATAAGCTACTGGACACATCCTTAAGAAAGCATCAACGTTCAGAGAAAGAACAAGCTCAACACTGCAAAAAATTATTACTATAAGTTATCAACTTAGAATTAAAAAAAAGTTACAAATCGGAATAACAGAATAAAGAAAATGTTCGAAGCTGGCAATAGGATTCTCCCCCAAAAATAAATGTAGATATTCATTTCACAAAAACAAACCAAAGTTTGATTTCACAAGGTGGTCACACACTTGCAATGGTAATCTATGTTAAGAAGGGCTTCACTAACAGCCCTGGTTCAAACAGTGATCATATCCAGATTATTAAGGATTTGAGGAAGGAGTATGTATCTGGTGAATATTTTTTGTGTTATAAAAAATAACAAACTTTATGTCACAGATCTTATATGTTATTACACAATTATTTTACTTCAACTTGATGGATCTCTGAATGATGTTTCAAACTAAATAAACCTTCAAATGATCATATATTTTGTGGTTAGGCATGATAAGAGAAGGAGAGAAGGAAAATATTGGCTTCCTGCTGATTAACTCTCTGAAATATGCATTTCCTGGTGCCGGGAAAGGATTGGGAAAAAGGAGTCCAGCTTTTGAACTTCCAGACTTAAGCGGCCAACAGGGAGATGCCAAAGTATCCCACATTGATATAAAAAAATCTCAGAATACTCCAGTGAAAGATCATTACTGCCAACTGAGACATCCCACAGAAATGGAGGGTCATGACAAGACGGGCTCGCCATCTGTCACTGACCTCCAGGCTCAAAACCCCACTCTGCTGCTCCATCCTACCCTTCCCCAATTTCTGTCTTAGAATTTGTACTGTATTTGGGGAAAAAAACATATTTTCAAACAGTTTATACATACACAGAGATAGATAGAGATGTATTTGAAGAAGCTGCTTTGACTAATGCAGGGATTTCTACTGATCCTAATGACTCCAGAAGTCTGTCAGAACTTCCGCTTCCCTCAAGCAGAGAAAAGGTATTAGTCACATGGATGATATGACGACTGATACCCAATATGTCAAGCACATTGATTTTAAGTTTTGATGACTCGCTCAAACACAGGGATTTTTCAATCAAACAACAGCATCCTACACCCTAATCTGTCCACAGAGAGGACTTTCATTCTCTTGCCTCATTTACTGACCGCACTTCAGTGACATCAGTGTTACACCCACAGTGTCAGTCACACGCTGCAGTCCTCACCAAAAAGCAGACCAAAAGCTATAACTAGATTTTCTTCAGCATTTCCACAGGTTCAAGATGTGCCTATGCTAGTTTGTGTTTTCCTCCACTTCATTCACACATCATTTGTCAAAAGAAATTCATAATACATCCACTTACTAATTAGTTACATTCCATCCAAAACCAAAAGTAACAAAATTAATGATTGCTATGGTACCCAGTATCGTGTGAATTATGATAACACACAAATAGTATGTATGCACCTGCAGCAAGTGAAAGATACAGGCCTGAGCTTTGGGTTTACACTATAACGGCACTATGCAACTATTTTAAGATTATATAACTATATCAAATTAAACATTTTGGGAAAAGGCTATACTTTAGTAACTTTTAGTTTGTATTGTACTCTATATAAACTGGTGACATTCCCTGATCACTTGTCACCAGCCTGCAACCTGCTCAACAAGTTTGGATCGAGATAAATTAGCAGACCTTTTTGTGGGCCTTCTAATTATATAACTTTAAATACAAATGCCAACTATGTCTTTACATTTGAACATGTTTGTAAGCTGTATCTTAACTTGCTAATACCTATCAGCATTAAATGAAGCTCAATGAAAGGATCGCAGCTCTCACTTTAGTCAGGAGCAAGTGTGCTTCAAAAGTCCTCTAAAACTTGTCTTATTAAACCACCAAGGAAATATATTTACGCTTTTGGCATTATACGGGTGATATCAAAGTTATTTACACGTTTAGACAAGCAGTTTCGCCTGCGTACCTCTTTTTTCAGCGCGGCCAAAATCCACCACTTCCGACTTTTCGAGGAGTTGTTCTTTTCATTCACGGCTCCTTTACAGATCCACGGACACACTGAAGAGGGTTTATATCCCAGATTAAATATATAGCAGATAATGTACAAATACATCCGCTTTTGGGACAGTGTAGACCTGTTGCTGACAGTTCTGTGTCACATCAACAATATGGCTGACGCACAGTGACTGGACCGTGGGCACGGCTGCTCAAGGCTCCACTGGGAGGAGAGCGGGGGGATGTCGTAGCACTAGAGAGAGCGTGGTAGAGGGAGCGTGGCAACATCTAATAACCCTAGAGAGAGCGGTCTGTTGGCGCAGTCTATCCATGGTTGGAGAGGATCATACAGCAGCGGCCATCTTTTTGGTACGGAGCTAGCAAGTGGGCGTGGCTTCCTGGAAGTAACGATAAATGATGAAAACATTAAAAATCCGAATATTGGATTAGGCTAGTGAAAAATTAATTAAAAATAACTTATCATGGTCCAGAATAAGGACCACGATTCAAGTTATTTTGGATTTTACGCATGCATTTTACAAACGATTAGACTACCTTGCCCAGAATGCATTGCGGTCCTTTTACGACACCGTTTGATAGCAGTTTTTGACGTGTCGAAAATCGGTTTATTTTTATCCAGCGCTTGTCGTTGGCAAAACGATGTTTAACAAAAAACCTCGTAGAAACTTTCGACAGAGAAAATGTGGTTCTAGTGATGAAGAGGACCAGGAGAAAAACAGCAAAGAAGACGATGAGAACGAGAAAAGTGCTTCTGCGGTTAACCGACCGCAGAAACTGCCTCAGAACCGCGGGATCACCTGCAGCTCCAAACGGGAAAAGACGCCTCCAAACAGTGGGGATGAAGACGAGGGAGAGGGACTGGAGCTCACAGCCATAAAACACAGCAACGCAGGGAAAGGAAACGCAAACACTGTTCTCAGCTTTACTGAGGAAGGTAACCAAAGTAATAAAGTGATACTGCCTTGACAATAATGTTCCACGGTTCCAGACCCAAAATACGATACTTTATTTTTAATAATCACTTACTTGTTTCCATTGAGATTGCGATGTCTCAATGGATTTTGCAGAACCATAGATCCTAAATATTGGCAGAACAGAAGGAAACTTTGTGCTTTTGATGGCAGTTGGGTGCATATGATCCTCACCTTTGATGTCCAGGTGGAGAGGCAGATTTTAAGTTGAAAAAATCAAAAGATAAAGCTGTGCTGTTTCAGCACAGGAAGAAGGAGTCATCAACCACAAAAACATCATTGAAATCTTGTAAGTGCAACACATACCTCTTTGTATTGTGAGGAAGTTGAATTCAAAACGTAATATTGTCTATTTGTCAGAATTATTAATACAATTTATGTTTCAGCAGCAACCAGCACAAATGTTTTACAAACTGTAGATTCTGGTGACCAGTCTTCCTCTAACCATGACAGTGATGATGATGTTGAGAATACAAAGTCTTTCAGCAGCAGTTCAGGTGATCAAAGTGATGTTGACGCCAAACCGGCATCCCTGGATTCTCACACTAGTTCAGGGTCCAGCCACAGATGTGTTCCTAAACGAGGTATTTTATTAATTCTGGTGTTTCTGTTCATCTTTTATCTGAACATCCTTTTATAATGTTTTCTTTATTTTTCAGTCGTCATTCCTACTGCCAAACAAATTGAAGCAGCTAGGAAACAACGACGTGCCAATTTGACTAGGAAAGAGTATATTCCTCTAAACAAAGATGGTTATAGTTCGGCTGCAAGCACCCCAGAGCGCTCCAGCACGAAAGACGAAGACGAACAAGTAGAAGATGACAGTGACGAACCTGATGATCATGAGAGAAGAATAGAGTTTGCACCTCAACCAAAAAGTGTTCGAGAGAGAATATTAGAGCAAATGGGTAAAAGCACCACAAACTCGCTCTTATGCATTAAGTGTTCCTTTTCTCTCTTAGATTACACACATTATTTTCAGGTGACGGTGACAACAGTGTATCTGGGACTGATGAAGAGCAAGAACTCTGGGAGGAAACGCAAATTGTAAAAGGTTTGAAAAGGAGACCAGGGGAACAGGTAAGTGATTGTCCTGATTATTTTACTGTATAATTTTACTATATCCTAACATAATTTCCTATCAGAGCCCATCTGGGAGCGAATCAAGCAGCTACAGCAGCAGGCCTGTGTGGCAGAAGAAGAAGAAGATCCCAGCTCTTCCTGATGTTTCTGTGTCAATGATAAAGAAAAGGATCACTGTAAAGTCAGTGCAGTTTTTATTAACTTTATACTGGTTGATTAGTACTAATTTAATGTGATTTTAATATTTAGACTGGACTCTTTGAAAGAAGTGCACAGAGCTCGTCAAGCTGAGTTTCGACGAATGGAAGGAGATATTGAAAATGCACGATGCTCAGCTGAGAATTTAGAAGAAAGTTCTGTGGAGTTGGAGTTGAAGTTTTATAGAGACATGACTCTTTATACCCATAATCTTGTGGAATGCCTACGTGAAAAAGTATGGGTATTTATTTTTGAATAGATAATTATGTTGAAATTCCCTTCAGAATAATATTTGCATGCTAAAAATATTTACTCCAGATTGTTGAGATTAACTCTTTGGAGCTGGATACGTACACGCTGCTTTCGGACCAAATGGAGTCACTATTGTCTCGGAGACGACAGAAGGTCAAAGAGCAAGCAGAACACTTACAACAGCTGAGCTGTAAATTACTTTTTCAAATTTTTATTCACAAATATTTCATTATTTTAACTTTATATATACCATACATGAGTGTACACTTTGCGCAATGTCATTGTGTTTAATTAACAATGTATTTAAAAAACTTTTAGATAAAAAGGATGAACACGCTGCCAATGGAAAATCAGTTTTTAGGTAAGAAAAAGTTATCTGTATTCCTCACAATAAAAAATAATACATAATGTAAATTACTTCTTTCATTCAGTGAGTCTGCTCCTGTGTCAAATATAGAAGAATATGATGTACCTGAAGACACAACGCCTTCCTCTGAAGATTTGGAGCTCTGTAATAAACACATGGGTACAAAATATTGTTATTTGTATATCTCTACCAATATTAGTATCGGTTGATTTATATCAAACTATTCTAAAATCTTACATTCTTTAATTGTACCTGTGAAATACTTTCCAGAGGATATTCTCTTGCGGTCCAAGGCTGTCTTTTCTGATGTGAAAGATGATTTCTATGATGTGAAGAAGATCTTGTCCCGGTTTGAGAAGTGGAGACGATCCTACTCGGACTCGTATCATAATGCCTACATCTCCCTGTGTCTACCCAAGTTACTGCACCCCATTATCAGACATCAGCTTCTGTCCTGGAATCCTTTAAAGGTACTATGTGTAATTTCTACAGTTGCTCCATATGAAAAATAATAATTAGCCAATAATAAATGTGACCTTTTTAAGAATATTTACCTACATGTTTTTGAATTGTTGTCAAAGACTTTGAATTGTTGTAAAAAATTTACATGAGAGCTGGAGGACGCCATCTTGAAAACATTGGTTGATAAGGGACAGAAAAGATGTGGCAATCACGTTTTTGTTTCACAGGTGCTACTAATATTGTTGCTTTCCCCGTGCCCTGACAAGTTCAAAAAAGGGATCATGGATTAACACAGTTGGGTATAAGAACCATAGAGGACCACAGTTATCTAAAAGAAGTATCTGAAAAAGAATTATGCAAAAATCTAGAAACCATTCATAACAGGTAACATGTCAACTTCGCAAACCATACGCACAAAAAGGCAGAATTAAAACAATAGGAGGCACATTGCTGTGGTAGTGTAATTGCAATACTTAACTTTCTTCACTTCGACAGTAACTGTTTTCCCACTGACAGTAATGAGAACGAGGCACAATCTGCAACACGGTCTCCGGAGGTTCTGACCCACTCCAAGCACATCCAACTACTATGTCCACAAGTTTCAACTAAACTTATTCACGGGACAAGCCTCAATTATGCAAAACACACAAATTCCCTGCAAAACAATTGCCATAATACAGCCTGATTTTGAATGTCCTGTTTTCTTACTGTGATGCGGACACGGCGCTGTGGTGAAAGCTAATAATAATATGAGCTTTTAGCTACTGTTCTGCCGTGGCAGTGTATGTATTTTTAAAGGTTACTTCTGAAAACGTACGTAAATTAATACTGTGGCATCTGTCTGACCAATTTGCTTGCGTTTCTTAGGAGTCGAGTGAGGACTTTGAAAATATGCCGTGGTTCACTGCACTGGAGACTTTCTGCCACGGACATGGTCACGAAGAGCTGGAGAAGACAGACAGACAGACTGTGACAAATGTTATAGAGAAAGCCTTATTTCCAAAACTCACAGGTATTGGCTATGTGCTATCCGTTGATCAAAATGACCCGTCATAATTAAAAGAAAAAGAAAAGGACCCAAAATTAGGCTCTAGATAACCCAGGGCTGGTCAAATTGAAAAATAAATGTTGATTAATTTTCCTCACTGGCGGGTCAATTTGACCCAAGGATAATCTATTCCTACGTATAAACTTTATATTTTTTCCGAATCTTTCAGCTTTTGCTGAGATGGTTTGGGATCCTATGTCACTGCATCAAACTGTTCGTTTGGCTGATTTGTGTCATAGACTGAGGGACGACTATTCTATCTTTGAAGGCGAACACAGTAAACCCGTCAAGGTGAATTCATTTAAATCAACTATATATAAACATCTTAAAACTGTAAATTCAAATATTTACTTTAATGTAGGCATTCATAGATGCGGTGTCCATTCGCTTGAAGGCCTGTGTGGATGAAGATATCTTCATTCCGATCTATCCCAAAAGGTGTTGTCCCAAAATGTTGTCTCATGAATGAATAAATATATAGAAATTACTATTAACACTGTTTTTGTTGTTGTAAAATAAAGGTTCTTGGAGGATTTGTCTTCTCCCCAGTACCATTTCAGAGAGCAGCAATTCTGGACTGCAGTCAAAGTAAGACATCAAATGCCAAGGCGATCTTTCATCTTACGAATAGGCCACCGTTTTTACATATTGACATATGTTCTTACCTTAGACTAGTTGATATGTATGTCTGGTCTTTGTTCACGGACAAATGCAGCCTCTTCCACAGACTGTATAGTTCCAAATTAGCTCCCGTTAGAAGCTACCAAACTCTTCCACGTTTTCCCTATTTAAATACAGTTACGTGACGTGTTACACTACAAAGTAACACAGAAATGTAACATGTCGTGTTTCTCAGCAGATAAAAAGTACTATATTGTGAGGCGTAATAATACGAGGAGCACTACGTCCACGCACTAACTCCTAAAGACTTCTCTCCCGCTCACTTCCGTCAATAGAAGCAGCGTGAGCGGGAGAGAAGTCTAGGGAACACGTGGAAGAGTTTGGTAGCTTTTAACGGGAGCTGATTTGGAACTATACAGTCTGTGGAAGAGGCTGCATTTGTGCTCCGTTTGCATGACAGAGCGCACGGACAAAGACCAGACAGGTACATATCAACTAGTCTAAGGTAAGAACATGTCAGTATGTAAAAACGGTGGCCTATTACTTTAAAAAACAAAAAAAATCCTTTGATTCTGTTTTTAGCTTCTTTGCATCATGGGAAATTGGGATATGGTGCTTCCCGAAGTTTTATTGAAAGAACTGATGTTGGACAAACTTCTCAGCCGTTATATTCTGATCAGCTTAATGAACTCTACTGGAACCACAATTAACGCGTGCAAAAAGGTATAACACTTTTTGACCTGATGCATGTTTACAGTAACAAATACAATTGTTCACGTTACAGATTGCAGAGAGCTTACCCTTGTCTTGGTGCTCAGAAAATACTTTACCTCAGCTTAAATCCTTCGAACAGTATTTAGTTCAGATGGTTCACTCCATTTGTAAACAACAATCTCCAAAGGATCCAAGTACAAAGTAAGTAGCGCCCATAGACATTACTCCTTTTAAACATGTGATTTTGTCTAAGGTCTGTCTGTTTAGATCCACCGTGACTGAAGTTCTGAAGATTTTGAGTCGCATCAGGTGCTACGAGCCGATAATGACAATAGCTGAGAAATATCACTATGAAGATGCAATTTATACTCATCAGCTGTTAAGTCAGGATACAGGCATTGTGTAACTTAAACTTGATTCCCACAAAGGACATTAAGCTACGATGCCAATGTTTGTGCGCCAAAAGGAATATTTTATACGATTGTGATAATAAACTTAATGGGCATTTTGTACAGCTTGTTTTTATTAGTATTGATTGTCAAAGAAAAGCACAATGACTCAAGCTTCATCGTTTTAATCCACAAAAAGCAAAAAGTGCAATATTTTAAGAACAAACTGGAAATAAGTTCACTCGAGCCATGTTAAGGCCTTTGGTCAGGAGAGTTGACCGTTATGATTTATAAAAAAGGGACAGTATTGATCAGTGCATAGTAATTACAATTAAACTTCTGACACAGCTCCTAGGCACTGAATGCTGATGCAAACCACCTGCTGAGTTTTACATGTGACCACTTAATGTTTTACCTGGTTTCATTAACAATTGGCCATTTAAATTTTGTTAAACTCATCTCTTAAATGGCAATATGCAAGATTTGTGTCATTAAATGGCCAATATGTCAAGGCATTAAATCATGCTCTTTTTGAATACGTTAACTGATAACAGTTCAGCCGAGATATTTGAATTTCAAAATTAGTTTTACTGCCCCTAAATCTTAGTTTTTCATTTCAATATCCTGCCCTCCACCGTTTAACCAACCACGAAGTCTGATCTGGGTTGCCAGAACTCACCATGTCGAGCAAATCTCACTGGTAAAGTAACATGTGGCCGAACTACTACAAAAGGTCTCATGATTCTCCACATTAATAACAATACAAGGAATAAACAAAAGATTTCTATCAAGGCCTTTGTGAAGATTAGTTATTTAGATTTGTTGTTGACAAAACTAGTCTATTCAGATATTTTGGTCCCAGCTGGATTTGTCTGCATATCTGGCATATCAGGGAGAGTGCAGATTTTTACATACTGCTCCTTTAACATTTATGATTTAAGCAGATTATGGATTCAAGTTTTCCTGAAAGATACAGTGAACAAACTCCACTTTAAAAAACTGTTTAGAAAAGGCCAAGTGTGAGGGCCAATAGGAGGCAAATCATTTGTACTCGGATGTTCTATTTTCTGGGGACACAACATGTAGATGAAAAAAAAAATATGTACATTTATATTGCATACTGCCCCTTTAACTATATAAGTAATGCTACAGCAACATTTGTTACAACTTACTACTGAAAAGCACAACTTTGAGAAAAAAAAAAAAGATACAAACTCTTGCTTGGCCTTGTTACCCCATGCATTTATTATAACCAAAGCGTAAACTGCTCAGATACAGTGATTATTTAGAGAACAGAAAACTGAATCCCATGTTTGTTGAGCCGATCAACCAGCGTGGTTTTTGCGAATGCTGCTCCAGGTGAATACACTCCTCCCCTAAACATAAATAGCTTGTGTTATTTTCGTGAATGCAGTGGATGTAGGGACATGTTCACACTTTGGTTAAAGTGAACCAGACCCTCAGTCTCTACATAAAGTCACATGACATCAAATATCTTATGAACATACGTGTCAGGCAAAGCAGGGCATTCATTGAGGATGGTGAGAGCAGCCTGGACCATAGCAATGGGTGTGGTCACATATCCACATTCTGTCCAAAGGAAGATTTCAATTGATCAAACTAAAACTTGCCCTACAAGTCAAAAATCCAGTTAAAACTTACCAGGACCCTGAACCACAACACGGATCTTGCCATTTGGTTTTCCAGAAGAAGGCTCATGGCCGTCTGTGTAACCCTCTCCGTGGAACGCCATTTGGAAGGATGAACCCTCAAGCTAAGAAACATGCTCGCAGATCAGTAGGTAGAAGTCGTAAGCATTTTATACTTAACTTTTAACAACATACCTGCTTTCTCGTTGGACCCTCCTTGGAGAAGACTCCAAATGAAAAGAATTCCGGGTACTACAGTGAGGGTTAAAAAAGGTAGAACAGTTCAATTTTAGTTGAAAAAAGGATATGAATGAAAATATGAATGCACATTTTACCTTGATGAGGAGGTCGCGTCCAAAACTGAACTTTACCATAAACCAGAACATAAGGCTTGCAAACATTAGCTTGACAACATTACTCACACCTCCAACACCTGCATAAGCGCCATATTGGACCTGGAGAATAATATTTTTTTATTAAAAACACAAATTGCGAAAGTTAACAAAGTACACTTACTGGAGTGACATTGTCACGCTTCACAAGGAAACGCTGTGTTCTCTTTACAACTGAAGGATCAGAGCCCATAAAAGGGACAGTGTATTGCTGAATCTCATTACTGTAGAACAATGTGCCTCTAAAATGTGAAAAAGGAATCAGTAATAAGTGTTATCAGAATTTCTCAATAAAAATAAATAAAATCATAATTTACCTGCGTTTCAGTCGTGAGCCAACAACAGGAAGGGGTTTCAGACCAAATTTCTTTCGAAGGTTCTGAAGTTTTGTGCCATCTGCAAATCCATATATGGCTGACTGCCATGTACCATCATGGATACACCCGCCCTGGTTGTGAATAAGAAAAAAAATGCAAGTAAAATAGGGAATAGTTGAAGGAAAAAAATATAACAGGTGAGGCGGATAAAATGATCACTCACTTCAGGTCCTGCATTGACAGTGAGAAAGCTTTCTACTGCAGTCAATGTACCTAAGTAGTAGACTAAAGTCAGGGTTTGTACAAATTAAGTTAAGCAATTTCCCATGAAATAAAAAAATGACTAATTCACTACATAAATGCAGAGAACATAGTCTGACTACAAGCATTTTCCAGATTTTAACAACTATTATTACATTAAAAAGGATACATAACCAATTTAAGCATTCACTGATATTCTGTTTAAGGTTTTGTCCCCCCCCCCACTTCCCTCATTTGAATTTTCAAAAGCAGCTCAGCTTACACTGGGTTAGCTTCAATATTTGGCTGAAATTGTATTTCCCAAACGTTTTGATTTGTTGAAACATTAGGGACCTCGGACAGGGGCGTGTCTTCTGCCTGAATAAGAATAAATGCGCATCTATTCTTCTCATTGTTGTATCTATTGATTGTGAGGTCCTTTAAATACCAAGGGCTTAACAGGAACTGGACTTAATGAACAACTAATTATTCATAAAGCAATGAGTTTTAACTATACACTTTCCAAAGAATGTAAAAAATAGAAAAAAATAAACAAAAATAACCTTTAAATTGATCCCTGGTGAAGAGAACTCCAATGTCTGCAGGTATGGAGTCAAATCCACAGCTTCCGATAACATAAACACCATTTACTTCTGCCTTACTGTGATAATTGAACTGCATTCCCTCCAAAAACTATAACAAAGACAACTCAATTCAGAAAACAAAAACCGTTAAAGAAAGTTACATTTGTAACCATTTACAAAGTAAGTAAGTAAGTAAGTAAGTAAGTAATCTTTATTTATATACCGCCTTTTCACTGCAGATCTGAGTCTCAAAGCGGTTTACAATTGTTAATTTTTGGGCATTTGTCTCTCACTCCACACAGAGATGGGAGCGGGGTCGCCAGTACAGGAGGCGCATGCTAGAACTATTAGACATATTTTTAGTGGTAGGGGAAACCGGAGTACCCGGAGGAAACCTACGCAGACACAGGGAGAACATGCAAACTCCACTCAGAAAGGCCCTGGTCCGACCGGGATTCGAACCCAGGACCTTCTTGCTGAGAGGCGAGAGTGCTATCCACTCTGCCACCGTGCCGCCCACGGTGGCTGAGTGGATAGCACTCTCGCCTCTCAGCAAGAAGGTCCTGGGTTCGAATCCCGGTTGGACTAGGGCCTTTCTGAGTGGAGTTTGCATGTTCTCCCCGTGTCTGCGTAGGTTTCCTCCGGGTGCTCCGGTTTCCCCTACCACTAAAAATATGTACAATAGGTATGGCATGTGCCTCCTGTACTGGCACCCCCACCCAACAATTGTAAACCGCTTTGAGACTCCGATGTGCAGTGAAAAGGCGGTATATAAATAAAAGCTTACTAGCTTACAAAGGTTTCATTAGCACAATTGCTTCGTAATTGCTCCACAAAACCCAGGAGGGACTATCGTCAAGTCATTGAAGTTTTCATGGAATGGAATGGAATGGGTTTCTTTTATAAACCGCTTTCCATGGATTTGAGTTTTAAAACATAATTTAAACTATAACAAAAACGTCCAAATAGATTTGAATAGTATTATACCAGCCCTAGCCAATACCTATATGATCCGGATCATTGTCTATCCAGGATTTTTAGGGAATAGAACCCTCTTGGCGCAACGTCTGTGCTCTACGAGTGCTGTTCCACTTACAAAATGCTATATTAATGAACGTTGACGTACCTGTGGCTCTCCACACAAGTCAATATGATGTGCTCCATTCTCCACACAGGCCTTAACCATTGGCTCACCAAAAAATCTGTACTGGAGACAAAACAAATAACCATTCTAGTGAGAACAACAACACACATCAATAAACATTAACATCATTCCTTATGTCAGATTATCAGATAGCATGACCAGCAGCCATTGAGAAAGTAATAAAGGGTTTCTATAATGAAATTAGAGCAGAAAATAGGCACAATTCCATTGATTGTACGTTACATGTCTGTAACGTTCATTGTGCAACAGACTGTTCTATGGTATGAGGAGGAGAGTGGTCTTTAAGAAAAAAAAAAAAAAAAAAAAAAAACATTTTAAAAGCATTGCCTTGTCTAAAATGTAATAAATGATAATGATACAAAATACATTTTATTTCTTATGCACCTTTCACAACACTCAAGGTCGGCTTACATACATGTATATAGTAAATTATCCACAAGTATTAGTAAACCCCACTTTATAATAGTATCTTCTAATTGAATGGAGGATGGCGTCTGTATTGATCATGGATGATTATTGAAAGAGTGCAAAATTTTTAGGCATGTTAATTGATATATATATATTTTTTTGTAAGAATTTAACACATTTATGAACTGACAGTAACATATTTAAATATGTTGGCTTGTGATGAGCTCAGGGAGGACAGAAACCGCCCATGGAGCAGAGGGGCAAAAGCTACCTTAATCTTGATTTTTTTTCAGTCTGAATAGACTGAAAGCGGGGCCTCAAGATCCTTCTGACATTTCGGATTTCAAGCAGGAAGTTTCAGAAAAGCTACCACTGGGATAACTGGCTTTGTGGCGGCCAAGACTTCAAAGCAACCATCCTTTTGAATCCTTGGATGTTGGTTCTTCCCATCATTGTGAAGCAGAATTCACCAATTGTTGGATTGTTCTCCCACTAACAAGGAACATGGTCTGGTTTACTCTACTGATAATGTGTTGTTGAATTAGTAATCCTGCCATTTTATCTTGAAATGGGTAAAGTCAAACACTACCTCAAATCCAGTCTTTTTTACTCACCCAGAGGAACACATTATAAAATGCATAACAAACACTAACACACACACACACTTATCGACTTCCATCTCATACCAATCCCCTCTTCTACAGAAAATGGTTTAGGGGTGAATGTATACATTTGCTGATTGTTATTTTTACTCTTTTTACATCTTACCATTTTGGAGCCCAGTCTTATAAGTTAATGTAGCTTCCAGAGAGTTCCCCCTTTATGAAGCATAATATGAAAAAGTAAAGATGTATGGACTTTTATAAAATATTTTATAAATAAATCAAATTGAATCAAATCAAGTCCACTGGTATTTTGTGGCCAATATATGATGCATGCATCCCGGATAGTCAATTGTTCAATATTGGTGCATCCAGAGATATTAATGTTACAGATAAAATAGACTTACAGGGCCAACACAGTTCAGAACAATCACTGCCTGTTTGCACATGGCTGCCAAGGAGTCTGGCTCCCCAACATCAGCAACAATGATGTCCACTTCTGTTCTGAGCTCAGGTTTACCTTGACACACAATTTAAATAATGCATTAGACACAATAATATTGTAGGGCATAGATTATCCAATTATTTTGTAGCAAAAAAGAGGTAACACAAGAAGAGGGAATCATAACTCACATTAGACAGGTGCAATAGATCACGTGTCAAAAACAAGGCCCACTATTAGTGCCACCTGAACTCTTTTTTATCATGACAAACTTGCAGCATGTTAATCTGGCCACCATGGCACATTAAACCTCATTCGAAAGCATGTCACTTCTAAAATTTGAACCCCACATAACTAGAAATAGACATAATCAATCTACAATAACAAACCAATTTTATTCAGAAAGAAAATATTAGGAAAGTATAAGCCAACTCATTGTCAAAATATCTTAATTATTTGTTTTTATCTTTTTTAAATATTAAGAAACAAAAGGATCCAAATTTCTACCAACAATTATTTTACAATTTGGCCCCGACCAAAAAGAGTTTGACACACCTGCAATCGACCATCGTAGCAGGGAGGAGTTATCTGGTCATATTAGATTGCCAAACTACGCAAGCCAATTCCAAAGTACAGCAAGATAGCAGACAAATTGGGTGAATTATGCAAAAAATGTTGTTTCATAAAATGCAAGCTGGAATACCGGTTTTATGCAAATATACAAGCGGTATAGAATAGGATAATTAACTACTTAAATTAAAAACACCCTACCCTTTCAAATCTACCACAAATGTCTATATGAAACATAAATCTTAACTTACTCAGAACACTGGCCGCTTGCTCGAGTATTTTCTCCAGCTTTTGCCTACTTCTCCCAGCCACGGCCCACTTCAAAGTCCCATTTGGACCCTCAGAAGCTGTCCGAGCCGCCTCTTCCACCACAAACTGTCCAGTGAATCCAGAGGCACCGAAAATGACCAGATGGTAGGGTCGGTTTGGGGATGTTTCTACAGACGGCATGATGACAGGAGTTGGAGACAGGACCGCTCACTTGTCAAACTGAGCAACCGACTGACTGAAGCTGAGGTTGGAGACCCTGGATACTCCTCTTTTCTAGCTTCCGTAGCCTATCGCCCATGATGCTAATGCTAATGTACTCTAAATCCCTCTGAAGCGAATGTCGAGAACATTTTAATTGCATGTTAACTATGACAGTGGGTTTTATTATATTAGGTTGAAACTTAATACATTAAATATAATAAATTCAATTTTCTGTGTCATACATGGATGTATGATCCACTTTCTCCTGATTCTATTGGCCAATTCGCCAGCAGCTGATTAGCAAGTCGCGATGACGACAATTGCGTGCGCCCGTTCTACCACGAGAGGTTTATGAAAACAAACTGCGGTCAACATGCAGACTCCTCAATGTCAATTGATTTTTATACAGATTATACAGATGTAGCACGGCTGCAGTTTACAGCTCTCTCCAGTGTGGAAAGTAAAACATAATCCGGAGGTATGTATCCTCTTATATGAACTTTATCATCCAAGAACATGGCGTACATTCGCTAATCTTGCTAGCTCGTAGTGATTGTTAATTACGACTAACATCGTAACTTTATGATTTACTATGTGGTACAAATGTAATTTCACACGTAGATATTATTTATGGTCATTTATTTCCACATATACATGTATTACTGCTCTTCAACAATGTATATGAAAGAGTGTACGCCCGTACGAGTAGCAAATGTTGATTATTGTTTTTAATTACCGTTCATAGACCCCGAAGACCTGAAGTTCTTCGCCATGACTTTCCAGATGTGCAGAGTTATGGAACTATTGATGAGATCTGCATGTTGCCATAACATATTACGCAGTTCGCCGTTGCAAGTATTGGGCCATGTTAGACCTTCTGGCCACAGTGGTCTGGTTCTTACGGCAATTCATCGAAGAGCATATAGTTTGGACAGACTGTCATCTCAGTCAACTAAAGTTCAAACGTCACAACAGCCTCGCACTGAGAGGTTGTCTCCATCCACAGCTCTAACACAAAGAAATCTTTCTGCAGCCGCCGTACAAGTAAGACAAAAATAAAGTAGTTCATGATATTATCATTTAAAAATAGAATGACTAATTCTTATTTCTTGTGTGAATAGTCCCGTCCATTTTGTCATTATGACTTTCTAGAAATTGGGGAAATTGAAGAGAACATTCGCCTTGCTCAAGCATGCAAAAAAACAAGACATTTCATTGTCAACCCAGATCTTGCTAATCTTGTCACGCAACACCTTGGACCTGACATAGAAGATTCTAGAACGGTTTTGTTTGAATGTAACCCAGGTATGTGTTCTCATGATAACGCATATATTTACGTTTTTACTTTAGGAAAAAATTAACATACTTTGTTTCTGTTTTTGATAGGGCCTGGTGTCCTCACAAAAACGTTGTTGAAGGCTGGAGCCCAAAGAGTGGTAGCTCTTGAAGGAGACAAGTCCTTTCTATGTGATTTACAGGTAACTAAGATTCTTTATTCACTTTTTAACATGAAATTGTAAATTAATATATGTTGATCGTTAATGTTTTAGGATTTGGAAGGTCGTCTTGATGGTCAGCTGGAAGTGGTTTTTTGTGACTATTTTAAACTCGACCCCATTGGCAGTGGACACGTCAGAGCCCCTGTTATGTTTACTGACAAACTTTTCGGTGATCTTGGAATATCAGAGGCAAATTGGACTGATGGTAATTCATAATTTAGTAGAATTTAGTTATATGAAGAACCTATACATCTTTGTTTTCTTTTTGCCATACAATTTTCTAGATGTCCCTGTGAAGGTGGTTGGTATACTTCCCCAGCGAAATGAGCGTGGTATGTTATGGAAGATGGTTTACTCCTTGTTTGAACGGCTTTCAGTTTATAGATACGGAAGGATTGAGCTCAACCTCCTCATAAGTGAGAAAGCATATCAGGTAAAAAAGAAAAACCTCCATGCAATACAATTTAATGAATGAAGTTCATTGTTTGTTTTTGATATTATTTAAGAACCTGACGGCCAGTCCTGGTAACATGATGAAGTACAGAGCTTTTGGTGTCTTGTGGCAGATGGCCTGTGATATTCAGTTGCTGCACAAGGTAAATTACTTTCAAATAAATGTTTTTTTTCCCTCTTTTTTTCTTATGTGGGTTTCCTTCTTTTACTGACAGGAGCCATGGGAATCATTTGTGGCCTCTACAATGCCAAGTGCTCCAACCTCCAGAGGCAAAGTAATAGAAACGGTTAACTAATATGTTTACACAAACAGAAACATAGTAACAAAGATAAATGTACTGTGCCTCCCCTCTAGCTCGCTAATAACCATCTGTGTCTTGTGAGATTGCGCCCTCGGGCAGACTTATTCTCTTCGGGTTTGACTCCCTCTAATGCTGCCACTCTGTTAATGATGGTCAAACAGTGTCTGGCAAAAAGAAAAGTCAAACTTCTCGACAGGCTTAAGTACGCAGTAAATGTTTCAAAAGTTTCACTCACTGCTTGATAATCCCTTTCTTGTTTTCAGTCTCTGGTCTCCAGATAGTGGAAGCAAACTGTTGTCGGAGATGGGGTTACCCAAGGACATTCTGACTGGGCATGTATATCCAGAAGAGTATCTTCGACTGTTTCTTTTAATGGATAAGAGCCAGGAGTTCACACAGAGTTGGCTCTATGAAGAATTTCTGGAAAACACACAAAGACAAGGATGGGCTTGAGTAACTTGGTATTAAGGACAATTGATGATGACAAACAAATGATGAAGAGTAATTTCAAAGGAAAGAGTACTTTCAAAGGAAATGGCATGCTGTTTCATCACTCATGATAATAATGGTTTGATGTACATGTGAAAAATGTCTCCAAAGTAATTTAACATTTCTCTGCACATAAGGGTTATAAACGTACATAAATAAACTGCATTCATTTTGTATTTGTACTTTTAATAAAATGTTTTAAAAACTATGTGTATTTTTGTATATATTCTCGAAAGAGAAAAAAAAACCGTAATAAAAATATGCATCTTCAGTTATTATTATATAAAGATCCATGATCATCAGGGGCTGATCCTTCCTTGGGCTGCTCTTTCCGCACGGTGCGACCAAATCGCGCGCATGCGCAGGCGGTTTCTTGCCGTAATAACATTCATTTTCAGGTGATATTGGAAGCGATGATAACAGCAGAACCAATGACCTGTAAGTCATAATCGGTTTAGTGAGACTTGTGATCTGTATGTTAAACATTGCTTTGTTTGTGCAAATCAATTTGAGGTAATGTGTTGTTGTCGTACGAAGAGGTGTCCGCCAGATGTGGCTAGCTAACACTAGCATTACAAAATCTTCCTTTTTGAACCCGTGAGATTTTACCTTGTCATTTGTAGGTTTTTCTTGTTATTAGGTGCAGGCGTGTGTTAAACTCGGCTGAAATGCTCTTCATTTCAGATTTCGCAATGCCACTTCTATCTTGATGCCATGTTGTCAAATAGCATACATTTAGCTTGATATGAAATTATGACCAATAAAAATGGTGCTTTTTTAAGGTGAGATTGTGTATTGATGTCGACCTCTGAATGCCACCCTGAGAGAGCACGGCCAGCAACAAATCTGACATTGTAATGTTAGGCACCGTGTGCCTCTTCCCAAGATGTTTTTAGTTAAATTGGCATGAAGAATACGACGCGTATTGCCCCTTCCAAAAATAGAAAAATATTCGGTTTCTTGAGATACTTATTTGAGTGATGTATGAAGTATAATTGTAGTGTAATTGTATAGTGAATGTCCTGATGTAAAGTGATGTCCTTTGATATCCAATCTAATGAGTCCTGACTCATTAGATTTGGACATGCTCCATCAAGGTATTTTTTGATGATGTCCCATTATTCTTATTCATTATTGTGCACTGTGCGTGGTGTTTTGTTCACTGTTCATGAAAGGGTTGACAGACTGTGCAAGATATATGTTGTTGCTTAAGGGTTTGGCTTAGGAATGGAACTAAACCAGTTTTGTGCTTCACGTTTCACTTATTGGCTGTCATTTGTTATAAGCCTAACATATGTTCCCGTTCACTCTTGTTTTCATTGCCTTACTCCCTGCAGATCAAAGGAGGATAAACATTTGCGCAAGTTAAGACCAATGGATCATGATGGTAAGTCGGTCGACACTCAAAATTAACATTGTATTTGATTGACATGCTTTCCATATACCTTTCTTCTGCAGGGCATTTCATGATGGAGGACAGTATAATGTCACAAGAGTTGAATGTCTGTGACAATTTTGCAGTGTCCTCTGCAAACCTAAATGAGTTTGCACAAACCCAGAGTAAACATGGGTCCAAAAATGAGATTGTTGAGCAGCAAGTTTCGTCAAAAGCCCCTTTTTACAACTATGAAAAGTATGTGCAAGACCCTCTGTATGAGAACATCTGTACAACACAACTGGAAGGAGACAGTGATGAGGTGATGAAGGAAGTGGAGGACAACTCAGAAGAATCAATTTTATTCCGATGCCAGTCTCCAGAAACCCTCATGACTGATTCCTCATATTCAGAATCAGGTACCACCACTTTTCTGGCCATGGCCAATCACTAAGAGCAGAGTATCTTTCACGATGTACACATACAGGAAAATCCCATTTGAGATTCCTTTTTTTGCATGTTTTTTGTGAGTGTGATCAAATGTATTCATCAGGAGAGTCACATTTGCTAAAAACACTGTACATACCTATATCTAGGCAAACAAGCCACTCCAAAAGACACATGGAAGAGTAAACAAAACGTTCCTCATCAAAAAATGATAAATATATATATTATATATATATATATTATATATATCATCTATATCCACACATTTTGGCCAAGTACATTTGTATCTTATTTTTGTCCGGTAGATGTAAGCCTTGAAAAATATGTTGTTATTGATATCTTAGTTGTTCTTAGTTGTTGCCACACAAACACAGTGTAAGTGTGACAGGTCAGTGAAAAATAAATGATGCAGGTCTAAGAGTATGCACTTGTTTAGGACGGGTCACTGCATTCTGTTGGCTTTTGTTGGATTGTAATAGATTTGCCGTTACACTTTTTTTTTTCTTTTAGGAAGTCTACTTGAGACGCCCTACGCCCTAAGTCCTGGGACCAGTCCAGAGCCCCACTCCCCTTTCTCTCTCTCTGAACGGCTTAACAAACAAGGCCAGAGCAGTGCATTGGAATTGGCTTCTGGTGATACACTCTCCTCCGTCCCTCCTTTGTCTAGTTCAGAACAATACATCTCATCCTCAGAGAATGTCTTGGACCATCACTTAACTTGTATAATTGGAACCAGTCCTGTAGCAGAAGAAAAGCCTCCGTATAGTGGAACTGGTGATCAGGAAACTTCCAAACAAACTTGTCCTATAACGATCAGCGCAAATCAAGATCCATCGCAGCTCCTTGAGCGTTTGGATCAGCTGTCAAAAAGTGGCGATGATACTCGGCTCCCTCTATACCTGCATGAGGTAACTATCAATTTCAACAGGAAAGATTGTGGTTTTATCTTTAGATTGTCAACATAACCCATTTCAAATGTCATTGATTTACTCTTATTTGCATGACATTAAATTCCCATAACTATGGCTGGGTAAATATCATTAGGTACTAGTCCAAATCTGGATAAGTGAACTTACTGGTACAAAGTAAACAATTTGGTATGTAGATCGTACTTGATATTGTTTTGGCTGGTGGATTCCAGAAGAACACTGTAAAAACTTACCAGGAAGTTCTGCTTCATAGCTTGTGTAACGCATTGTGTGTGCATAAGAAATTAAGAATTAATTTAAATAATTATTTTTGCATTATCCTTTTACATTACAATTATACACACCACTATTTTGATTCTGATAATGATATTACAGAGTCCCCTGTCAACTTGGTTGTTTTGTTTCAGTTTACATGACTTGACTTGTATGTTTTAGGGTGTGAATAGTTCTGTCACTTTGATTTAATACGGCAGCTCGACACACCTGAGATTTTTTACCTTTAGGCAAATATTTAGGCAAGCACTAAAATAAATGAAAATGCTGGTAAGACATGATAATGACTAATCCATATTGCTTGAGTTTTTCTATGAGCATAAGTGTTTTTTTCCTGTTATTTTCTTCTAAATGGCAGTACTAGGGATGATCGTGGTGCTTTTTGTAACTGACACATTCTATATTTTCTTTGTATTTTTGTCCAGATCGCTGAGGCCTTTGTCTCTCATGAAGACTGTATCCTTGAGGCTTTGGTGGTTATGTTTTTGTTCTGAAACTGATGTTCAACCTTTTGCAATGAGCTAATAATGTTTTGTTTAGAGATTCACCCAAAAAACTGGTATCACATATCTGTACCAATTCCGGTGTGTGATATTTAATTAATTCAATGTAATATTTGTCTGATTGTAATAATATCTTAGTTTAAAGTTTCCACATTGTTGTAAATGACAGTTTTAGACTCATGGATTTTCAATCTATATACTGGTTTCTACATGGGATTTTTCAAGTAGAGAAGCAGGCTTAGCTCTGTCATACATATAATTTATTCATTTTTATAAAATATTGGGTTGAGGAGTTTTTTGTGGATTATTGTTAAGACATGAACTGAGCTGGAACGTAGAAAGTTCCGAATTTTTTTTTCTGCTTGGCTGCTTAGGAAATGTAGATGAGCCATTACATAAGAGTGCATTTCTTAACCATTTGATGTTCAGATCAAAGGGCAATCTGTTGTATACAACTTGAGAGACTCTATCACCAGAGACTACTGGATAATCTGACTGCACTGCAGAAACAATGGGGTAAAAGACTTTATACTAAGCTTTATATTAACATTAAACCATAGTTTATCACAATTCTTACAATAAAGTAATTCTCTGTACTTGTTTTTCTGTCCTCAGAAAGTCATTGTAACACAACAGACCCAGCTTTGACATCAAGCCATCTCGACACTCTTCAGCAGATATGCCTCACACACAGCCGGTGAGTAGTAGATGTCTTTAAAAAGTACAATTACAATATTGTGCAGTGCAGAATGTGGTCAAAAAGTCACAAAATCCCAGAATGTTACAGCTGCTTTTTATTGGCTTAAACAGTAGGAACACTGTGCACATTGAATTTGCTTTTCATGGTTCACACATAGTATGGATTTTTGCTGTTGCAGCAACATCCCCAATTTAGACATTTGAGTGTACAGCGATACTAGAGTTTCACTTTGCAGCCTTGTAACGGCTAGTTACAAGGCTTGTCTTGTTTAATATTAGACCTGGAGGCTGTCAACTTATCTTGTATATATATACACTTTTTTTTTCATTTACAGACCCAAGACAATTGGAGTTGAGGTAAATAAGAAAAAACTTTTGCGTTGTACACATTTAGAAGAGTCATTGTAAGACAGTAGTACATTGTACAACTTTACAATATTTGTGTAGTAATAGTTTTAAATATTTTCAGTGTCCTTTGGATTCTTTGGCTGTGCCTTCATGCAGCACAGGTAAACAGATTAGTTTTGTTTCTGTCACCATAAAACTGTGGAATACAAAAGTAAGTTTGTTTTGCTTTGGATTTTTTTTAGACTGTCTGATTGAAGGAAAAATGGAGCAATTGCAAATCTCCTCCGAGAGCTCTTTATTGGTCCATACTATTGATCTGGGGGATACAATAGATTCTTCTGTGGTCCCAGGGAATGTTCTGGAAGATGGTAACTCAAAAAATAAAGACTGTTCCCAACATACGCCGTTGAATGAGAGTGAGTGTATAGAGGAGCCAGCGGGTGGACCGGAAGGCACCATGTTAGCTCCTGGAGTTGAGCTACCCCCCTCCAGAGTGGATGACATGGATCAGTCCAAAACCGCAGAGCAGCAAGGGGAGGGTCTGAGTCCTGCCCAAGAACAGGAGGCAGATGCAGTGGAGCAACAAGATGTAGAGGAGGCCACCGAGGCTCTGGAGATGGAGGATGACGAGGAAGGAGAGGAGGAGGGCCAGAATGGAAAAGCTTTTAGGTTTTGCCCCAAGACACTTCCAGTGGAGACTGTTGTTAGTGCGGCAGCAGTGGAAATCCGTCTACAGGAATCTAAAAGTGAGCCAGAGATAACCCTTCTCAGCCCAGAGGAGACACAGGTGCACAAATATATACATTAAATCCCTATATATATATATATAATTATTTTTTATTTTTTTATAATTGCCTGTAATGTCTTTACTGTTGCTAATGACTGCTTCAGTGTCAGAAGTTGTCAACTCCAATTGATTAGACTTTTGACTTTTTTCAACAGTCATACATTTAATTTTTATAACAAGGTAATAAAATAAGTATTTTATGACAGATATCTGGTGAATCCTGTCTGGGCTCTGACATGCAGGCTTTTGAAGAGAATGACCTGAATCGGCCCTGTTTGGATTTTGGAAAAGAAGAAGAGGAAGACGACTATGAGGTTGAGCAGGTGGATCTGGTCCGAGCAGCTGCTACATTAGATGACCTGGCTAAACAGATCACTGTAGAAGAGGTGTGCATATGTACCTTATGTTTGAAGACCATAGGAGATGAATGTTTTATCAAGCTCCCTAAAAGAATAGATTGTACATTAAAGAAAAAGCTTTTCTATTTTTCCAATAGCAATAACTCCAGATCATCTGTCTTTCTATTGATTCTGTACTTGTAACATGCACATGTGAAAAACATTGAATACATATTTTTGTTTAGTTAATCCCTGCTCCTGGTCTGGTGTCTATTTTGAAGAAGAAAGCTGTGTTGATTGCCTCTCCAACATCTGCAGGCCCACAATCTCTGTGTGATAAACTGCCTGCCAAACGGCGTGTTCGTTTTAAAGTTCCTGATGACTGCTTTGACAATGGTTTGCGTTGACACTAATTTGATTGACATAAACCTGAAAGAACCTGAAAATTTAATTTAATTTTTTTTGTAGAAATGGGTGGTGGAGACTCCTGCCTGCTCCTCTTCCTCCTGTGCCTGGTGACTGTCGTGATCAGCATTGGAGGTACAGCTTTGTACTGTGCACTGGGAGACACGCACTCTTCTGTTTGTCAAGACTTTTCCAGAAATGCAGACTTTTACTTTGGTCAGATCCAACGTGGAATATCTCAGATCCAACACTGGTTTAGTCCATCTGCCTAGTCAACCATGTCTACTGCATATTAGGTATGTCCTCTTGGCTTCATAATTGTGTCTACTACAATGTCATACAATGCAACAAACACAGAAGAGTTAGACAAAATTTTCTTTTATGAGAAATCGAACGATAAAAAGTCTGCAGCTCTGGTATGTCAGAGGCCATGACACTGGACTAGGGATGCACCAATATGAGACTGGAATCAAATATTGATACCATCATTGGATTTGTTGATGCAAGTATGGGTTAAATTGATGTAATTGATCTATTATTAACTTAGAAAGTCCTAGTTTTTCTCATGCAGAGTTGTTCTTAAAGATAAATTGTAATGGGTTAGCTGGGATTTATTATTGTCAGTGTTGGGTATTTGCAGTAATGGAATGACTAAGAATCAACATTCGTATTGGACATTTAAAAGCTGGATCAGTGTATCCCTACTTCAACCTTATAAATAATTTTATGAATGTAAATATCACTGTAATGTATTGTTAAAAGGGCATGTAGGTGCTGCCTGCGCAAACTGCACAATAGAGAAGACTTTGACGTGGTTTGGAATGAATGATCAAGAAGCATTGTATTACTTGGAATGAATTTGACACGTACATGTCTTTATAATAGACTATTTATTTGGTCTTTCACATTTTGTAAACCTTTTTATCCAAGGGCATTTTTGTGTAGCCTGTTAAAAAAATGTGTTGTAAAATAACAAACTTGTTTTGTGTGTAGCATTTACCACTTGTATAGGAACCAATCATATGTTGTTTTTAGAAATACTATTTGCACAACACTGGTACTTTTTTAGTTTTTCTAATACTTCTATATTTCTTCACGTAGCAGTCTTACTCTTGTATTCACAATCGCCACTGCAATAATGAATCTTGCAAATGTTGGTTTTTATATAGTGGAGTTTGCTGAGGAGGGGTTCTTCACTTTTTGCGGTACAATGTAACAGACTTGAGCTGTTGGTTTTTGTGGTCTCCTTGACCCAAAGGTTAAATCACTGCCCCAGACACAAACCAGGCAGTTCATACTATGCATTCTCAGTATTATTTTTAAAAGTGGTAAGTTTTCATTATAAGACACTTTTAAGATATGAGTTTTTGCAGGGATACATTGTTTTATTTGCATCTTGTCTGGCTGGTTCAGATATTTCTTTTTAACCTTTACGTTTGTTATTTATTATTTGGAGGTTTTGTCATTTATCAGTTGTGTTGTCTTTGTTTTCATGTTTTGATACAAAGGAATGTTTCACTGTAGGTGACATTAACTGATTGTGTACAAATGTAAATCAAATAACGTTCTCGGTGAATGTTTTAAGAGATATATAAGATGTATCACTGAATGATGTTGATACTTTTATTACTGATGTTTCTATTACAGCTTTTTCTTCTGTTGAATAAAATATTTGACAGTTTTTGTGTTTATATCATGGTTTGTATCTATATTTATATAATTTACAATCTAATATATTTTTTTACGTTGAACGAGAATGACGTAATGACGCAGCCAGCACGTGGGCGGATGTAAACAGTTCTTCGGAGGGAGCGCAGATTTTAGTCAACGTTATCAATCTATGGAGGGATGACTCCTGAAGTGCAGCGGGTTGTGAGTCTGGGAAAAGGCAATGGGCTACAGGCCACAGCCGGGATCAGGCGAGGGCAGTTGGTGTTTTCTAACGAGCCCCTGGCCGCGTGTGTTACCCTCAAACTGGCCAGCAGCACATGCCACCACTGCCTCTCGCGGTAAGGCCTATGGAAACTACGCTGGTCATGTGTTCTATTCTGCACATTTGTGGCTTTGTTGTACGTCATTACTTGCACACATTTCCTGTCGTATTGGGTGCATTTGAGTTGAATCATTTTGTACAAATGTTCTCAAGCCACAAGAGGGCGCAATTGCACTGCCGAGACTCCTGTAGGCAGGGAGTCCACTCCATTATGATAGATCCGTGGTCTACTCATTACAAACCGCTTGAAAACCGGTATTAAGCTGCAGACGACATTATGGTTTATCATTTCATATTTTGTAATTTTCCCATTATTTACAGAATGATAAGAACTGTGATTAACAATTTAAAACCAAATATTATCTGAAGAGAAAGTTGATCACTCAGATAATCAAGAATGGACATGTGAGATGAACTCAGTGATTAAAAAATGGCAAACACAAGGACAAATAACTTTAAATTGGTAGGGAGTTCCATAAACAATGGCCTTGACCTCTCGGACACTCGAACATTTAAATTTTCAGATCACATTGAGCGGGACATTGATCGGGATTGTGATCCGGTAAATGACTTTTTCGCTGGCATAGACAATACCACCTGTGGATATTACACTGATGATATGCTGAATCTAATCAATAAGGACGGAAAACTATCGGTAATACATGTAAACAGTCGTAGTATGTATGCTAATTTTGATCATATAAAGAACTACTTACATAATCTTGTGCAGCCGTTTGATATAATTGCAATATCAGAGACGTGGATTAGTGTGGGAAAGGAAAGCAACTTTGAATTGGTTGGGTATGATTTTGTACACATGGATAGGACAAACAAAAGTGGTGGGGGAGTTGCATTATTTGTAAACTCAAATTTGGATTTTCATGTGGTGGATAAAATGACTATTGCAGTGGACAATGTGCTAGAATGCATAACAATAGAGATCCAGAGAGAAAAGTTAAAAAATGTTATTATTAGTTGTATATATCGAATGCCTAGTTGCTGTATAGATCAGTTCAGCGAGAAAATGGAGGAACAAGGCCGAAAAATGTGTAATTGTGTGCGGTGATTTTAATATTGATTTACTAAATCCAAAAAAGCAGAGAATGGTTGAAGATTTTATTCACACAATCTATAGAATCAATTTATATCCCAAAATCACAAGACCCACTCGAATAACTTCTCACAGTGCTACACTAATTGATAATATCCTAACAAATGTCCTGAATGATGCTATTAGTGGACTGATAGTGAGTGATATAAGACAGACTTAGCAGCATATAACTGGGAGGAAATGTACGGGCAGAGAAATGTAAATGATGCGTATAACACATTTCTTCAAATATTTCAATTGCTTTATGATAAAAATTGTCCATTAAGGGAAACAAGGGATAAGCTAGAACAGAAAGGACAACCCTGGATTACACAGGGACTACATAATGCCTGTAAAAAGAAGAATATGTTTTACAAAAGATTCATTAAAGTAAGAACTGTGGAGGCTGAGCAAAAGTACAAAAGATACAAAAACAAGCTAACAAGCATAATAAGAACTGCAAAGAAGGACTATTACTATAAACTACTGGAAAAGAACAAAAACAACGTTAGAGAATTGTGGAACATATTAAATGGTGTCATTAATAAGTCCAACAAGAAGATAGACTACCCTAAATGGTTCAATGTAAATGATAAAGAAAATGATAATATGCTAGAGGTTGCAAATGGTTTCAATGAGTTCTTTGTAAATACTGGTTCTGAATTGGCACACAACATTCCCAATACAGGAAACGATCCAGTTAGCCATATAAAAAGAAACCTTGGGTCAATGTTTTTCGATCACGTTGAAGAGGCGGAGGTAATAAGAACGGTCTGTGAATGTAAAAATAAGACATCTGGTGACTGTCATGACATTGACATGAAGCTTGTTAAAACTGTTATTGAGGGCATAGTAAAGCCAATCACATTCATCTGTAATTTGTCGTTTCAGTCTGGTACATTCCCTCACCAAATGAAAATTGCTAAAGTGATTCCACTGTTTAAGTCTGGGGACAAGCACAATTTCACAAACTATAGACCGGTCTCACTGCTTCCACAATTTTCAAAAATTATAGAAAAGCTCTTTGTGGTACGCCTGGACAAATTTCTGGACAAAAACAATATACTTAGTGAAAGCCAATACGGGTTCCGATCACAGAGGTCTACAGTTTTAGCACTGTTGGATTCCATTGAAAATGTAACAAATTCACTCGATGAGAGACTGCATTCAATAGGAATATTCCTTGACCTTCAAAAGGCATTTGACACAATTAACCATGACATTTTAATTTCTAAATTGGAAAGATATGGGATCAGGGGTAAAGTATTGGAATGGATAAAGAGTTACTTGACAAACAGAAAACAATTTGTAAAAATTGGAAACATATGCTCCTCATATCTAAACGTTTCCTGTGGTGTCCCACAGGGGGCAGTGTTAGGTCCTAAATTATTTATTCTATACATGAATGACTTGACTCAGGTGTCAAAAACTCTCAGAATGGTTCTCTTTGCGGATGACACAAGTGTTTTCTGTTCAGGGAGTAATCTCAAGTCACTAGTCCAAGAAATAAATACAGAATTGGATGCACTCAAGTCATGGTTTGATGGAAACAAGTTATCACTAAATTTGGCAAAAACAAAGTTCATACTGTTTGAGAGTGTAACAAATGATGACGTTGAAATAAAACTGGATGGCAAAACTATTGAAAGAGTAAATGAAATAAAGTTTTTAGGAGTTTTAATAGATTAAAAAATAAACTGGAAAGCTCACATTAGTTATGTGAAGGGAAAAATATCTCGGAGTATATCAGTGATAAATCAGGCAAAACAGTTTGTAAATAAAAAGTCCCTGGTTACACTTTACTCTTCACTAGTTTTGCCATATTTCACTTACTGTGTTGAGGTGTGGGGTAATAATTATCAATCGGCACTTCAACCTCTGGTTGTGTTGCAAAAGAGGGTAGTGCGCATAATACACGGTGCAGGTTTTAGGGACCACACCAACTCACTCTTTGCACAATCAAAATTGCTAAAGCTATTGGATATTGTTGAATATGCAACAACACAAATTGTATTCAAGGCAAAAAAGAGTATGTTGCCAAAGAATATCCAAAAACTATTCATAGAACGAGAGAGAGAATATAACTTACGGGGGATGATCAACTTAAGGGTTAAAAGGGTAAAGAGCAAGCGTAAAAGTTTTTGTGTTTCTGTGCGAGGTGTACAAATGTGGAATAAGTTGAGAGTGCAGCTTAAAGAATGTCCAAATTTAGCAATATTTAAAAAAGGCTTTAAGGAAATGACATTTGTAAAATATCAAGAGGAAAATATGTAATACAATTCTAGTATTGTTATTATTACTGAAGGGGTTGACTCTAAAATACCAGCTTGGGCTTTGGGATAGATGTGTTTTAGGGGCTGATGTTGCAGTGGTGGGTGTAGGTGCTGTCTCTCTGGCTGGGCCTTTGGCGTGGTAGGTGAGTACTATGGTGGGACTTGAGGTGTGGAGGAGACTGGCCGGCCTCACGGTAGCGTTCTTTGACGGTCTGGCGAGAGTGCTTTCTCTCATTCTGAATTGCAATTAAAACAAAAACAAAACTAAAAGCTCCCTTTGTCTAAAGGTAGAGTGAGGCAGTCACACGGGTGATAATCTGCTCTACTTAAAGTCAAGGAGTGAGACTGTTAATCTAATAAATTAAGAAAATCAAAATTGAATAAATGAAAATAAATTGAAAAGGAAATCAATACAATTTATTTTGCGCTCTCTACTAAAGGAGATATTGTGAAAATATGTTGTATTGTGTTGAGGTAAAACAAAACTGTTGATTGTGGCTCATGAAGCTGTTGGAAGGCTGTGGTGAGTGTTGGCCTCTCTTTCTCCTGTGCGGATGGTCTGCTGCTGTGGGTTTGCTTGGTGCGCCTGGGCCTGGTGGGAGATGGCAGTGTCGAACTTACCGGTGCGCGTTGGCCACTGTGACACATTTGTTTCAAAGAAACATATATAATGTGTGTATGTATGTATATATATATATATGTGTATGTGTATGTATATGTATATGTGTATATATGTATGTATATATATGTGTATGTATGTATATGTGTATGTGTATATATATATATATATATATATATATATATATATATATATATATATATATTCATGTATATGTGTATTTGTGTGTGTGTGTATGGTTACATATTTATACATGACAAGAACAACTATAATATGTGTGTATGAATATTGTATATGTATGGCTATGTCTGTATGTATGTGTGGGCGGGTAGGTGCAACCGTATAAAGTGAATATAGGTACAGGGGGTGGGAGCCTATAAGTTTGACTTCTTCCCACTCCTTTTTGAGCTTTAACAGGAGTGAAAATAAATTAAAAGTGAAAATAAATAAAAATAATAAAAATAAAAATGTATATATACATTAATGTATGTATGTATGTATGTAAAATTCTATCATGTATTGTATGTAATTGCTTTTAAATCTATAAATTGATTCCTGTTTATAAGCTTGAAATAAAATCAATCAATCAATCAAAAAATCAAATGTAGCAAAACAAGAAGCAATATTTCCGTGGGCTTCATCATACCTTATTCTTATAGCTCTTACTTGGCGTTGGTTAGTGTTTTTGACCCGTTGTTTTTTTACTTTAAAAAAATCTATAAATTGCAGACACAATGGTGGATCAAGATTTTAAGTATTGAACAAGTGTCACTGTCACTTGTGCCCGGCTGCTACTCTTCAGATTTAAAAGTGATTTTGGTAATGATTAAAGTGGTAATGGCTCCATTTTGTGAAATTATGTTTCACAAACACAATTCATATCTTGAGTGTATCTGTCATTCAGTATTTAAATAAGGTGAAAGATGTATAAGGTTAAAGATATTTGTAAAATGGTTGTGTGTTGAATTCTCAGCTGCTCGCAAATTAAATCTGCATTCTATCTCCCAATACCCAACAACAAAATCATTTTTAAATTCATAATTTTCCTCAAAATGAAACAGACTCAATTACAGTATAACAATTTATTATTATTTTTCTCTCGTTATGACAGCAAACATGAAACTGCATCATGTGAAAGGCATAGGGAGATGATGACAAGGGTCAATCATGTGTTGGTGCATAGTGCCACAAGAAGCCAATTTTAATTTTGGTTTCAGTGCAAACAGTGCACCTTCCACATGTTGGATATATCTCCAAAAATTGGTAGATTTTTCACTTTACCGGTCACTTAGTGTTGGTCTTTAAGATAAATCAAATATTTTCATGTTTTTATGAGACAAAATGATGAGAGTCCATGGGTTTAATAATGAATACAATGTTTTTATTGTATTGCTTCTTTGTACAGTGACCTGGGGTGCCCTGAAAACCCTTTTAAATGAATGCATTACTGTTATTGTTATTATGGGCTATGAATACTTTTGCAATGCACTGTATATATTGTAATTGTGTCAATGGAATTTCAATGCAATATAATAAAGTCAAGTCAAGGTCTTGTTAAATACAGTGGGAATAATCTAAATTCAAATGAACTTAACCTTGAATAAATAAACTAAATATTAACAGCCCTCATTATAGACAAGGCACAGTAGACATTATAGACCTAACCCTAACAGCCTTAATACAGCTGTGTGGTCTTCAATGACAGCCATTAAATCATGATAACATCATTTTGATGTTTCCCATGGAAAAGTCATTTGCAAGCTTCTCTCCTCTGGTATAACATTTGGGAACACTGTATTAATGAATACAATGATTATGATTTGAATGTTATATTCAAACATTTAAAAAAAATTGTGCACATTTTCCAGTTCAGAGTAGTGACTCTCTTAATAAGCAATTCAAGACGTGCCTAAAATGCTTGTGTGATTAGCTCTCTATCTGACACCAATCTTTCATTTCTTCTCTCTCTGGACAATGAAGCTTTGAAGTCTCGCTGACAAAACTGGGTAGAACTCCACTGAATCAGGATCTGTTTCTATAACCACTGATTGAGTTGAGTAACCTCATTTTAGAAGAGTGCTTGTCATCGTTGCTGAAGATTGCTCCAGTTTTGAATTGATGCATTTGATAAACAGGTTTTCGAATGATTTCCCTGTTGGAAAGTTTTTATGTTCCTTTTATTGTGTGTTTCCGATTTTCTCAGTTAAATTAGCAGTGATTATGCATTAATGCAGGAAATGCGTTTATTTTAAGTATATAAAAGTCCTCAAGATGCTTTTGTACAAACTGAGTTAAGATGAGATGTTTCTTCAATGGAAAACAACATTACTAAATTATAAAAAGCACAATTCTCAAACTGTATGTAATGTATTGAATTAAATGCAATAAACAACTATCCGTTAATTTATTAAACATTCTAGTATTATTACATGTTTGAGTCTATTTAGAAAAGTCTGACTGAAACCGATTTTTACAACACTTGATTTTGTGATTTTCTATATAGTTGTAGCTGTAGCGCACAAACCGATGTGTGTAAAGACTCTCAAATTTGACAAGACAAACCAGAATAAACCAAGCTACATTTTGGAAACTTTGTCTTTACATTCAAGAGACACTGCCTCATAAAGAGTCTTCAGGTGCGAATGAGTCACAGGTAAACAGCCATTAAGGTCTCAGCAGGACTTCACTCACAGCTCTGAACTGCCTCACAGCTGGCACCATCTCCCTCCTCTCTCTCGTTCCTTTCTCCCCTCTCCCTGCTCTCCCTCTTTCTCTTTCTCTCCATTTTCCTTCTCTCTCAGTTCCTCTCTCTCCCCTACTCTCTCCTTCCTCACCTCTCTCCTCCTCTCCTCTTCTCTTTCCTCCCGCGTTCCTCCCTCCCCTCTTTTTCTACCCTGTGCTGGTGCATCACTGCAGTTGTGCCTGCAGCATTTTTACAGCCTTTGTTCCCCCATTAAATCTGTTACTATTTAACAACACTAGAGGGCAGTAGCACTCTTGGATGGCCAAATGGTCACTTGAAATCTTAAATTTGTAATTTGTTAAAGAGTCCATATGATTTAGCCCTGTAATTGATATAACTTGATTGATGTTGATGTTTAGATCGGGAACAAACCACAGAACTTTTTGTATCCTTGTTTAAATAATACTGGTAATTGTCTCTGCAAATCATTTTTATACTTCCAATATAGGATTTTATTCATCTTTGAGTATTATCTGCATCTTTTTATTTTTTATTTGTACTAAATATATGATTTTTATTATTTTTTTTAAGCTAAGGACATTCTAATAGACAGCAATTTTATCATTAAGATTTAAATTTTTTTGATTCAAGATTTGATCATTTTATTGTCATTGTCAAAAAAACAACAAAATACAATGTTTGAGCATCACCGTGATAATGGAGAGTATAAAGTGCAGAAGTTGGATGTAAACAGCACAGGGCTTGATGAGGGAGATTAGCAAAACAGTAACAGTAACCGTATGTAAGTGAGTATGTTAGCTGAAACAATGCACGACCAGTTCAGAGTTATGGCAGGTATGTAAAAGTGCAGGATAATGGGGGGCTGTGGGGGTGAGGAGGGGGGCAGTGTTCATTGAGTAGTCTGACAGCCTGGGGGAAGATGGCTTTTGGCCATTCTGCTGGTTCGGGCAGAGAGTGACCTGCACCTTCGGCCCGAGGGCAGCAGGTGGAACAGTCGGTGTGCTGGATGGGAGTGGTCTCTGATGATGATCTTCCCAGTAGTTTTCACCACCCTCTGGATCGCCTGCCTCTTGCCCTTTGTGCAGCTGGAGAACCACACGAGCAGACCATACGTCAGCACACTCTGAATGGCACAGTTATAAAAGTGTATCATGAGCCTCTGAGGGAAATGGACTCTCTTCAGCTTCCTCAGATAGAAGAGGCGCTGTTGTGCTTTCCCCACAGCTGAGATCTATTGTGCCCAGGAGAGGTTCTCACACACAGTCAGGCCCAGAAATGTAAAACGGGACACTCGCTCCACCACCTCACCGTCTACAGACAGTGGTAGATGTTGAGGGTTAATCTTTTTATAATTACTACTCTGTTTTTCCTATATTCACGTGTTGGAGTCTTTAAATAGTCCGTAAATAAAGCAGTTAACTATAATCAATTGATTATAGTTAGTAACTCTTAGTTGTGATTAATGAATTAATCGTTACAGTCCTAATCTGAGGCACATTACAATGAACACAAGTTTTATGATGACAACGATAAGTACAAAACAAGATTTAAAGGCTAGAATAACTACTAATTCCTGATCCACAAGTCCCTGCTTTGACCACATTTAGAGGTCAAAGCAGGGTCTACTAAGGGAGGTCACTTTTGATGGTGCTACTTAATATTGAATAAAAACCATGTCCTTCTTATTTGATGTGAATTTCTTTTAGCTTTGAAACACCGCAATAGAGTTTCAAAGAGATGGCACAATAGATGGGGTTGATAGAGAGTAGAAGAGCTGGCCAAAAACAAATTTAAAATTAATCTAAAAATAAATCACACGAAGTAAGAATGTAAGTAAGTAATCTTTATTTATACCTTTCTCAGACCAGAGTCACAAAGCTCTTCACTAATGGCAAGTGATAATTGATATATTAGGGATGTGGCATTTTTTTTTCCTCCATCTGTGTTCTCTGGAAATCCTTTGTAAATCTTATTTTTTTCTAATATGTATGTACAGTATAAATCCAGATTTTTCTCGAGCCTTCTTTGTAACTGCTGTATTAGTTTTCATAGATGCCTAGCTCCAAGTAGCTTGTAAATATTTGAAAGGGGCTGCAGTCACATAGGATTGATAGACTTCCTGTGGCTTGCTGTGATGGCGTGGTGGACCTGTTCGTGTGTGAATTATGTTTTGTGTTGAATCGGCAGCGAGCCTGTTTACAACTCCCATATCTGCTGTTATTGCTTTGTGACCCACATTGCTGGACTGTGTTTCCTTAACAGTGGGTGGCTTTTCCTATTTCTGAATATTTGTGTGTTTAAATGAATACGTTAGAATTGTAAAGTATTTTAATCTTCACTTGAATCATTACAACCATTCTGCTCAAAAGCTTAATGAAGGCTTATTTTTATGTCAATGTCAATGGACATGACTGACACACTGTTAATGTGTATAAACATTATCCAACCAGAATGTAGAATGACAATCACATGAGTCTCTCATTTGGGTTGGTAGCAGCTGGATTGGTCTCAATCTAAAACCCATCATTTGGAAGAACGTCTTGGACTGGCAGTAAAGATTTAGGAATGCCTTGCCCTTTTTATGTTTCGAAACAAGGCACAGTGACAGTTTTTTCACTACATGTATTCTTTTCTTTGTGTGAGAATCTGAGTCTGTTGCCATTTCATGTATTCTTTATTTTTTATACTGTGGCTGCATGTGTGTAAAGACAATGGTCACTGGGTTCAGGCTTTTTACCAGACTGACCACAGAACCAAGGGGGTCACTCTTTGATCTTTAGGGGCAGGAAATGCACCATACAACACACACTTGGTGAACACTTTATGAAACAAACATAAACTCTACTGATATTCACTAGCCTCTGCCCCATTTAAGACAACAACAAAAATGTCTATTTAAAATCACCCTTTTAAATCAGCCATCAGCTAGTCAAACTTTGAAAGAATCAACATCTGCATTGGCAAAACCCGTATTGGTTGATCTCTAGTTATAAACAGCCATATAGTTCATCATTTGACCGTTCATCAATCATCAGGTTCGTTCTGAAGGCCATAGTTTGGACTAATAGATATGCATCATGTGTTTTTTTCTCACCTGTCTCACATGTCCTGCTCTATTGAAGTCATCCTTTTCCTCTTCTCTCTGTTCAGACCGGAGACCTTGTTGAGGTGCTCCCAGTGCAAAATGGCTCGCTACTGCAACATCACTTGCCAGGTATAACCCGTCTCGTGTCCTTCTATGTGTGGATAGTTTTTCAATTTGTTGGGATTGTCTTCTGCTCCAGAAACGAGCCTGGCCTGTCCATAAGAGTGAGTGCAAATGTCTGAGGAGTATTTTACCCAGGATTCCCACTGACTGTGCGTTTGGCGGCAAGAATTATCTTTGCCAAGGTAAGAGTTGAGGTTGTCTAAAAAGGGCAATACATTCTGTACTAAAATTAACTGTTTGAATTTAAAGAAGTGCATTTTTGTTTTGTTGAAAAGTTCTTTAAATGCATTGTTTGTTTGTTTTTTTCCAGTGTTCCTCTTATAAAGCAAATAGTGAGGAACTTTACTCCCTAGAAGAGCTTGAATCACGTACGTTTATAGATGCTGAAGTTATTACTAGTTTTCTATGTGCATAATGACGTAATGTTTCTTTATGTCTTTATTTCTTTTTGATAGATCTCTGCTCCATGTCTGAACAGAAGAAAGAAGGTCTATCCCAGCTGGCCTCTATGTTACAGCTCTATCTCCAACAGGAAGTCCCTACACTGGCTCAAGCTACTTCACCTGTGCCCCCCTCTTGTCAGGACCCCCTCTGCCTCATGGGAAAGGTAAGATTAAACAAAAACTTCTCAAAGCATTTTAATTTTTCTGCTGTTCGAATATACCCAGCACTTGTGATTAGTTTCCATTGTGAATGTGTTCCCAGAATAGCTGAAGTTTTCATCCTCATGAGACACCATCTGCTCTTGTTACATTGAAACTGCAAAATCGATACGTTGTCCATGTTGTGTTCCCGTACAGACAACTTCTTTTTATAGTTACTTGGATCTTTAACTTATCAACAGGCATGGTTGTGTGGGGTTAATCAAGAATAAGGGAGTTTAATATATAAAAAAAAAAAACGTATTTGTTTTTATTTACCAAGGTAGGGCAATACAATTTCGCAATGGAACATACAAAAATAACTTTTTTTCAAATTGAAACTTGTGTCACTTTTGCAGGGTAGGGAAGACAAGTCATTGTTTTTGAGTAGGAGTACAGTGCCTTGCGAAAGTATTCGGCCCCCTTGAACCTTTCAACATTTCGCCACATTTCAGTCTTCAAACATAAAGATATAAAATTTTAATTTTTTTGTCATGAATCAACAACAAGTGGGACACAATCGTGAAGAGGAACGAAATTTATTGGATAATTTAAACTTTAAAAAAAAATAAACTGAAAAGTGGGGCGTGCAATATTATTCGGCCCCTTTACTTTCAGTGCAGCAAACTCACTCCAGAAGTTCAGAGAGGATCTTTGAATGATCCAATGTTGTCCTAAATGACTGATGATGATAAATAGAATGCACCTGTGTGTAATCAAGTCTCCGTATAAATGCACCTGCTCTTTGATAGTCTCAGGGTTCTGTTTAAAGCGCAGAGAGAACCATGAAGACAAAGGAACACACCAGGCAGGTCCGAGATACTGTTGTGGAGAAGTTTAAAGCCAGATTTGGATACAAAAAGATTTCCCAAGCTTTAAACATCTCAAGGAGCACTGTGCAAGCAATTATATTGAAATGGAAGGAGTATCAGACCACTGCAAATCTACCAAGACCCGGCCGTCCCTCCAAACTTTCATCTCAAACAAGGAGAAGACTGATCAGAGATGCAGCCAAGAGGCCCATGATCACTCTGGATGAACTGCAGATAACTACAGCTGAGGTGGGAGAGTCTGTCCATAGGACAACAATCAGTCATGCACTGCACAAATCTGGCCTTTATGGAAGAGTGGCCATTTCTCAAAGATATCCAATAAAAGTCTCTTAAAGTTTGCCACAAGCCACCTGGGAGACACACCAAACATGTGGAAGAAGGTGCTCTGGTCAGATGAAACCAAAATCAAACTTTTTGGCCAAAATGCAAAACGATATGTTTGGCGTAAAAGCAACACAGCTCATCACCCTGAACACACCATCCCCACCTCAGCTGTAGTTATCTGCAGTTCATCCAGAGTGATCATGGGCCTCTTGGCTGCATCTCTGATCAGTCTTCTCCTTGTTTGAGATGAAAGTTTGGAGGGACGGCCGGGTCTTGGTAGATTTGCAGTGGTCTGATACTCCTTCCATTTCAATATAATTGCTTGCACAGTGCTTCTTGAGATGTTTAAAGCTTGGGAAATCTTTGTGTATCCAAATCCGGCTTTAAACTTCTCCACAACAGTATCTCGGACCTGCCTGGTGTGTTCCTTTGTCTTCATGGTTCTCTCTGCGCTTTAAACAGAACCCTGAGACTATCAAAGAGCAGGTGCATTTATACGGAGACTTGATTACACACAGGTGCATTCTATTTATCATCATCAGTCATTTAGGACAACATTGGATCATTCAAAGATCCTCACTGAACTTCTGGAGTGAGTTTGCTGCACTGAAAGTAAAGGGGCCGAATAATATTGCACGCCCCACTTTTCAGTTTTTTATTTGTTAAAAAAGTTTAAATTATCCAACAAATTTCATTCCACTTCACGATTGTGTCCCACTTGTTGTTGATTCATGACAAAAAATTAAAATTGTATGTCTTTATGTTTGAAGCCTGAAATATGGCGAAATGTTGAAAGCTTCAAGGGGGCCGAATACTTTCGCAAGGCACTGTATGCTTAATAAAACATAATGGGACAGAAGCATGATACAATCAACAACAACAACCAATTTTCAATAAATGAAAGATAAATGCACCAAAAGATTATTTCCCCAAAACATCCTGCCTACTCTGTCATTCGGTTGTTCTTTTCATCAGATTTTAAAGCTAGTAGGTTCCTAAGTAGACTGACGTTGCTTCTTTAGATAATTGGGCTTGTATTTTGTTGCTTTACACATCACTTTTTGATATTTTTCACAAGTGAGGGTGTTTAGTCAGCAGTCCTGTGTGATTGCCATGTTTACACCTGCAAAAACGGAGCACCATAGGGAAAATGTACCATTGCTTGATTTAACAAGTCTAAACTGCGTAGATTTGGAAAAACACTCTCAGATTGGACTGTTTGTGTGAATGATGCATGCGTGGTGAATTAAAGGAAGCGCTGAAAAATCTGGAAAGCTGCTGATTAATGGAGTTGGAAAGACCAGAGGGAATTCTCCTCCATTTTGAAAGGGATGAAAAGCCGACAACACTGAGTAGATTAAAGAGAGTGTGGTGGAGAAATGAAGGCGCGGAAGACTGATTTAAGAGGTCAAGAATGGGAGCTTGTCCAGTTTGTGTCCCATTATGCAGTTTTCCTTTTTGCCAAAGCATATTTCTGTAGTGGGTCCTACAGGACACCACCAAAGGAAAATGCATTTGCCCCAATATCTGACGAGTACCAATAGAGTTGGAAACCTTTTATTATGTATGGGTGTAAAATGTACATAAAATCTCATAAGTAATCTTAATTTATATAGCGCCTTTCACAGACCTGAATCACAAAGCGCTTTGCAACTGTGGGCATTTGTCTCTCACTCCACACAGAGAGCGCGGTCGCCAGTACAGGAGGTGCATGCCAGTCCGATTGTACATGTTTTTGTAGTGGTAGGGGAAACCGGAGCACCCAGAGGAAACCTATGAAGTCAGAAAGGCCCTGTTCCGACCGGGATTCAAACCCAGGACCTTCTTCTGCTCAGCCACCGTGCTGCCCACCTACCAGCATTTTCAACAACTAATCCAATCAATAGAAAGAATAATAATTGGATTAAACTGTTTTCAGAATAACCATTTAGGTTATAGCCCTAACTTTAACCCTATGTTTGGGACTGGTCCCGGTAATGTACTTTTTTGGGGGTTTCCCATTATTCATCATTAGTAACTCAAATCTATATCTTACTAATATATTTACGGAGCAAACATTACAACACACAAATAAACATTACATTCATAATACAAACTGATTAAAAGTAAAACAATCACAATCCGTTCTGTTTCCAAACAATATGTCTGTTGTTTTATTATGTGAAATTGTGTCGTACAGTTTAGTCGTAAATATATGGGGCGAAACAACTGAATGAAGCTTCTTGAAAACAACATTCAAACTCAAAATCCAACATGTTTACTTCTCTACCAATAGGAGGCACTGTGATTGCATGCAGTTTGTCACATAACTTTATAAGAGAGGAGGCCTTGGTCATCACATACCCCTCCTCTCTTCCCTGTATGTTTCATGTACACAGTGTTTTCTGTGTCTATTCTCATGTACTGTAAGCCCGTCTCAACTGTCCTGGCCTTTCTATTCTTGTCCCTCAGCCATTACATCTATGTGAAGAATAATGAGCATGGAACTCTCCCTCTCTTTATATGCACTCCAGCCGGCTTACCTCTTCCCTGCCCTCTTGCTTTTTTCTACCTTTAATAGTACCTCACGTACATAACAAATGGCAAATGTGAATGTTATTATGGTGTGCTTAACAAAATAGGTTGTTATAATGCATGTTTGGACTTGAAGGTCTGTTCTTGTTTTACTTTGGAGTTATAAAGACCATTCTTTATGCTAATAGCTTCTGCCTGGTGCCCCACACATATGAAGTAGTTGCATACAACATCATTACTGTTCTAAATATCCCCAGGAGGGCCAGTGGAGGCACAGTGGTAGGCAGATAGATGGGGGGTGGGGGCAGAGAGGAGAAGGGGGCTTATAGCAGTAAGTGGAGGAGACTGTAAGTGTATGTTGGCCACACTGCAGTGATGCAATAAGCAATGACAGATGAGAGAGTTTCAGTTCATTTTATTACCTCCCTCGAGCAAGTTTCCTTTGTAAAGATTGAGTGTTATTTGTCTTTTTGTGGGTTTCTTCGAGTTTCTGGATTGTAAGTTCATGAGGGACTCGGGTGTTTATTATTGGAGTACATTAGGCAACATGAGGCCCATTTTCTTTGTACGCAGCATGACCCATGGTACAACAGAAAACAACCACCGAAGGATTACCCACTTGTATGATCAAACATGACAACACCCTTCGAATACTGTCTTTTGTCCAAGCAAAACCACATATGTTTTCTTATGGTCAATAAATAATTCATAATCAATATTATTCAGCTTAATTGATTTGCAACAACTTTTCCAGACAGAGGCCCGAGTGGCGTTGCAGGATTGGTCAAATGGGAAAATTTGCTTACGGGGACAATAAGATGAGAAGACCACCTTCACTCAGCCTATACGCTTTGGGCATGTGGTGTCAACTTATGACTGTGCTTTTGAGTATGAACTTGAAAAAGAAACTCATTTACAAACACTAATGATGAATGATCTTGTTAACAGTTATCTATGAACCTTTAGCCGCCTGCGTAATTGGGAACTGTATCCAATCTGACTCATTTGGCTGTATAGAGGAAGAATGCTCTCTAGTTGTTTATAGGCTGCAGATGTAATTTATCATAGTGAGGTACAATACGCGCACCCATATATCTGATGTGTGCGTGCCCACTAAATGCAACACTGACTCTATTCTGATTTACTTCCACAAGCAAGAGTCTGATTTAGTTTGTGTTCCTTGTTGTCGTAAGTTTTTGTCGATTTGATTTGCAGTCTATTGCTTGTGCGCGTTGTAGTACTGCGTGTGCATAACCGCCTGCTTGAGTTTAGAGAGTTGTGGGAGTAATTTATTC